CCGACCTGAGCACACCGAACCAAAACACCCATGCTGATGTACCGCTCAATATCTCAGGCATGCACTCCCAGCAGCAACAGAGGCAGCTGGAGACGCCGCTTAGCTCCTGTACAGACGCTGGCGGCCTGCAGTCAGCTAAGCCGTGCTCTGTGTGCGAGTTGTCATTGCGTCGCGGTGGCCAAGACAACACTGCGTGGTCTCCACTACACCGAGAGTTGCGCACGCACCCCCAGAACTCGGTGGTGCAGCGAGTTGCTGACGATGACTGCAGCCTCGGCCGACGCTACGATCATGCTAGGTTTTGATCACCAGCGGGGATTGCGGGGGACTCGACGTCGAAGTTGGACATGTACTGGCGAACGCTTCCGCCTTTGGTAAGCTGGCATCAAGTGAGGGCGGTGGAAGCTTCGTCCGCCGCACGCTGCGGGTTGATGCAGCCACTCGGGAATTTCCACCGCCAGCACAACCACCACCTCGTCCAGCCTGAAGCCCTTCACCACCTTCTCCGCCGCCGTCGTAGCTGCTCTTGCCGCCCTCACCGACAACGCCAACGCCATGCAAGCCTACCTCAGCTACATCCCCAACGGTGTCCGAGCTCCTGCGAGAAGAGGGAGCCCCCTCTTCTCGCAGGAGCTCGGACACCCGGGCAACGACAGCTCCCAGTACACGGACTTCGCCACCGCCTTCGAGGCCGTCGGACTCTCCTGGACCGCCGACTTCTGCGCCGACACCTTCCCCAACTCGGACATGACCAACGGCGAGGCCTTCGGAGACCCGTGCTGCACCTGGTCGCAGGGCGGCACGCCCGACTTCACCGTCACGCCCTTCACCACGGACCCCACCACGGCCACCGTGTGCGCAACGTCGACGTCCACGGCGGCATCGACGACGTCCTCCGCCACGACGGACACGACCACGCCAACGTCAACCGCTTCGTCGGCCGCTACTGCTGCGACCAGTGCTGAGACGTCCACTGCCTCGTCGTCCACGTCGGACACCACGACAACCTCGACGGCATCTTCGGCCGCCACGGGCAGCGCGACGACGCCCACCACGACAGCTCCTTCGACGGACGACTCGACCACTACTGGCGGCGGTGGCTGCCGAGCCAAGCCATACTCGGGCACGAAGAGTGGTCTGCGCGCTTAAGCACGTAGACGGTCTTCATGCTGCTGAGTGTCTTCTCGTTGGTGGTGTTACTGCATAGAGCGGCGGGAGTTGTAGTGAGTGATAATGAATACCATCCAGTGAAGTGATCCCAAAAGTCTCAAATCGGGTCTTCATCCTCGATCCTCCAAGTCGCGCCAGCTGAAAGCAGCGAACAAACCCGTCAACCACCCGAGGGGGCCCCGCCAGAATGGGAGCCCAAGGCATCCGCTAATTCTCCAGTCAACCGCTGCATCCAGGGTCGGCCTTTCGTGCAGCAGCTCTCGTGCATCGCTCCCCTATCGCATGAGACGTCCGCCATACTCAGGCGGAGGCTAGTGTAAAGGTTTCCCCCAGACTAAAACCCAGCAGCGTGCAGTCGTTGAATAGTGTCTAGGCGATGACACCACATCTCCGGCATTCATGGAGCTTGCCATCATCGGAAGGACGTTAATCTTTAATACATATTTAAGTACACAACTTAGTCGCTAAAAACGTGCAGTGTATCAAAAGATTTGGGCTTTAGTTTCAAGTTTCGGAAATGTAGAGCAGCAACTTAGATCACCACGAAATCCAAATACGCTGGAAGTGACGGCCACACACCTTTGGTTAAACGAGGTGTCGCTTGCCGGAGGACTCGAGTACCGGTATTGCGGCGGGGGTCCCCGGCAGAACCAGTTCAAATTTTCTGCGACTTTCCCTCCGCTTATCGCGATTCGTTCTTGGTCACCTCTACGGATTTGACCCTCGGAATCTGGGGTGCAAACGTTGAAGCTTTCGCGCAACTATTACGACTCCACGACACCAGCAGTAGAGCGCTTCGTCTTCCGCCCTGGCAGCTGTAATATCGTAGAGCAACCAAAAGGAAGTCACCACCAAAATCCCTGCGCAGGCACACTTCGACTCGAAGACTTCGGTGTCTCCTTGCCTGGCCCCTCCAACCAACTCATAGCACCCCTTATCATTAGAAAACTTGTCACCAAGCGAGTAAGCGAGTACTATCTTAATCAATGCAACCAAAATTATTTTGCATGGAGATTAAATGAGGAAATTATCAAAGCGGGATGTGGGCGACTTGTGGAGACTTGCTTCCATCGCCTTCCGCGGTAAATACAGATGAAATTCACCAGCTTCTTGAGCGTGAACCTCCTCACCAAGTTGCGACAAAAGCCAACGTCGAAGCTGTTCTTCGTGTTGAAATGTTGGGGGTACTGTGTATCGGCATTCCTACAACATCCGGTAAATTGACGCCCCGTCACTTGATCCCTGTAAAAATCTCCAGCCCATTGAAAGTCCCATCGTGTTCGAGCTCTTGGGCGCTTGCAACGATACCCCCATCCGACGGAGGATCTTTCGCAATGGTACCAGCCAGCGGGCCGACGATTTGGCTCTGCAGCTCGCTCGCTTCCCGGAGGACGTCATTCTGCAATTTGCTTCGCACCTCCAACCAGCTCCCAGCCAGCTCTTTTCAGACTCTCAACCAATCTACACAATGAAGACGTACGCCGCCCTCGCCGCCTCTGCGCTCATCGTGGCCGCCACCATGAACTCGGCCACGGCCATGAAGTCGTACCTCGAGGACCTCCCAAACGGCAGCCTGTTCACGCAGGAGCTGGGCCACCCGGGCATGGACAGCTCCAAGTTCACCGAGTTCGCGACGGCGTTCGGCGCCGTGGACCACACGTGGTCGGCTGACTTCTGCGGTAAGACGTTCCCCGGTGCGTCCATGACGAACGGTGAGGCCTTCGGCGACCCGTGCTGCACGTGGACGAAGGGCGGCAAGCCCGACTTCACGGTGTCGCCTTTCACGACGAAGCCTACCAAGGCCACGACGTGCGCTTCCGGCGGCAAGACGGGTGCCGGAGGTTCTGCCGCTGCTCCTTCGGCCGCTGGTTCTAGCGCGGAGACGCCTTCGACCGGTTCTAGCGCTGAGACTCCTTCGACTGGATTTAGCGCAGAGACCCCTTCGACTGAGCAGGGATCGGGTGCCGAGACCCCCTCGACTGAGGAGAGCTCGGGTGCTGAGACGCCATCGACTGAGGAGAGCTCGGGTGCTGAGACGCCTTCGACTGGCGAGAGCTCGGGCGCTGAGACCCCCGCCACTGGTCCGAGCGAGGAGACGCCGGCTACCGGATCGGGCGAGACTGAGAGCTCGGGTGAGACCGAGAGCTCTGGCGAGACTGAGAGCTCCGGCGAGACGGACACTGGCGCTTCGTCGGTGTCGCAGTTCACGCCTGCCACGGAGGCTCCCGCCTCTAGCACCGGCGGCTCGAACAGCTGGAGCACGCCATCCACGCCCTCGACCGGCGGCTGGGGCGCTCCTCCTGCCACTGGCGGTGGCTGCGCTGTCAAGGGCGCCCGCCGCAAATTCCGTCACTAAGCAGTGACCGACGACATCCAAGTGATCTTCTGGCCGTCGGGTTGCTAGCTGATCGTATATGTTGTGTGTAGTTCCAGCCGAGAGAGAGAACGAAGTCTCTAGACACTGTCGTAATAGAACAAAGAAACCTTCCGGAACTCTTTTGACTTAAGTAGCGTAAGGAATCGATGCAGCGTTGGTATTGTATTCATTCCTCTAATCGCCGTGTTGTCTCTAAGTTGTGTTCGTGAGACGATGCATATTGATCGCTTATTGACCGCTGATAGTTTTGTCATGCTATGTTGTGCAGGCACCGCTTTGGAGTGCCACCGTCGTGATAATGGCTACCGAGGTACTGATACCGCGAGCTATAACGCTGTCTTGATAAAGGTTATGACGATCACAAGTTCATAGGCGCACTAACCGGTCAAAGGGGTTCGCTGAGCGCAAGTACATTAACTTCGTTACTCTCGAGGTCGACACTAGGTAGATACATACATTGAAGTGGGTGGGGCGTGGCCACTCTAAACTCTCAAAACGGTGGCGCGTACAGTCATCGATCCGCCGCTCACTTAGTGGCGGAAGCGGTAGCTGCCCTTGCCGTGGCCCTTGCCCGCGCTTCCCTTGGCCGCGCAGCCACCCGACGGAGCAGAGGGCGTCGATGGAGCAGCCGGAACTTCCGTTGCAGCGGGCGCGTCCGTCGTAGCAGGCGCGTCTGTCGTGGTCGAAGTCGAGCTGCCGGCGGTCGATGCAGCCGTGGACTCAGCTGTGGATGCAGCAGTCGACGCAGCAGTCGAGGACTGCGTGGCAGACCCCGAGGCGGCACAGGTCGTGGCCTTGCCGGGCGTCGTCGTGAACGCCGTGACGGTGAAGTCCGGGTTGCTGCCCTTCTTCCACGTGCAGCACGGGTCGCCGAACGCCTCACCGTTGGTCATCGACGCGCCTGGGAACGTCTTGCCGCAGAAGTCGGTACTCCACGAGTGGCCAGCGTCGGCGAAGGCGGTGGCGAAGTCGGTGTACTTGGAGGTGTCCTTGTTCGGGTGACCAAGCTCTTGCGAGAAGGAGCTTCCGTTCGGGAGCTCATCAAGGTACTTGGCCAGACCATTGGCCGAGTCGAACGTGGCGGCCATGACGAGGGCGCTGGCGGTGAGCGCGACAAAGGTCTTCATTGTGGTGCTGCTGAGTAGGCTTTGGTGATGAAACTTGGTCGGCAAATTGGGGAATGAACTCTGGTCTGCTGCTCGAGCCGCTGTCGCGACCAGGTTAATCTGGTGCAGCCCGGCAGAGGTGGTGCCTCTGCATGACCAAGGAGAGCGCCGGGGCGTTGGGCTGTTCGTGAGGGGGGAGTAAAGGCTGGATGGATGGCTTCGCCGCCATGTGGGCCACGCTGTGGCATGATCGGTCGCATGAAGCTGCGCCTGGTCAGATCGGGTGCCTGATCCAACGGAATCTAGCTGCGTTCCGCCATGACACCTGGCCTCGCCTGTCGACTGACACAAAGTCTCCAGTCTCCGTTCTGGTGGTCAGCCCCAGAGTCATCCGAGGTGATGCGGCCGCAGCGGCTGCTCAGGTGCTCGCCCCACAGATGCCGCTTTCGTGCGAGAGTTCAATCCAGCATGCCAGCGCTCCACGCCTTGGCCAGCTACAGTACAGTACCAGTAACTTACAGCAGCGATCGCGTCATGACGCCCCGAAACGGGGAAGCCGCAAAGGCGGTGCCGTCGAACCAGCCGCTAGCTCCGAAGCGCGCGGAACCGCTTCAACACCTGCAACTTGGCCGCCCAACTCACCGGCGGTGCTGAACTCGGTGCTGAATATCTGCCTCAACGCCAGGGATAACCGTTCCGGAGTGAGGCCGGAGCGGGCTTTCGGCGATTCTTGGAGGGGATAACGCCTGCGTTCAGAGCTGCTACCTGTCGGCAATCTTTTTCAAGGCGGTGCGAGATGCAGATATGAAGCGAGGGCGACGCGAAAGCAATGGAGCGATCCAGCTGAGCGAGCAAAGATCACTTTCCAATTCGCTCGGCACAGCGCAGCTCAACCACTGCCTCCCCACCTCCAACTCTGTTCGCAATGAAGACTTGCATCGCCATCACCGCCACCGCCCTCGTCATGGCCGCCACGTTCGACTCGGCCAATGGTCTGGCCAAGTACCTTGACGAGCTCCCGAACGGAAGCTCCTTCACTCAAGAGCTCGGCCACCCGGGCAGCGACAGCTCCAAGTTCACGAAGTTCGCCTCCACTTTCGCCGACGCCGGCCACTCGTGGAGCACCGACTTCTGTGGCAAGACGTTCCCCGGCGCGTCGATGACCAACGGCGAAGCGTTTGGTGACCCGTGCTGCACGTGGACGAAGGGGGGCACCCCGGACTTCACCGTCACGGCATTCACGACAACCCCCACCAAGGCGACGGTGTGCGCTGCAACGACTGAGTCCACGGCCTCGTCGACCGCTGGAAGCTCGACAACCACGACGCCGTCTGCAACAACTTCGCCCCCCTCGACTGCGTACACTGAAGCGCCGACCCCGTCGACGACTACTGCAGCACCTGCTACCTCTGCTCCAGAGTACACTGACGCCCCGACAACGACCCCTTCAACCACCGCCCCGCAAACGCAGAGTCCGTCGTCGGGTGGATGTGCCGTCAAGGCGGACGGTGGCTCGAAGCACAGTAAGGGTGGCAGCAGCTACCGCCGCTTCCGCCACTAAATGTAAGTTTGTTGCATGCGTTGTCGTGAAAAGAGTAGAGTGAATACAAGTATCAGTTGCTAGAAACTCGCAATGGTTGATACACTTGCAAACAAAACGCATCTCCGCAACAACTCAGTCCGTCTATTACGACAACCCCCTACTAGTACTACGACGGCGTCTGGTTGGAGGCTTCTTTCTCTCTGTCCTCTGTTCGACTACACACAACACCTACGATTCAGACACAGTTTAGTGGCGGAACTTGCGGGCGCCCTTGGCAGCGCAGCCACCGCCCGTAGCAGGCGGGGTCCAGCCACCACCGCCAGTCGACGGGGTCTCAGCGGAAGGGGTTTCGGCACCGGAGCCCTGCTCAGTAGAAGGCGTCTCAGCACCAGATCCCTGCTCCGTTGAGGGCATCTCCGCTCCAGAGCTCTCCTCGGTGGAAGGCGTCTCGGCCCCTGATCCCTGTTCAGTCGATGGCGTCTCAGCACCCGAGCTCTCCTCAGTCGAGGGGGTCTCGGCACCCGATCCCTGCTCAGTCGAAGGGGTCTCTGCGCTTAATCCAGTCGAAGGAGTCTCAGCGCTAGAACCGGTCGAAGGCGTCTCCGCGCTAGAACCAGCGGCCGAAGGAGCAGCGGCAGAACCTCCGGCACCCGTCTTGCCGCCGGAAGCGCACGTCGTGGCCTTGGTAGGCTTCGTCGTGAAAGGCGACACCGTGAAGTCGGGCTTGCCGCCCTTCGTCCACGTGCAGCACGGGTCGCCGAAGGCCTCACCGTTCGTCATGGACGCACCGGGGAACGTCTTACCGCAGAAGTCAGCCGACCACGTGTGGTCCACGGCGCCGAACGCCGTCGCGAACTCGGTGAACTTGGAGCTGTCCATGCCCGGGTGGCCCAGCTCCTGCGTGAACAGGCTGCCGTTTGGGAGGTCCTCGAGGTACGACTTCATGGCCGTGGCCGAGTTCATGGTGGCGGCCACGATGAGCGCGGAAGCAGCGAGGGTGGCGTACGTCTTCATTGTGTAGATTGGTTGAGAGTCTGAAAAGAGCTGGCTGGGAGCTGGAAAGCTGTTCTGGTGGTCCGAGGCAAATTGCAGAATGAGTAAATTGGAGGCGGCTCAACTTCTTGCTGTTCGTTCGGCCCGAAGGACGATCTGGAAACCCTACAGCCTGTTTGAGACCGTTACAGTCCGGCTGCTATGGATCCGGTGCCGGATGGGATCCTGGTGACAAACAGCCAGCGAGTGTGTATCGCCTCATGCAGGCAGCCTGCGGCTCGGGCTAGGAGATTAAGTATCCGATGGGACGTTCAATCGACCAGCAGATTAAACAGGTCGCTACGGAATAACCGTCTGGAATGGACCTGTTCATACAAACGAGCAAGCTAACATGCGCCTCCAGCGTCACCACGGAGGCCGGACCACCCGAACCAGCGGCACTTGTATGTTATAGGCACTACACCGTGGAGAATTCACCTCCATGCGCGGAGCAGAAGCTTCGATTCGTTCGAGCTGAGCGCCAGTGTAGCAGTTTAGCAGCATCGCGTGGTGAAGGCGCAAGTAAGGACGGGCAGACTTGTAATCCATCGTGTATTATCCTACAGTATAATACCTTCCCCGATCCTCTTCAACACCACCCCAAGACGATGTCTTGGTTCTGTCGTGAAGACATCCCCTTCATGTCGTCCTCACGATCGGGCAGAGCCTCTACGTGGAGGGGTACTTGTTGACGTGGCGCCAGTGACTCTATAGGTTCCAATGCAACAATGCAATGCTGTTGAATGGCATGCATCTTGTTGTTGTGGCATGATTACCGCTACGTGATAATGGCAGGGTTGCCGAATATTGCATTGTTATCTATTGCAAGCAAGAAGAGAGAATAGATAATTGAACATCAAACTAAACAAACCCGCAATAGAATATCGACATACTTCACACAGCAAAATAGATTATTGGTGCAATGTCAGTGTCTTGATGGGTTACATACTATCATTTACTCCGCGCTCTCAACAGTGCGCGCGTCCCAAAAATCGGCATTCTGCCGCAGGAACAGCAGCATCTCCAGCGTGTACGGCTGCAGTGCGTGGCGCTGCAGCCCAAACGTGGCACGAGCGATGCTAAAAAATCGCTCGACCACGTTGGACGTGGGCGGAATGGACGCCAGCAGTTCGTAACATGGTTGATGCTCTTCCAGGAGCCGACGCTTTTGCAGCCGCTCCACGAAGGGGATGCTGGCCTCCTCATCCTTCTCTTCTTGCTCGCCCTCGCCCGCTGGTGGAGCCGCCAAGAAGCGCTCCAGCGCCGCCTTCTTCACCCGGGTCAGCCGCTTGGCTTGCCCCTTGAGCACCTTGACGCAGCCCGCCTCGAAGTCGGGGCTGTGGACGATGTCAGCCCGCGGTGCTACAATACAAAACAAACAATTAATATTAGTAAATGTACCAATAACGCATAATAGACAAAAAACGTACCGAGATAACGGGCGTACGAGGGCTTCGCGGCAATGAGCCCGTCGAACCAGACGCGAACGTCGAGGAGGTTTGCGTCAGCGCCTTGGAGAGCCTTCAACACGGACTCCACGTCCTTCAGCTCGCCGAGCAGGTCCCGAAGCCGCCGCTTGGACGCCGCCGGGGGAAGGAGCTCGGCCAACTCGTCGTCCTCCGCGTCGATGAATGGTAGAAGCTCGAAGTAGCGGTTAATCATCGCAAAGGTCGAACCCCAGCGGGTTTGCTGGCGGATGATTGGTCGAGGTCGGTCTTGAACCTGCAAGCACCAAAGTGTAAATTTCAGTTAAGTAACACTAACTAACAAAAATAACAGGAAATATACAAATACTAACCGGGGTTTTGCAGAATGGAGGAGGGTCCGCAGCTTTACCATCAGCGCCTGTACCATGTCGACATCTTCAGCGCATTCGCTCAGCCGGGCGGCGACGGCTCGGTTGAGTCGGTGGCTTGCACACCCGACTAGCGGGACGTCCATCAGCGTAGGGAGGCGGCGGTTGACGCCGCAATTATCTCCCACCAGGAAGAGAACCTGGTCCAGGCGCTTCTGATAGTCGCGCGCTAGCATCGTAGCCAAGAAGGTTTGATGACTAGCCGCGAAGAAGTCGTCGGTCTCATCGTTGACGAGTGGTGCCATGCAGAGCAAGGGGCACCTCAGAACCCCATCAACCTCGTAGCACGCGAAGACCGCGATGTAGTGCTCCGAGTCGTGGCTCCACCCGTCAACGATTAGACCAAACTCCTCCGGCATCTCAGCCGCGATCGCGTGCTCGACGCAGCGCGTCACCGCGTCCATGACGCGCCGAAGCGTTTCAACAGAGACAGGCTGGAGGCGCGTGTAACTAGATGCAAAGTGTAAACACATATTAGTTAATTGCCAAACAGTACATATTCAGTAGAGAGCTGGGTCGTACCGTCTTGCGAGCTTGCTCTCGCAAAATGATAGCGGTAGGTTGCACTTCACCAGCCACTCCAGGCACCTGAACAAGTTCTGGGCAGAATGGCGGACGTAGTGAGCAAGAGAGCCCGTCTGACCGGGTGTTGCCGCCAGCATCTCCTCCGAGTACGAGGGGTGCTCGCGCCTGATGTCGTGTAGGAAAACACGAGTTTACGAGTCCTCGCCCTATCAACCGAAGTCTCTAGGACGAGCCCTACCAACAACACACGCCGTCTCCGAAGAGAAGGCGATAGATTGTCGGGATAATAAACCTGAAGACCAGGTCCGATCCCTTATACGGGCTGGAATCTGCCTCCCTGTGTGTTGCGGGTCAGGTAGGTTTACCCTTCGTTAAAATATAAGAGCACCCTTAGCCACGAGCTACGGCTAGGATGCAATGTGTAATTCGTGCTTCCGCACTAAACCTCTGTGGTCCCTCAGAAAGGAAGGGTACCAGGCCAATCGAAGCCTCTTACAGGGGCGCCGGGGCGAAGCCTCGGCTAGAAGTCAAATACACTAGGGGGGGGGGGTCCTTGCCTCACACTCAGTCAAACTTACAACTGTACACAGAGGTCACTAATACCTCCCAACACTCGGCCACCTACTCACTCTTGGCCTTACCAGTATGAACACTCCGTCAATGCACCTTACGCTCACCGGCAGACATACCCCGTGCAGCCGAGTGTATCCAGACCCTACGCTAAGCTTAGTGACTTACCGTAGACGGACTTGACCCTTGTGTGGCTTGGGGGAAAATTCTGCTCTGTTTAATGATTAGAGGCTGTCAAACCTCTCCTATAGCTAATCCCTAAGGTCTATACAAATATCAAGTGTGGACCGAGCTATCGAGCTGATCCTACAATCGGACGAAGCTTCGTCCTAAATCCGAACTCCTACTGGGCTTAAAGTGTACCCACTATGAAACTTCGGAGGCCTCGGCAGCCGGTTTATTTTGACCCGCCGAGACCCTCCTGTCACTCCGTAGGCTCTATCAATCTTCTGGGCACTAACGCGCGGGGAATGTGACCGACCAATCAGAGCCCTCGGCCAGCCATCTCTCGCAAGCTCAAGGCAGTTAGACCTCGGCCGGAACTCGCCCGGCCGCAGTCATTTCCCGATCTCACACTGATATGCTGCATCAGGTTCGAGTACCCCGTCCCGGTGACTCGCTTCCTGACCGCACCGCACCGGCAACGGAAGTACTCGAGAATGACCTCATCGTACTGGTCGCGGCACGGCCGGAAGTAGAAGTTGAAGACCTGCATGTTAGTGAAAGCGGCCGTGCGAGGCGGACGGGGGGCTGCGAGCATTGTGGCGGCTCGTGGTGGGCTTGGTGGCGGGTTGTCGGCTTCCAGTGGAATGAAAAGTGGGGAGAGTTGGTATGGTCGAGCTCAAGCCATGGGTTTGTAGGATGGTTGGCTGCAGTAGCCCACAATACATAATCGAAGATGTTATGCTCTACTCAAAAGATAACTGGTAGATAGCGGTTAAGAACATGTCAATAAATTATTGATTCAAATCTATTGCAATAATTTCAGCACCATTTATTTTTCGGCATCCCTGGATAATGGTGGGCAACCTGGCACAGGCAATCTTAAAGGGTATCAATTTAGTAAAGGGCGAATGCTTTCAAACTGCAGAAGCGAAGGGATGCTGTGTGTTGATACTTGCTTGTTCATTTATTAATATACCTACTGTACACAAGCATCACCTTGATAACAGATACCTTCAACAAGCGTGTCCCCTATGATAGGATAGGGGCCCTATCCATCTCTGATGGTCTTTAGGAATTCTGTAGGGTACGCACTTCAAGAGATTGAGAGCGATCACGTACAGCCTCCACCAAGCTTCCATGCAAAGCGCGACGAGCGCATTGGCATGAGGAGGAAGTGATAAGGCTCGAGTGGCCTTCAACCCCCCGCGTGTCCGATTGTGGCACCCCCAGGGGGTGACATCGGCCCAGCAGGGAATAACCTCTTGGTCTTATCTTTTGTTGATGGCAAACTTGATCTGGCCGAGCCGATTCGGTGAGGACGAAGGCAGCGAAAGCGGATATGAATCAACACATCGGACTCTGGCCCAGAGCGACTGGTGTGCTGGAAACTATAGGCTCGGTAGAATACCTTTTGGTGGTACCCCACCCCACCCCCGCCCGAGGAAAACTTCCCCTCAAATATTCTTCTGAAACCTCAGTGGCCGTGCAATGTTGGAAGACAAGAAGCGTTGTTCACCTACGAATGCGTAAGCTTAGAAGTAAAATCGTGGACCAAAAATTCGCGCTGTCTTACTACATTTACATTTGCGCTAACAACAACCGCGTCATATCTGCAGCTTCACGCACGAAACAATTCCATCAGAAGTTCATACGTGAGCGCCTACTCGCTCTGCTGCGCCGTGTCGGTCGAGTTGTTCGAGCCTGCATACGACAGAATCGCGCTCTTCTCCGACTTGGCCCGGGCCTTGGCAGCCTTCATCTCGGCCTTCTGCTGGGCCTTAATCTTCCGCCACTCGGCCTTCATAGCTTTACGCTTGGCCTTGCGCTCAGCCTCCGCCTTGTGCCGGGCCGCTTTAGCCGCCTGCCGGGCGTCCTTCGACTTCTTAGAGTCGTCGTCGTCATCATCGTCGTCGCCGTCCTTCTTGACTTTACCGTTGGTCTTGGACTGCGTCTCGCTCTGCGTGACATCATCTCCACTGGACGACGCAGCTCCCTGCGTGACATCACCACCCGAGGACTTCTCACTGCTGCTGTTGCTCTCCTCCTCCTCCTTCTCGTTCTTCTTCTCCTTCTTGCTGCTTGCTTCGGACGCGTCCGAGCTGCTCTCCGTCTCACCACTGGACGAAGAGAGCGTGCTATCTGTGGACTCGCCACTGGACGAAGTAACCGAGCTGCTCTCCGTGGACGAGGACGCAGCCTCGTCGCTTGAGGACGTGGCCGCCTTGCTTCTCGACGACGAAGCAGTGCTGGCCTCAGTTTCGCTGCTAGAAGACGAGGTCTCGCTGGATTCGACCTCATCACTCGACGAGGAGACGGAGCTAGTCTCCGTGTCGTCGCCGCTGTGGGAGGAGGTAGCAACCCCCTTCTTCTTGGACTTGGAGGCGGCGCTGCTCTTCGTGGTTTGGTCGCTCTCGTTGCTGTCGTCGGTGCTGTCGCTGGTGGCACCCTCGTACGGCTTGACCGTTCCCTGAGCTCCGGAGCCCATTCCCGAGACGTCCGAAAACGTTTCCGACAGGGGCGCCTTGGTCGCCGACGGGTCGGAAGCGTCCAAAGCAGCGGACGAAGACCCCGACGCAGAGACGGAAGTGGCTTGGCCCAACTCGCGCGCGTCGGACATCGAGACGCACGCGACCAGCGCCGCAAAAGCCGCGGCTCGTTGGAAGTTCAGGGCGACCATGTGTGCTTGCAGTCAATAACCCGACTGGGGAGATTGGAAACTGAACGAATGCATTGCAATTGAACGCACATGTTCATGGTCCCTCCTCGGCCGTGTGGAATTGTGTTATCTCGGGATGGGATTCCGGGCGCAAACCATTGGCGTTCTGCATGCAGCGATCGGGCATTTGGAGCGGATGGGATTTGAGAAGTCGGTCCCTCGGCCTCGATTGCCATCGGGCCCCGATTCAGGGGGGGGGGGGGTATCGGTGACTTGCCACAGTTCTTGTTGGTCTTGAAGATTGATCCTGCTCGTTCTCCTGCGTGTCCCTCCTATCTTGACTCTGCTCGTCGTCCCCACTTACAGAAGCAGCTTCATCGTCACTCTCACTTCTATACCGTGGCTCTTCATTTTTCTCGGCGTTCTCACACTCTCCTTGTTCTGATGACGCACTTGTTTGCTGTTCCCGGCCATTGGGCTCTCCTTCTCTGGCGTTTTGACCGCTTTCTTCCGTTATTTCGCGTTCGAGGTGCCGTTCATGGTCATCAGCTGTCGTTTCTCTTCTCGCTGCCCACCTCGGTCGTCCACCATCGATCTTGGACCTCCATCCTCGCCACTCCTTCCGGGGTCCGGATGGAGAGGCGGAGGCATTGCTCCTTGCCTCAGTTGACTTGGTTTCAGTATACTTCAACCCCTGCACTTGTGTCACTCTCGATCCCTCCAGCCTGTGCTCAGCTATTCGGGGCGTGCGCTAAAATCGAAAGTGTTTCATATCGGTGCCAGCGCGACAACTCGAACGAAGGAAGAGCACTTACGGCGCGCACGCTTCCAGCACGAATGAGACGCAATCATGGTTCTCGAACGCCTTTCCTCGGATGGGACCAACTCCGGACGCCGGGAAATCCAGCGGACCAGGGACCCCATGATGGAGTGCTTCACTCTTGCCGCCCACCGAGATGAACTCGAATGAGAACGGGCCTGGCGGAAAGTGTAGCACGTGTATTATAGCATCTATCAGCAAGCAGCACCGCCTTGAACGCCTTGAACACGGGGAAGTTTCCGCCCCCCCTGGTTTAACGAAAGGCACCACCTCCACACACGATGGAAGAAAGGAGTGAATGAAGGGCAAACGCAGAATAACTATACTTCTTAACACGAAAAAGCGGGCGGGCAGCTCCATTTCATACCGCTGTCACGTCGACACAACTATCGTACGCTGGCAGGTGCATCGTCGCTCTAGGACCCTCGCGGTGAGATTTTCTTGTGTTCCGTCCGGGAAGACATCTATCGACCGCGCCGTTCCATTTATCGTAGCACGTAGGGAAGAACTGGCGCCGCTATAAGCTTACTCGCAGTACTCGGACGAGTCCGTCACAGCGGTGTTGTCCGTCGTGTTGCTGCTGGCGGCCTGCTGCGTGGCCGAGTCGTCCGTGGAGCCGCTGGCCGCCTCACTGGTCGTGGTCGAGGTTGTGGTCTCCTCCTGAGCGGCGCTGGTCGTGGTCTCCTCCTGAGCGGCGCTGGTCGTGGTCTCCTCCTGGGTCGCGCTGGCCGCCGTGCTGGTGGCCGTGGACGCGGACGCGCACGTGGTGCCGTCCGTGTTGGGCTCCGTGAGCGTGTAGTCCGGGTCGCCCGACGTCCAGGTGCAGCACGGGTCGCCCAGGGCCTGGCCGCACGTGACGGAGCCACCGGGCCACGTCTTGGAGCAGACCGTGGCCCACTCGGTGCCGTCGTCCGAGAAGAGCTGGCCGAAGTCCGAGTAGCCCGTGTCCGTGTGGCCCAGCGACTTGCCGATGTTTTCGCCGTTCGGGATGAGCTCCATGTAGCTCGAGTAGGCGGACGCGGTCTGCACGAAGGCGGCCGCGACGACGGCGATCTGAACGGTGGACAGCATTATCAAAGAGGAGTGAGGAAGCTCTCGGTGTCTCTGTGTGCGCGCTGTCGTAAGGCGAAATGAGGATTGGGGGCGTGCCTGGTCGGATCGGCGCAGGACAATTCAATCCGGCGGTGGCGAGGAGACCAGACTTTTACGGATGCCGGGATGGCGATCGGCTGCTTTGCGGCGGCTTTTTCCCTCGGTCGCTTCTCTGAAGACGCATGGCAGGCGTTGCCGCTCGCCAGCTGGGGCCGACGCTGGGAACAAGTGGATGGATGCCTGCACCATCAGAATCGCTGACAGGCTAAAGTCGCACCGAGCTGTACGAGCGCTTGATGGATCAGTGACTGCGGGCGGCTCGATTTGTGAAATGCTTCAGCTTCGGTACATCGCAGGATGCCAGCGCTAGCGCTCTATAACGGGCCAGTTGTACATGTAGTGCGAGAGCTGGCTGCGGACAAAATGCTCACGGAGCTGAGCACGGTCCTCGCGCGCGAAAGCGAGGTGCCAAATATGATCGCAGGGAGTCCAGTGTAGCGCATTGAGACCGTCTGGCGCCCGCGCGATTGAACTCGTTCGTTTGAGCTGCACCACAATACACAAACCGCACACAGCACGGCGAGTTGCATCGGGCCACAACGACTCGGTGTTGATATTAATCGCCACCAGTATCGACGACGTTGCAGCGGCCGCGGAAAAGTTAGGTCTGAGTTGTAGATGTAAAAGCGGCCAGAGCGTGCCCATTGCTTCACGCTTGCTGCGGCACAGCAAATGAACCGTGACTCACGGCTTGCTTCGTAAAGCAAGCCAGCAATGAACCAAGTACTTGTGCGTTTGGCCAAGAGGTCACACCATTCGACATGCTTGAGCATTACTCAATGAACAATAACGCGTTGTGATTCAGATTCAGCCCTCCTTGCGAGGTCTTATACCTTACGCCATGATGGACGTTTGTGAATCCCGGGCAGCGTACACCTCGCGCTTCGCCGAGTTTGGTGCCTTCCAAACTGGAAATCCACGCTGCTGAGCCGGCGCCACTCGATCTAAAATCCGATCAGAAAGCGGCACCGCTTGCGGGACGCATTTCAAATCTAGAAATCGCTCAGTAATCAGTGTAGTGACAGATTCAACGGGTGCTCTATCCACCTCTAGTGCGACCGTCGATAGCTTAACCTAGACTTAAATATTTACATAGCGCCACACCAGTCGGGTATACTAGTCCATATTTAGGTTCGTATTTTATGGCTGATGTTAGGCGACGCACTAACTTTGCCCATCGATTTCATTTAAACTAATTTTAGGTAGGTAAAATATGAGGGTAATCAATGTCTCAGATAAATCTAGGAAAAATAGAGTGATAAAACTGATAACGCGGTACGGTACCGCACTGGGCTGAGTAGCCATCACTTTCAGAATCGCCAGCAGCTCAACAAGCCGTCGACGACCCCCTTCGAAGCAACCTCCAGCCAGCCAGCCATGCCCAACGTACTTCCAGCTAAGGACCTCTACATCAATCTGCGCGAGATGCTCTTCGTGCGCTTCGTGTTCACCATCCTCACCCTCAGGCAACCCGAAAAATAATATTGCCCGAAAATCTAACAGTAGTTTCGGATACAATACTTTATTTAGGGCATCGCCGTTTGTTTTATCCGAAATTTATGTAGCCGAGTTCTAAAATTCGGTATTTTACTTCTGCTCATCCTGCTCCAACCATTAGTTGTGGTCAAACATCGCGCTCTACCAGCGTAACTTTGCCGTTAGCCCTCACTTTCAAACAAGCACCACCCAGCACGCGTATCACGACTCGACGTTAGCACCGTGACCGACAATCTCCTCGCTGGCCCCGCTCCGAGACCTACCTTCTCGCCCAGGCAGATTGCTGCCTTCTACTTCAAGCCCTGCCTGGACGAGGAGGGAGAGACGACGGGCTACTATGCCTGCAAGACCTGCGCTAAGCGCCGCAAGCACGCGCCCAAGTCAGGCTACAGCAACTTGGTGTCGCACGTGCGGGCGGCGCACCCCAACTACGAGAGCGACATGCGCGACGCTAGTGTCGCTGCGACGGGGACCCTACTGCCGTAGGTCACCCAGAAGGCCTCGAACCGCTACGCGTGGCTGCGCTGGGTCGTCACGGGCAATCTACCGCTGTCTTTTTGCGAGTCCAAGGAAACGCGACGGTACGTATTTTCATATCTATTTTGGTGATATACATGTGTGTTAATGCCGTATGTTATGTAGATACACGAAGCTAAATCCCATCTCCGTGGAGACGCTGACCGCCATCATGGAGGCCGTGACCAAGGCCGTGGAGACGATGACCGGCGACGCCATGCCCGAGCGTTTTGGTCTGGTCCTTGATGGGTGGACCCACGGCACGGAGCACTACATGGCAGTGTATGGCTGCTTTGAGACGGCGACAGGCCCCCAGTACCCGCTGCTGGCCCTAGCGCCCGTCATGGATGAACCTGACGACCAGCTGAGCGCTGACGGCCATCTGACGGCGATTAAAAGGTTCCAACCCATTTTTGGTAAGTCTATCTCCGGATGGCTATTCCTGGTGGGTGCCAACTGCGGAGTAAACAAGCGGCTGGCGAACCTACTCGGTGTGCCGCTAATCAGCTGTGCCAGCCACCGCCTGAACTTGGCGGTGCGAGACTACTTGGAGCCCCACGACAGCATCCTCGAAGAGGTCCAGCAGCTTATGCGTAAGTTGCGGACTTTAAAGCAAGCAGCCAAGTTGCGGTAAGTACTCTGTTTGCTGTTATATTTGGTTTTTGTATTGGTACTAAATTGGTCTTTGTTTTTGGGTTTTGTTCGAAATTAGTGCCAAGACCCCATTGGCCGACAGGACACACGCTGGTCGTCGACCTTTATAATGCTCAAGCGCTATTTTCGGCTCCGTCCGTTCATTTCGGCGGACTTCCTTCCGTCACGCTCAGCCCACCGCAAGCTGGACACTTTGCTGGCAAGCCTCCGGGACGTCGAGTCCGTGTCCAAGCACCTGCAGGGCGACGGCCTTACGCTGCTGGACGCTCGTGTCCTATTCGACAAGCTCCTCAAGAGCCACCCCTCGTTCGCGAAGTATCTCGGTAAGGATCATCGCTCACTCTGCGTCTGATGATATTTCTACTTAACTACTGCGTTTTATATGTTTTTATTTATGCATAGCAACCGCGCGGATATAGTCCACTCCGCCGTCTTCGAGCAGGCGGTCGTCAAGGTGATGGGCGACCAGGCGGCCCTGCTGACGGACGCCGAAGTCGCTGCGCTGGAGCCGTTCAAGCGCACGCAGGCTCATGTGGAAGGCGTGGACTGCACGACGGCTGACAAGGAAGGGTTCGCTGTGCGTGCGCTCAAGCGGCGCAAGGTAGCTGCTGCGCCGGCCACGTTACGAGCTGCTTAATGCGATTCCTCCTACCTCAAACATGGTTGAGAGGCTCTTCAGCATTGCGCGCGCTGTGCTGCGCCATGAGCGCCACCGCCTCTCCCCCATGATGCTAGAGATGATCTTGTTCCTTAAGATCAACAGCTCTACTGGGATGTTGCGACCGTGGAGCAGTGCCTGTAAGTAGGTACAGTCGTAACATGATTGCAGTAATTTGCTGTCAACACTATGTCTTGCGTTATTTATTTAGTCTGCTACTCGGATGCAATGCAATATTTATTATGGTGTCCGGCAAACAATAGATATATATCGTATTTTTGGCATGCCTGCTCACCCCCTTCCTCTTCGTGGTCGGGATGCTGCTGCGCTCGCACTACCGCAAAGTCAACGGACAGTGCACACCAGGCCTCACCCGCTACCGGCCTGGACACGCCCACGCCGCCTAAAGGACCTGAAATCACCGTAGACAACGGTGTAGAACACCTCAAGAGAAATATAATCTATTCATCCGTCAAACTCCACCAAGCAGTTTCGTGCCACCAGAGACTTGGGACCACCATTAAAATAGTCGCTCGGCTCAAGCATTGCTCAATGGCGACGTCTTCCTTCGCTCGCTGCGCGTCTGCGGTCGTGCTGGTGGCGGCCGTCTGCTTGCTCTGGTTGGATGTATCGTTCGCATTGACAGACGGAGAGGAACCGGCGAGCCCCGTGTGCCGGTACATCGCCAAGGACTCGCTGTCGTTCTGCTCCATGGTGGACTACATGGCGGTGGTCGACGTGGACGATCCGACGGGAGCGCGCTTCGACAGCAAGGCCGAGTTCTACTACCGCAATGTGGACATCGTGCTGCAGCGCTTCGGCTGCCACGCCAAGTACAGCGTCTACGGCTGCGACGACTGCCGCGACGCGTACAAGTACTGGGTCTGCAGCATCAAGTTCCAGAAGTGCGGCTCGCAGATCGTCAAGACGGACCGCGGTGCCACAAAACTGCAGTACTCGACGGACATGTGCGACTACAAGGCGACGACTGCGACCAAGACGGCGACTTCAACGTCCAGCAAGACCACAGCGTCCTTCTGCGTTGAAGGATCATCGGGACGCTATCGCACCTGCCTGTCGATCTGCGAAGATGTCGTGAGGAAATGCCCATACGTGCTCAACTTCCAATGCCCCATGGTACGGTCGCACACTGCAGCTATTCATCGATGTCTTCCTGCTGGCGGTATACTCATCACAAACGTTGCTTTTGTTGTTGTCACGGTAGACGGAGACTCCGTTCTTCTCGGCCGATATCACCACGTGCAATAAGCTGGATCGAGTCTCCAATCCAGATCGACCGAGCCGTGCTTGGCCAGGCACGTTTGCGGACGCATGAGGCGGCAAAAAGTGATTCATCGTATCGTCTACGCGTGTCTTGGGCACCTGCGATTTGGCAGCGAGAACCATAACGAGACACGGAGGAGTGGGCTATCGTTGTAAACCTGGCTGGTCTCGTTCATAGGCTTGGATTTCAAGGTAAAGGGAGAATAGCACATGCAAAGACTGCACACAATTGCCTTCGTACACGGGTATATCCAGCACAGCGCAGACAATCTTCACCAGTTCCTTCAAATTCACATCCAACTCGGACAGCGCTGGCAGGGTAGAGCCCCGAGCGGCTAGGAAGTCCTCGAATTCTTCGGGCCATAGCTCCATCAGTTGGGAGAGCGGCGGCATCGCCTGCTTGTAATTTACCTCGGCCAGAGGCTTCGTCCTTTGAACCTTTTCGACGCTTGCGATCCACTGGTCAACCTCTTGAGGGCGTTGAGCTGCCCACTCGATACTCCGCACGACTTCATTCCTGCTACGGAGTTTGTGCTGATTGCTCGTGCTCACCTGCATGAGCAGTTCCAGCTCGGCTACATTTGTCTCTCCTGAAGGCTCTCGCAATATCTCCACCCCAAGCTTGTCCTCTTTGCCGTCTGGTCTTGGTATCTGATGTTTCGGTGATCGTGTTAGTACGCGCAAGTCCACAATTTATCGATCACGACTAGGAAGTTTTACATACCAGGATTCCATCAAATGGCATGCCCACCGCTGGGGTAAATTCTGGGAGGAATGGCTCCAGTCTTGTCTCAATATCAACCTCTTCCGGCGTATACGCGTCTGCAAGCTATCAGCAGCAATCACATTAGTATCTCGCCTTGTAGATTAAGTTCACCCAGAGAGCTAGCGAGATCTCACATCAGCCACCCGAGCAATGCTGTGAATAAGCCACTCACGCTAAAGAGTTCCTCCACTTCTCGGGGCACCGCCACTTTATACTTGCGCAGGTTAGATTCGTCACCTCGTGCACTCCGAGCCCGCGCACTGCTTTTGATGGTACTATCTGCTCTAGATGGCGGCGTGTTGGCGAAGGCAGAAGGAGGAGGTCCAGCACCATCTACATGTAGAGTGGCCCCTTCAAATTGCTGGAAGAAATCGCTAGGCACGACATCTCGGTATTTCTCCAGATCCTTCGCTGCCGTCTTTGGACGTCCAAGCGCGGATCGCTCCATTTGTAGCTGAAACTTGGTCCGTTCGTGAAAGTTTCTCCTATTGCCGTCGTCACTCTCGTCTTCGTCTTCGGAGGAGCTAGACGCATGGAACTCGGCTGCACGCGACTGCTCCACTTCTTTAACCTCGTACTCGTCCTCATCGTCGCTTAAAGTCGCTGGGCCTTTCACATCTGACCGATTCGATGGGAATTTGGTGGTGATAGGGGCAACTCCAAAATCCGCAGCACTCACAACTCCTGCCTGCAATTTCTACACCGTGAAGCGAGCTCAACCCAGCGTTTTAGCTTCCACCCAAAACAATAAAAGAACACCCTGTCAACGAACCTGAGAGATTGGGCTCCCCGGAATTTCAGGCGGTTCATCCGAGTCTTCATCGGAGCTCTCATCCGCTCGCGCACGACTCAGCGACCCAAACCCACCCATAGACGCTCCACCGTTGCGAGCGCCCGGACGGTCCAGAAACTTTTCGTCTTCAGAGCTGGTACCACTGCTCGATCCGCCGCCAACGCTGCTGTCACTACTACTAGAATCACTACGTACTGTAACAACATACGATGCAGGTGCAGTGCTAAGTACACACTTTAAAACGCGAAGAAGCGCAGTGGTGAGACGTACTCCGTCGCTTCATCGGCGAGGACGCGGCGGTGTCCACGCTGCCAACACAACATGCCACCCAGTCAGTCAACCTCTGATAGGTGCACCAGTGCCAATAGCATCCATAGACAACAACAGCGCCACACCTCACTTGCAGGGCGTCCTCGAGCTCGTGCACCTCGTCCATACTCTGCCACAACCTTCAGTCAGTTCACACTGCAGCTCACCCAACCGCCACCAGACGCCAGCACCTCGTCATGCAGCAGCACCTTCTCCTGCAGTAACAAACAACACGCCAACCGTCAGCTAGAGCCCTCATCCTCCCACACCCACGCGCACACGCACCTCGTCCGAGTCGCTCATGCCGCCGTAACAATGGCGATCTTCAAGAGGCGCACGTTGATATCTCCTCTTGATTGGCCAAAACCAGTAGACAGGTACACCGTACCACTCTGATGGTATGGCTACCAGGATGCATGGCCATTTACCAGCAATACCCAGAGCGGCGACAACCATGGCCGAGTTCCAGGCCGTGATCTTGGCCGGCGGGCGTGGCATCCGCCTGTACCCGCTGACGGAGGAGACGCCCAAGAGCCTGCTGCCGGCCAACGGCAAGCCGCTGCTGTGGTACCAGCTGCACCTGCTGGAGACCTCGGGCTTCACGGAGGTGCTGGTGCTGACCGTGCCCGACCTGCTGCCGCCCCTCCAGGACTACCTCACGCGCGAGTTCGACGGCAAGATCCACGTCGAGCTCTGCGAGGTGGCGGACAACACGGAGACGGCCGACGCGCTGCGCGAGGTGGCGGACAAGATCAAGCGCGACTTCATCGTGCTGGCCGGCGACCTGGTCACCGACGTGGTGCTGCACAACGTGGCCGACTTCCACCGCATCAACGACGCCAGCGTCACCATGCTGCTGCGCCAGGAGGAGCCCGCGCGCACCAAGGCCAAGGGCGAGAAGCCGCGCCGCGACAAGGACATGACCGACTGCATCGCGCTCGTGGAGGGCCAGCGCGACGAGGAGAACCGCGTCGTGCTCGTGTCCCAGGCCGTGCACATGAACGAGGACCTGTACGTGGCCAAGAGCCTGCTCAAGCGCCGCAGCAACTTCGTGCTGCACACGGACCTGTACGACGGCCACTTCTACATCTTCTCGCACTGGGTGCTCGACCTGCTGCAGGAGAAGAAGTACATCGCCAGCATCAAGGCCGACCTCGTGCCGCACCTCGTGCGCCGCCAGTTCCGCGGCGCCGCCGCGCTGCCCGAGAGCGTCCGGGAGAGGGCCACGAGCAAGCAGGCGCTCGCGGCGTCGCTGTCGCTGTCCGAGGAGAAGCACGACCCCGAGGACCTCGTGCGCTGCTTCGCCTACGTGCTGCCGTCCAACGCCTACTGCGAGCGCGCAGACACCATCCCGGCGTACAAGGCCATGGACGAGGAGGTCGGCTCCCGGCTGCGCATTAAGCGCTCGGGATCCATCTCCAACTAGGCGTCATGTTAGTGCAGCTTGAGCTGGAGACAGTAAGTAAATAAAGAGGCATCTGCTAGACACTGGTGCGCAAAACGACAGTTGCGTGTTTGTCCAGAAAAAATGACAGGGAAAGTGGAGCTACTTGACTTGCAGCCTACAGCTCCTCGTGCTTGGCAGCATCGTCCGACGAGCCAGACAGCGCAGCCTCCAGATCGCCGCTCGGCACGGAGAACGGGGTCGAACCATCCACGAGCTTGTCGAGGAACTCCGAAATGGCGCTCTCGTCGTTCGTGCCCGACAGAGCTGCGACCGGAGACAAGAGCAAGCAACCAAGAGGTGAGTACAAGCGCAACAAAGCAGTTGTGAAGTCCACACGCACGTACCCGAGTACTTGACCTTGCGGCCTGGCTTGACGACAACGACCTCGGGAACATCCGTCTTCTCGCCGATGAACTCAGTCAGCGCCTTGAAGGCCTGCGCACCAGGCTTGCTCGACAGGAAGGTGAACGGGTCGCGGCGGTACTTCTTGGCCAGCGAGCGCACCAGCTCCGCGTCCTCCTTGGCCACGACGACGCACATCTTGCCACGCTTGGAGGTGCAGTCGCGAACACTCTGCGCGTCCAGCTCCTTCAAGGTGACCACGGGTTTCTTCTTGGCCACCTCGGGCGACGGGAACAGCGGCACACTGGGCAGCGACTCGTCCTTCTCCGCCGCCTCAGTGTTCGCCAGCGCGTCACCGATGAACTTCTTGGCCGCAGCCTCGTTGAGCTTGGTCTCCTCCGACACCACGTACTTCTGGCTAGACGGGTAGACGTAGATCACGGTCGGCAGCTGCTCCTCGGTGAGTCCGAAGTGGTTGGCGATCTTGTCGTCCGATCCCGGCACGAACGCGAGCTGGACGGTGGGTTTCTTCTTCTTCTTTTTGCCCTCCATGAACGACTCGGCCACGTTGCCGAGCCACGCCGGCACCTTGGCGCTCTTCTTGCCCTTCTTCGGGCTGCCGAAGAAAATGGCCGACGGCAGCTCCTTGTTCACGAAGGCGTGCACCTTGTCATACTCGAGCGTCGCGACGTTGGCGCCGCTGACACCGAGTTTCTTGGCCTCAGGCGAGTTCTTCACATACTGCACGATGTCCCTGGCCGTGCGCCCGCCGCGGTAGTCCTGTGGACGCTTCTTCTTGGCGCCAAACTCCTTGATCGTCGGGAAGCCCTTGATCTGGTACTTCTGCGCCAGCTGCTGGTGCACCGTGGCATCCACGACGCCCAGGCGCGCCTACAACAATAATCCATCGAACGTACAAGCCCGCATTTCAAAGGTTACTCGTCAGTGCATCAACTCGCCGTCACCGCTCAACATTTCCTCGAAAGACCACGAAATTTCGAGCGCTTACGTGTTTCTTGAGCTTCTTGGCTGCAGCCTTGTACTCCGGCTCCAGATTCTTGCAGTGGCCACACCTACGTCAGTTGGTAGACAACAGTCAGCACGCTTAGCTTGCATTGCATTGGGGGGGGGGGGGGAGCTGCATAGGAGGAAAGAGGATATCCCACCAGGGCGCGTAGAATTCCACGAGCCAGTAGTCGGGGCTCTGCAGCACCTCCTTCTCGAAGTTCTTGTCCGTGAGGATCACCACCGAGTCCCGCGGGCCGTACATGGCGAGCACGCTGGTGGCCGCGGCCACCACGGTCAGCACCAGTAGCAGCAGGCGGACACGTGGAAGCATCTTGTCAAAAGTCGACGAATGGCAAAGTGAAGTGCATCGCTCGCTTCTAGAAAGATAGGATTCGTTAAAGCAACACTTTCAGCAACTTTGTGCAACTTCGGTAAAGAAAGTTGCCCAAAGGTGCGCAACTTGGTGCATCTTTACGCAATTGTGCAACTTCGAGCACCTTTGGGCAACTTCATCGAGCTTATTCCCAGCCTCAGACAGACAATTAGACCAGAAATGGGCAAGGCTTGTCGCGACATGGCGGAGGCGCTGCGCGACTGCATGGTGCAGCAGGAGTGCATGGCGGACGGCACCAAGACGCTCAAGCAGTGTCTGCACGACCGCGCGTACTCGCACGAGTGCCAGGTGCGTCGACTGCCTGCGGTAGCGGGCAGAGCTGATGAATTTGAACTGAGCTGTCGATACTGTTGATACTCTTGGGTAGGAGTACCGCGTGGCCTACTTCGAGTGCAAGCGCGGCCAGCTGGACATGCGCCAGCGGATCCGAGGCCCGAAGGGAGGCATGTCCAAGCCCGCGGACGGCAACTGATGCGAGGACACGAGGGAAGGCATAGGTGATGTTAACGCAGAATAAAAACACCGAAGAGCAGAAGCTGCTTGTGCCATTAACTTCCCAGGCGGATGGAGACGAGCCGCATTGTGCTTGGAAGCAGCACGTTACGTAGGTTCGCTTGGTTCTGGTGGAGAAGCAGGACGTTGCACTCGAACAGTAGCTGCTGCAGGGCCATTCGGGCGGCCCACTTCACCTTTGGATCGACTTGGATAGTTGCGGTCTCCGACAGGGACTCGACGGTGTTGAGGTAGAGCGGTGCGTTGTCTTGCCAGAGTGGATGGCTAGCGAGCGATAGTCGAAGCAGCAGTCCAAGTGCGTCGAGGCAGCTGGACGGGTCGTGAATTCGGCGGTCGAAAACGGAGAGCAGGATCTCAACGGCGTTCATGAGTAGCTCTGAGCCTTCTGCGGACGATATAACCGCACTGGTTACCAAGCTGAAGACCATGAAGATGTGCGGAAACAAATGCGGTGGAGCGTCGTCCAGGTCTCGTTCCAGCTCGGCAAGAAGCAGTTTCTTCTTGTCAACTGGTAGCGATTCGACATACTTCACTGCAGAGTCTTCAACAATCGATGCTTCCTTGGTGTCCGGCTTGGTAGCATGCACGTGAGCGGCAGCAGTGGTGAATGCTCTCTCTAACTCTTCCCTGCTCGCTTTCATCTCCCTGAAAATCCTCTCTCGACTGCCAAGATCGACTAGCCTCACAAGACCACCCAACTCGTGGCTCATCCCGACTTGGCCTGCCATCGTTTTGCCTGGAAGGACCTTCAGTGCGATGGCATGTTGCAACAGCGGCTTGAACAGCAGAGGCTTCAGCACGAGCGACCACCGCAACCTCACCAGCACCTCCTCGTCCTCCATGAGCTTACTCGCGCTTCTCTGCGTCCGCACCGCCAGTGCGTGGAGCTTTGCAGCACAAAGCAGACTGCAGCTTGCTAGCTGCTCTGCATATATCCAGCAGAAGTCCAACAGCTCCTCCACCGTCTCGATCGATTGGGAGGCTGCAGTTGGAGTGCTCGAGAGTGAATTGCCAACACTTTCGCCATCAAATCGATCCGCAAGAGCCACATCCACAGTGTCAACGTATCCCAGCAGCGCCCGCTTCAACGTCGTGACCGTCTCGCTCGTTGCCGCCACAAACAGCGCGTGTCGCCATTGCAGCAGTGCTTCAGGATCCGCTGACGTCAGATGGCTACACTTTAGCCAGTCGAGAAGTACCCATCTCCTGAAGGGTACGCCGTATCCAGGGGTACGCTCGAGCCATCCTTGCACAAGCCGATTCACTTGTCCTGGGTATGCCTCCTCAGCGTACCCCAGTAACCCTATCAGCTTCGAGGATACCGCGCTGTAATCGGGTAGATGCGGTACAACCTCCTCGATCGCGGCTAGCAGCGGCGCTTGCGCTTCCTCCTCCGCTTCACCACCTCGATCTAACGCGTCTTCATCCCCTCCACCTTCATCTCCCACTGCAGCAGCCCAATTACCCGCCGTTTCCAACTCGTCACCGAGCAGCAGTAACCTCAGCAGCGCCTCCTTCCTCATCATGCGTAACCTCGAGCGGTTGTAATCGCAGCGTAACCTACTCTGAATACTGGCCCCACAACTCAATTTTCGGCCACAGGCTCAAAAGTGTGTCAATCTCATCTCATGCTGCACCGAAGCTGCTCCGTGAGCTCCCGAGCGGCTCTGGGCGCCGCGCGCCGCGGGTTCGCCAAGAAGGCGGCGGCCGACAACCTGCAGGAGCGGCTGGTGACGCTGTGCCGCCACCGCGGCTTCATTTTCCCGGGCTCGGAGCTCTACGGCGGCCTGGCCAACAGCTTCGACTACGGCCCGCTCGGTACGCCCTGCACTCCTCTGACACCAATGGTAACGCTAGCGTTAGCGTCTCTGATTGATTGTTGCAACCGCTGCAGGCGTGCTCATGAAGAAGAACGTGATGGACCGCTGGTGGTTCGAGTTCGTGCAGAAGCGCCCCAACTGCGTGGGGCTCGACAGCTCCGTGCTGCTCAACTCGGCGGTCTGGACGGCCTCGGGCCACGTCGACAACTTCACGGACCCCATGACGGTCTGCAGCAGCTGCAACTCGCGCGTGCGCGTGGACCAGCTGCTGGAGGCCAAGCTGCAGACCCAGGAGGAGATCGACGCCGTGGCCACGCTGTCGCTGGCCGAGATGGACGCGCTGCTCGTGGAGCACGACGTGGCGTGCCCCAACTGCAGCGAAAAGCGCAGCTTCCTGCCGGCCAAGAAGTTCAACCTGCTCTTCCGCACCAACATGGGCGCCACGGACGAGACGTGCGAGTGGATCTACCTCCGCCCCGAGACGGCCCAAGGCGCGTACATCAACTTCGCCAACGTGCAGAGCACCATGCGCAAGAAGCTGCCCTTCGGCGTGGGCCAGATGGGCAAGAGCTTCCGCAACGAGATCTCGCCCGGCCACTTCCTCTTCCGAACGCGCGAGTTTGAGCAGCTCGAGCTGCAGTTCTTCACGCACCCGGACGAGTCGGACGACTGGTACCTGTACTGGGTGGACCAGTGCTACGAGTTCCTGACCAAGTACGGCCTCAAGCCCGAGAACCTGCGCAAGCACGAGCACGCGCCCGAGGAGCTGGCCCACTACGCGCGCGCCACGACGGACATCCAGTTCAAGTACCCCTTCGGCTGGAGCGAGCTGTGGGGCATTGCCAACCGCACGAGCTACGACCTGAAGAAGCACATGGACGCCAGCGGCAAGAGCCTCAAGTACCAGGACCTAGTGGCCAAGGAGGAGTTCCTGCCGCACGTCATCGAGCCGGCGCTTGGAGCTGGACGCGTCATGCTCTCGATGCTGCTGGATGCGTACGACGAGGAGGAGGTGAACGGCCGCAAGCGCACGGTGCTGCGTCTGCACCCGGACATCGCGCCGTACCGGTTTGCGGTGCTGCCGCTTTCCAAGAAGCAGCCGCTGATGGACGTTGCCCAGAAGCTGTTCGAGGAGTTGTGCGGCAGTGCCAGTGTGGACTACGACGTGGCTGGCAGCATCGGACGGCGCTACCGTCGTCAGGATGAGATCGGCACGCCCATGTGCTTGACTGTGGACTTCGATACGCTGGAGGACAAGTGCGTGACGGTGCGAGACCGCGACACCATGGAGCAGAAACGCGTGCCGATTGAGCAGATTCTTCAGGGCACTTCCGTGAAGCATTCCAGCTTCTCCTCGTTCTAACTGTCGTCGGCAAAACGAGAGAGGAGTATGATGTGGGTGTGGTCCAGGTTTGAATAGAGAGAAGATGATCCCCAACCGGCAGTTCTTCGGCCTCTTTTCTATCGTCGAGTCTTTCGCGAGTTTTTGCCTGCAGGAGCTAACGGCCTGATGAAGCCTCAAGGACTCCTCTCCTAACGGTTTGTTCGGTATCGACCCAGGACGTTTTGAAGCTTTGAGTTTTTGCTCATTGTTCGTTTTGCCGTGCAGAGCTCAAGTGGAACCATGGCGCGCAAGAAGGCTCGGCAGAGCGTTGCCATATCGGACAAGTGTTTTCGTCTGCTGCGGTTGGCCCACGAGATCCAAACCGACGTCAAAGTGCTGAAGGCGGTGGTGGATGAGGTCGACGTGCTGCGCCTGTGTCGCTCGCTGGGCATGTCCGTGTCCAGCGAGAGTAACTCAACGCACGATTTTGAGTTTGGCATGTTCAATGCCAGCGACTACGACGCTGACTTTGCGCGATTCATTCGAGAGAAGCTGAGTGATGGAAGCGGCTGCAGTGCGCAGCAAGAGGAAGACGGTGAGGGCGAAGATCTGTTGGAGATCAGCTGCTTGTTCGGCAAACAGCTCGAAATCAAAGCTGAGCTGGCTCGGATCGGATTCTGGAGCAGCGAATGCGAAGACGGGCTGCAACCTGAAGACCAAGGCGTGTACTGCATTGAACGGGGCGACGGGGCTGGAAGTCGTCGTCAGTTTGTCGTGTTCGCTTGGCTGGACGCGGATCTGTTCAAGCCGGAAGCTATTCGGGATACCCCGGCGTACGTGCTCCGATTCCTGATCACGCTAAGCGCCAGTATCACGTGTTGCTTGTCTGAGCAAGATTTTGAACGCATCAAGGCTGAGGTGGATGCTGTATCCGACACGCCAAGTTCGCGATGGAAATCGTGCTCAGTTTCGTTCCGAGTGCAGAAGCAAGTGGAGCAAGACGACAGCATTTCTTGCGGCAAAGTCGTGACGATGGCGATCCCGAAATCCGACCGCGTCAAGTCTGTTTGGTTTGTCGGTGGGATATTCCCGGCCGTGGCTGTTGAAAGCGCAGCGCCTTTAACAACTGAGTGGGTTACCCAAACCAAGGTTTTGCCTTGCTTGGGTTTTGCTGAGTGGCTCGGTAAGAAGCACGAAGACTTCGCGGTTCAGCTACCAAGCGGACATCTCCGCCCGGCTTCCATGCGTGATTATTTGCTCCAAAGCTTTGATCAGTTCCCGAACCAAGAACTACGCGACTTGCGGAGCAAGTTCGTGGAGCACAGCGAGGAGGCTAAGCGGCGGATTGATCGTGAAGCATTAGAGTGGGCCAAGAAACTCGACGAAGATGGAGTTCACGATGCATCTTTGCTGTTTGCTGTGAGAAGTCCAGAGAACTCGTCGCACATGGATGTGGCTCTAAGAAGATATCAGGCCTTTGTACAACAACTGGAGAACTGCGAAGTGCTCCGTGGCATGGATTACTGCGACTACAAGATGCTCTATCTTCCTGATCGAATCCAAGCGCAGATGAAAGTACTGAGTACTGTTTTCCAGCGCGACCACCTGGCGTTTGAAGAGGTGCTGAACAAAGTTGTGATGGAGGAGCCAATCGAGCCTGTTAACAGCAGCAACCGACTGCTAGTAATGATGCGGTGGCTATTCAGCATTGACGACGATCCATTCAGCAATGCCTTTAGGGTCGCAATGGCGAGGCACCAGCCCGGATTGCAGGGCATTTGGATGAACGAGGTCAACAGAATTGTGTCCATGATGCAAGCTGTAAGGTCGAAGCAGCGATTCCAACAATCGTCATACGACCGTGAATGTCAGTTTGACCAGGAGGAAGAAGCTGTAAAGCAAAAGGCCTTTGGCCGCTTTCGTGATTATTTGAAATCCGGTAAGGATCATCTTCGAGTCGCCATCAGCAGGATGATACTGTCATCGGATGAGACCTCCGTCAGTGTTCAGTGGAGAGAAGAAGTGGAGAAAGAGCCTACCAAAGTGATTCGCATGTACAAGCTGAACAGCGCTGAAGCTGGCAAAATATCCTTGATGGGAGCCATGGAGGTTGAGCCGGGCTTGGAGCTACGCAAAGTTACGACGGTGAAAATGGATCAGGCTGTAGCGATTCTCGTGAAGGAAAGCAAGACCATAGTACGTCGAGCGCAGTTCCCGCTACAACCAGATTTCTTCGGGGAGGCAGCCGATCAATTTGAGGTCCGATCATTCCCACGCGCGTGCTCGCTGTGCGCAGTTCGAGCGATCGACAGACGCGTTGCGTTCCTGTTCGGAGTTTGCGCAGGGCGTCTGGGCACTGTTGCCTTTTGCAGATTCAACGAGGCCTTCACGAGCGTCGAGTTGACGCACAGCATTGACATGGATACTTCGTTTGGCTTGGCGGGGCCCCTTGTGGATATTCTTCTGACAGAGCGCTCGTTGTGCGCTGTGGACGGCAACGGAGCTCTGCAGTCCTTTGACATCCGGACCCGCCGCACCTCTAAGAAGGTGCCATGTGAAGACAAGGACAAGAGCACGTGGATTGGAGGTCTTCTAAGCTTCGCTGATGAGCTTGTCGTAGGGCGTGCAAGAATCGATTCGAACCAGCAACTGTGCCTAAGCTCCATCTCCAGCGAAGACCATCGTGCGTTGCCTACTGCAGTTGTTGGAGCTGGTTTGACGTCGACGGATCTTGCCGTTGGGACCATTGACGACGTTCTCTACGTGGTCGACCCTCGCGAAGGAGTCATTTACTCGTCGCAACTGAGAGTTACTGTTCGAAGTGATGCCTATCGCATTGAGCGGTCTGGCAATGCGGCGAAGAATAGTCGCCAGGGGTGTCTACAAGCCGACAAGAGCTCGAAAGGCGCTGCTGTTCACTGGTTGCGGGTGTTCTACCACGTTTTCGAGAAGTTCCCAGTGCGAAGTCTTGTAGACATGTCCATGAACCCAGACGCGCCGTTCTCTCTAGAGTTGCAAGTTGTTGTCACTGACGGAGAGGCAATGAACGGTGGTCGTGACGTATGCGTGGAGTACTTCAACAACCTGATGGTGGACCTGAAGCGGCTCAATAAGCCGCTCTCTGGATTGAATCTATCCAAGAAGCTGAAGTGCATATCGTCTGAAGAGACCGAGGATCAAACTACTCTGGAGGTCAAGTCGGTTCGTCGTGCCTTGATGGCGATTGTTTCATTCGTCCCTGTTCAGATCTGCCGGGCAGAGGACAATATGCTAAAGCTGCTGCAAGATGGCGAAGATAGCAGATCTTCTGCAAAGAGGGCAAGTACTGCGAGTTCTGAGGACGATTCTGGTGAAAATGGTGCAGATGCGTCAGAGATCGCCCAGTGGATCCGCTTTGGACTACTGTCCCCACTCTTGGAGTCGTGGAATGGGCGTTGCGTGGTGGTCACGTCGATGGGGAAGCAGTCGACGGGGAAGAGCTACTTCCTGAACCACCTGGCAGGAACCTCATTCGCCATTTCAGGATCGCGCTGTACGGACGGAGCGTGGATGTCGCTGCGGTTTGTATCTGCGAACGTCCTACTTGTCGTGCTAGACTTTGAGGGCCTGGGCTCCTTCGAGAGGTCCGAGCAAGAAGATATTTTCCTGTCGGTGCTGAATGCTTCCGTGTCGTTGTTTACGGTGTTCCGCATGGAGAGTCGATTCGACAAGGACATCGACGGTTTGTTCTCGCGTTTCCAGAAGGGCGTCCAGCTCATCAAGAACGACCCGCGACTGTTTCGAGGGCTCTTGTACATGAGCGTCAAGGACGTCAACATCAACGATCGACAGGGCGTGGTCGACGAGCTCGTAGCAAAGTTGGACACTATCTTTGAGTCCAACAAGGACCAAAACTTTCTGACGGAGATGTATGCTGGGCAATTGGAGATCAACTGCTCGGCCCCGTTTGGCACGATGGATTATTATCATTGCATGGAGAATGACGCGGCGAGGACTCTGTGCGAGATCGTGTCTCCCTCTGACAGAGCTCCACCAGGCTTCGTGACTGGCAAGTCCTTCCTCGATTGTCTGCGGATTGTCCTAGCGAAGATTTCGATTCTGGACTGGACTAGTATGGATAAATCCACCCAGAACTTGCTGGTAGCGGACGTGAAGCAGAAGCTCCCTGGGATTCTTCGTACGGGCTGCCTCATCTCGCTGCCTTTGGTTAGCGACAAGACCATCCCTTTGCATCTGAAGGAGGACGTTTTCCTGGTGGGAACCAGAAAGAAGCTGGTGGTCTCGATTAAGGAGCTGTGTGAAGCGAACCCTGGGTTTGCGTCCAAGTGGACGGCACAGAACGATAGCATTCTGCTGGATAGCATCGCAGACGAAGCAATTGATCTGGGCTTTGACGTGACGGCAGTCCCAGCCAAGAAGGTGGTCGCAGTCCAGAAGACGATCGCTATGCTGTTCCAGTATTTCTTAACACTGCTGGGTAGAACCTACGGAAGTTCGAGGCTGACGGTGGAGGACCAGAGCTGTTTTGATTCCTTTGTGGCCTTTGTACTGCTCCGCCGCAAGCTGAAGGTTGAGCGCTGGCTGCGCGGGATGCTTGGTGAGCACTTGTCGGAGGTACGTGCACAGCTGGAACAGCGCTATGTAAACCCGCTTCCAGTTTATCTGTCGCGGTGCCAGCACAAGTGCGCGCGGTGCCAGCTCGGATGCATGCACTCAGTCACGCACTCGCCAGCAATTGAGCACAGCTGCTGCACGGATCACAAGTGTCTTGGACGGTGCGAGTACGGCGAATGCTGCGCGGACTCCGACTTGATTGAGGCCCCGCCATGCTCCCGAAGTGCCGGCCATGAAGGCAAATGCGAGTGTGAGAAGGGAGAGCACACGTGTGGACAGACGTGTGTGCTCGCTCACGCGTCCAACTGTGACAAAGCGTGCTCAAAGAGAGCCGAGCATACTGGAGACCACCGCTGCTCCGTTCAAGTCCACGTTTGCGGAGCCAAGTGTTCTGCAGATACCTGCAATGCAACCTGCTTGCTCGACATCCAGCGACAGCACTCGGTGCACAAGTGTGCGGAGGTGCAATGTCTTCATACCTGCTTGATGGACGGATGCAAGAACACGTGCGCCGAGAAGGACCATTTCCATGGACAAGGAGTGCAGTCACGAGCATTTGCAGAGGAAAGTGGGTTGACAAGCGAAGGTGATTCAAGTGAAGGCGTCGAGGACGATGCAGCAGTCGCGCATATGTGTGCTGGAAACCACGCGTGTCCCGAGACGTGTCAGGTCGATGGAATTTGCGAGCACAAGGTTCATCTGAAGAAGTCGGCTCGCACCTACACCGGCGCGCGTGGATCGTTCGAGTACATTTACCAGGAGATGAACGGCTGCAAGAAGCACTGCGCGCTTGTGTTGGCTAGTGGTGAAAAGGACCACGAAGGGAGTGATCATTCCTGTCTCGCTCAAGCAGAAGGCAACGATGAGAGTACAGTCCACTACTGTGACGTTCGGTGTCCATCGTGCAGCTACTACTGCAACAAGCACTATGGTCACATGGGTCTGCACGCCACTTCTCACGGGAACATGCGGCAGACGTACTTCATGGCCAAGACGAACGATATCGACGTTGAGGACCGGAAGTACCAAGTGGGAGAGCGAGGAATCGCCGAAATGTGCAACTTGTTCTGCTCCAAGATGGGTCGCGGCCACACGCACTACCTCTCCTGCGAGGGGAAAGGGGACGAGAAGTGCGTCTACACTGCGGACGCCAGCGAAGATCATCGCCGCCACTGCGTGGACAACCTGTTTCCGCCTCCAGACAGAGACATGGATGAACTCCTGCACGCTAAATTCTGGTCGACTATCGGATGGGAGGACCCGTGCAACGATGAGGAGCGCGCGGCCTTTGCCAAGTGTCCATACCAATGCAACGCACCTGAGCACGAAGGATCCGATGAAGCGCCTTCTTTCTGTGTCCTGGACGCTTGGCACAAGCCGGAATTAAAGCCCGAAGGCGCTGACGATGGGTTTTCATACGTCAATGGACATAAATTCGAGTGCGTGCACACTGTTGATACGGGCAAGTTCCACAGCGTGCTCGTTCTCGACAGCTCCGGGTCGATGAGTGGACAGCCATGGCAAGACTTGCTCTGCGCTTGCAACGAGTTTGGGATCGGTCGTCTGGAGGACGGAGGAGAGAACGACTTGGTTACCTACATTACGTTCGACCACGAAAGCCGCATCATTTGTGAAGGCGCTCGCTTGCCCGACGCCCTACGGATGACTGTGCCATTCTCTGGATGGGGGACCAAGTTTGAGAAGGGCCTGCGAGCCGCCAACGAAGTTCTGTCGCGAAACAATTTCCAGGAGTTTAAGGCCGCGCTGATCTTCTTTTCGGACGGTTACCCCTGCGATATCGAGCTGGGTATTGCTCTGGCTCAACACATCCGCTCCACGTACGCCAGGTACGACTTGAAGGCGTTCGTCGTTGGGTTTGGCCGCGCGAATTTGTCGGTGCTTCAGCGGATGGCGGATGAGATGGGCGGAGAGTATTGCCACGTACTGGATGCAAAAGCGCTAAGGACGGAGTTCCAGCGCATCGCTGCCGTTCTGTGCAACAATGAGGCGAGCCTTGCGCTGGAAGTGTCGGGCACGAAAGCTTCGTGAGAATGGCGTGGGTGAGTGCTGAGGTTTGCATCCGGCCCGGATTGTGTGTTTACTTTTTACTTTTGAGTAGCGTGAAGGAGCAAGACGACCGCATTAGTGGACAAGTCGATTGTGAGAAAGATAACGCGGTTGCGAAAAAAAATGAAGTCAGGGTAATCCATCGCGTCTGGAACGTGCCAGTCTTGACTTTCATTTCAATCTTGACTTTGGGTCGACTCCTCTCAATCCAGTGTATCACACAGTGGTCAACTCTCCATGTCAACAAACTCGCGGCCAAATAAGCAGCCCCGGCAACCACCAGTGAAAAGGAAGGAAAGACAGCCACGTAAGGGCTGCCCATGCAACACGAGCTCACCGAGAGAAGGTTCTACGTGCGCGAAGTGGTGACGGTCACCGGGACGCCAGGTATGGCGACTTTCATTTTTTGACCTATCTAGCAGATATTTCAGGACGACAATAAGTACTGGCCGTAGCATTCGCGCACGAAGAACTCCCTCTCGAGAAACTTGTGCTCCACCGGTAGGCGTTTAGTGTTGTTGTGTCGCTTCCAAAGGAAAAGTAGAAGTGATATGCATTGAGCAGTTCCTTAGTTTGCAGTAGCTGCTCTTGTCCTATGCATGCTCTTGGAGGTGACCACTCTGGTGGCACAAACCGTCCGTACTTGCTGCGTCTGCATAGCAGTCCATACTTCATCAGTTGAGCAACCGTCCTTACTTGCTGCAGCTGTTCATCTTCTGCAGAGTGTTGGTGTTGCTGGGCTAGCGGCTACAGTGTAGTACCAGCTACAACAAGTGTCTTGCTATCGACCCATCTTGGTGTATGGCTAAGAGACGGCTTGGGCGCAACCCGACGCAGAGGGCATCGACCTGCTTATTCGACATCGTGAGAAAGTTGAATTGCTGGCTTCAAGGATGTTGGATGTTTGTCGATTTGATTGATGGGAACCGTACTTCGGTGGAATGATCACTTTAGGATCGCACCTAAGCAGTGTTATGTAGGCGTGCGGCGACCTACTGCTAGTTGTCAACCTCACGCTCCGTCACAACGCACAGGCCGTCTGTTGTCTCTGTTGGCGATCTCAGATGGCTGTTCAAAGGACAGCACGCAACTTCTCCGGCTAAGAGCCGCACGAGAGGCCGGTCCACCGACAAGCTAAGCGGACTCGAGTGCACGTCAAGACGCTCTCGCATGACCTCTACGAGCACGTTGCGTGCGTCCGACCGATACTCGGAGTTGCCACGGCGAAGAGCTCTGCTAGACGTTGCGTGATGTTACCGAAGCGACCTTCCCCAAGAGGGGTATCAACACCCTGCCCACGACGTAGGCGCGCACACGGTCGAGGACCGCAACCTCAAGGTCGAGAACGTGCTGATCCACCTGCTGTGGCCTGTACTACTGGCGGGCAACACCATGAAGTGGATCCACGCGCGACTGAACCTGCCCCAAGCACTTATTCGAGATCTTCCCAGTGGAGTGGAGGCAAACGGAGGGAGTCCTTCCGGATGTGTGAACAACGCTCGAAAAGAGCCACGATTTCTTCGACGCTACACTAAGGAGGACTCTCAGCATTCTAGCTGCGTGCCCTCTTGGGGTTGTTCGAAAGTCGGAATCTGGACCATGATCGTGTTGGCGTTGCTGCTTTCTTCAACCTTTCACTGCACAGCAGTAAGAAGAACTCGGCCTCCTGCTGTTGGCTGCCCGACAGTTAACACTTGAGCGCGGTTTGAGTAGAACCGACACGCACCTTTCCCATGCCACTGCGGGATCCAACGGGCGGGTCTCAAGTATCCTACATTTCGCTCGCTAAGAAGCTTTCAGTTCGGTCTGGTGCGCCCAAGTCCAAGATGTCTCGCAAAAGGGCTCTGTACTGCGCAGTGGGGTCGGACACGCTCTTCCACCTTCTGCGGCTAAAGCACGAGCTGCAGAACGGTGCTAAAGTGTCGAAGGCCGTCGTAAATCAAGTCGACGTGCTTCGTTTGTGCCGCGCCCTGGGGATGGCCGTATCTGACGAGGGCAACCGAGTGGCCATGCGCAACTTCGAGTTCGGACAGTTCCGCCCCAGCAGCTACGACGCCGACTTCGCGCGGTTCATTCGCGAAAAGCTTGCTGCTGCTGGCAGTCGCACGGACGAGGAGGACAACGCGCCGCCCGAGGTGGAGATCGGCTGCTTGTTCGGCAGGCAGAGCGGAGTGAGGGCCGAGCTCACTCGGATGGAGTTGTGGGATTCCGACTGTGTGTCTTCTCTCACTGAGCAAGGCGTCTATTGCATTGAAAAGGGTGGCGCAGATGGAGATCACCGGAAGTTCGTTGCGTTCGCGTGGCTGAACGCCAGTCTCTTCGACCCGGACTCCATTCGCGACACCCCCGCGTACGAGCTTCGGTTCTTGATGGCGTTGAGCCCCCACGTCAGCTGCTGCCTGTCGCGAGACGATTTCCTGCGTGTCAAGAGCGAAGTGGACGCGGCGTCCAGCAGCACGACCATGCAGTGGAACTCGTGCTCGGTCGCGTTTCGAGTCCAGAAGCAAGAGAAGCAGAGCGACAGCGTGCGCTGTGCAAAGCCCACGAAGGCGGTCATTCCGTCCGCCGACCCCATTAAAAGCGTCGAGTTCATCGGTGGAGTGTTCCCGGCGGTAGCGGTTGAAAGTGCGACCCCGTTAACGACCGACTGGACCACGTTTAGTAAAGCGATGTCGATGGACGACTTTGTGGACGGGGTGATGGAGCTATGTTCGTGCTACACGTTGGAGCTGCCTCTTGAGCCATTGCGAGCAGCACTTGCGCGTGACTGTCTTCTCGATAAGTTTAATTGCTATCCGGATGACGGGTTGGCTGCGCTCCGTAAGAGCCTGGAGGAGGAGCTGGTGCAGGCAAAGGAGCGCATTGATCGAGCCGTCTCCCAAGAGCTGAACAGAGTCATGACCCAAAACACCGACGTGCTCTTTGCTGCTAGAACCCCAGCGAATGCTTCCAAGATGGACAAGGCGAGGACGCAATATAAAGACCTGCTGCAGACGCTGAACGATCACGGCGTGCTGGCTGGTCTGGAGGACGAAACACGCACAGCGCTGCGCATGGCCGAGCGGATGCAGGCCAATATGAAGGCTCTGCACGACGCGTATGTGAACAACAGCTCGAGGCATGAAGCTATACTGAACGAGATCATGAACGGGACTCCAGTTGAGGCGGCAAACAACAGTAGCCAAGAAGGGTGGCTGAAAGCGTTGGCCCGAGGTTTCGTCAGACGGATATTCAGCGGTAACGAGCAGGTCAACGAGTCAAGACGGCACAGACGCAATGATCAAGTGGAGCGAGGAAGTGGAGAAGGAACCTACTAAGGTGGTTCGAGTCTACCAGATAAACTCTGGAAGCCCGGTTCAAATGTCTTTAATGGGAACAATCGAGTTCGAGGCCGGCGTTGAGCTTCGTACGCTAGCGACTGTGAAGACAAACCAGCTCGTTGCCGTCGTGGTCAAAGATGATAAAACAATCGTGCGCCGGATCCTGTTCCCGATCGACCTGGACGCAGTGGACAAGCTGGCCGCCGATCAGTTCGACGTCCGCACGTTCCCAAAGGCGTGTTGCTTGTGCTTCATTCGAGCTAGCGACCGACACGTAGTGTTCACGTTCGGAGCGGCTGACCAGCGGCTTGGTACCGCCTCGTTCTACCGGTTGAACGAGTCGTTCACCACCATCCAGGGTACGCGCGGCAACATCGACATGGACGCTACGTTCGGGCTGACAGCCCCCGTTGTGGACGTCCTCCTGACCGAGCGCTTGCTCTGTGCGCTAGACGCACAAGGAGGTTTCCAGTCGTACGACTCGTGCACGCGTCAAATTTCCAACAAGGTGCAACTCGGTGGTCGGAGTGATACGAAGAACTGGGTGGGAGGCTTGCTATGCTTGAACTGGGTGGGAGGCTTGCTATGCAGTCAGTTGTTGGCTGTCGACTCGATTTCCAGGGAGGATCACCGCAAGCTTCCCAGTGCAGTCGTCGACGGAGTATCGCCCAAAGGGTCCGTATCTGTTGGGTGCATGGGCGACGTCTTGTACGTGGTTGATGCTGGAGTCCGTGCATTGTTCGCGTCGGAGCTGAGCGTGACAGTGCGAAGCGAAGCCTTCCGCATCCAGCGGTCCGGCAAAGGTGCAAAAGCTGGATGGCTCCAGCGAGGTGGCCAAACGCTGACAAGTGACGCTCCGGAGCACTGACTGCGGGTGTTTTACCACGTGTTTGAGAAGTTCCCCGTCCGAAGTCTAATTGACAGCGCCATGAGCCCAGACGCGTCGTGCGCTGTTCAAGTTCGCTTGGTATTCGCTGAAGACGGCCAGGAAGAGCCTTTTGTAGGCGATGCGGCTCCAGTGTGCAAGGCTTACTTCAACAATCTCATGAGGGATCTCCGGCACCTGAACAAGCCCCTGGCCGGGCCACGAATTTCAGTTGCCACGGCTCAAATGAAGCCCATGAAGGCCTGGAGAAAGTTACAGTTCGGCGAGTGTTGACATCGATTATCTCGTTTGTTCCCGTCCAACAACATGCCCAAGTTGCTGCAGGACGGCGAAGATAACACTAAGCACGCCTCGCGAAGTGATAATGCGAGTGAATCGAGCGACTCAGCAACGACCGAGGCATCGGAAATCGCTCAATCGATTCGCTTCGGTTTGTTGTCTCCGCTCTTGGAGTCGTGGGGTGGGCGCTGCGTGGTCGTGACGTCCATGGAGAAGCAGTCGACTGGGAAGAGCTACTTCCTCAACCACTTGACTGGAACCACCTTTGCAATCTCAGGCGCGCGCTGTACGGACGGAGCGTGGATGTCCCTCCGGTTTCTATCGGCCGATACGCTCCTGGTGGTTCTGGACTTTGAAGGCCTCGGCTCGTTCGAGCGGTCGGAGCAGGAGGACTTTTTCCTGTCCGCGTTGAACGCTTCGGTGTCCATGTTCACGATTTTCCGGATGGAGAGCCGCTTCGACAAGGACATCGACGGACTCTTTTCGCGTTTCCAGAAGGGGGTGCAGCTGATCAAGAACGACTCCAGACTCTTTCGAGGGCTGCTCTTTATGAGCGTCAAGGACGTCAACATGAACGACCACCAAAGCGTCGTCGACGAGCTGGCGATAAAGCTGAACTCGATCTTTGAGTCGAGCAGGGAGCACAATTTCCTGACCGAGATGTACGCTGGACAAGTGGAAATTAACTGTACGCCGCCTAATTGCACGCTGGAATACTTCCAGTCGATGGAGAATGACGCAGCGAAGGGTTTGCTCGAGATCATAGCTCCGAATGGGAGCGCTGCAGGAGGGTTCTCCACGGGGAAGGCGTTTCTGGACTGCCTTCGCATCGTGCTAGCGAAGATCTCGATCCTGGACTGGACCAGTATGGACAAGAGCACGCAGAACTTGGTGGTCTCCGATGTGAAGCAGAAGCTGCCCGGGATTATCCGTACCGGGTGTCACGTGCCGCAGACTCTGGTGGCAGATCCGACTATTTCCCTGCAGCTGAAAGAAGCCGTGCTGCAAGTAGGCAGCCAGAAGAAACTATGCGTCTCGCTAGAGGAGGTATGCCAGGCGTATCCAGGATACGCGACCAAGTGGAAGGCGCTGAACCGCGTTGCTGCACTGGACGGTATTGGCGATGAGGCGATCGATTTCGGCTTTGACGTGACTGCCATCGAAGACCGAGGGCTGAAAGTAGTGCAAAGGATTCTGGTGGCGCTTTTCCAGAAATTTTTGGGACTGGGGTTCAAGGAGAAGGACTCCTCCAGAGTCACCACGGAGGACCAGAGACACTTTGACGACTTTGTAGCGTTTGTGCTGCGCCGCCGCAAGATGAAGGTGTCACGTTGGCTTCGTGGTGCATTGGGCGATAGTTTGTCCGAGACGCGAGCAAAGCTGGAGCAGCGGTTTGCGGACCGACTAGTGACGCTGCTATCCCGATGTCAGCACCGCTGCGGTGGCTGCTAGCTTGAATGCACGCACTCCACGGCCCATTTGACCGAGATCCAGCACCACTGCGGTACAAACCACAAGTGCCGCGGTAGGTGCGAGTACGCCGAGTGCCGCGATGGCTCCGAGTCGAATGCTCCTCCGAGTTCTCGCAGTGCCGGCCACGAGGGGAAGTGCGAGTGCGAGAAGGGGGAGCACACGTGCGGTCAGTTGTGTGTGCTCGCCAGAGGGTCCAACTGCGACAGAACGTGTTCCAAACTCGCCGAGCACCGCGGCGACCATCGTTGCTCGGTACAAGTCCACACTTGTGGCGCTCAGTGCTCCTCTGATTCTTGCGACGCAGCTTGTGTACTCGACATTCAGCGCCGCCATGTCGTCCGCAAACACACGAGACTCCTCTGCTTGGCCATGGAAGTGGTTCTTCTCCCCGCACACGTTCTTGCATGCTTTCATGAAGGCACTGAATTGAATCTCCACACACTTATGGACCCGACACCTACATGACACAGGCACACAGTCAATACGGCCCCGCTATGAGGTGCACTAGCTGCAAAGTCAGCTCGCACCTGGCGTTCCGGTGACCGTCACCACTTCCGTCTGGCGGCGGCACAGCAGCTTCACCACTATCTTGTAGTCGGTAGAGTAGCAGTCGCGCACGTAGAACTTCCTCTCGTGGTAGTTGTACTCCATCGGCAGCCCTCTCGGGAACACCAACGGGGCTGAAGTCGTCGCAGCGGCTGGGGTGCTGCCCGACGCGACGGCCGACGGCATTCCTGGTGCTTCACCGAGCCGCGACTGCTTCTTCGGCCGCGTAGGAACCTTTCGATGGTTGGTTTCAGTGACGAGAACGCCACCATGCTGCTCAGCAGTGCCGCCGTGCCCAACGATGAGGCCTCTCCAGGCTTGAAAGCTCGAGGCAAACCGTTCCTAGACGGGAAACTGCTCAAAATGCTGTAACCAGGGAGCAGCAGCCAACGAAGCACACTAAGTCTCTTTGGCCAGGGCCATCGGGCCATTCCTAACTCAAACTAAGGCACTAAATCGAAACACCCGGTCCGTGGGATTCTGTTGAGTTGCTGCCAGGTGAATGAATACCTGAAAGGAGCAGCAGGACCCCGATCAAGTCAAGCAGAGGAAGGAGGGCGGACACCTCTCCCCTCCTCAGTGCACTCTCTCCTCTGGCGCGGCATAACGGCGCCGTCGGCGATCTACTGGTGCGTCGAGATGCTTGAGAACGTCCGACCGTCTCGGGCGACCTTCCGGTTTCCCCTTTGCCAGCATCCTGCTCTATCCGAGGCCAGTACATGCAGTTCCAACGTTTACGATCCACCTCCAAACTGAGTGATCTCTCAGAAGCTTCTTCAGATACTCACTGATCGGCTTCAGCATCATTGTCAACGGCAAGTTAGTGGTGCTGGAGGTGGAAGGTGAAGCTTCAACGTGCTGGGAAAGAACGCATCGACGGGGGTCCTTGGGACGAGAGTGAGTGGTCCGCAGATTCAGAAGACTGAGGAGTGCTGCAGGGATGAATCTCTTACGGCGCATCCACTCGGGCACTGCAGCAATCAGCCGATGTCGACGTCTTGTCCCGCTCGCTGGTCGCGTATTCGCAGTCAGTCGGCCTTCCCACTGACAGGGCGCTGGCTGCGCACGGTTGATTTCATCTCCAGAATTTGAGCGCGACAGGGGCTAAGTATGATACGACTTGACCCAGCCGTTGAGCATGCGCCATCCCAACCTCCGGACCAGCACGCAAAACAAAGGAATCACTTTCGATTCTGCGCAGTGAGAGGCAATGATGGCTCGGAAGAAGGTTCGGCGCAGTGCCGTCGTCTCGGACGCTACTTTCCGCATCCTACGGCTCAAGAAAGAGCTGCAGAATAATGCCAGAGTACTGAAAGTGGTGGTGGATGAAGTCGACATGCTCCGTTTGTGTCGTTCGCTGGGCATGGCTGTATCCGACGAAAGCAACCGGGCGGCGATGCACAAGTTCGAGTCCGGGATGTTTGCCCCTAGCAAGTACGACTCGGACCTCGCGCGCTTCATGCGAGAGAAGCTAGCGGTTGGGAGCGACGCGCTTCATGAAGAAGACCAGGCAGAAGAACGTCAGCTGAAGATCGGATGCCTATTTGGAAAGCAAGAGGAAGTTAAGGCTCAGCTCGAGCGAATGGGCTTCTGGAGCCGCGACTGTGAGGAGAATCTTCCGCTTCACGGCCAGGGCGTCTACTGCATCAAGAAAACTGGCGAGATTGATCCACAATGCTGCCAGTATGTCGTATTTGCTTGGATAAATGCTGGTCTGTTCGATCCCGAGGTGATCCGTGACACCCCAGCATACATTCTCCGGTTTTTGATGTCGCTGAGCTCCAGCATCACGTGCTGTTTATCACCTGAAGACATCGAGTGCATCAGAAGCGAAGCGTCTGAGAGCTCCGGCCCACATTGGGACTCCTGCTCAATCGCATTTCAGGTCCAGAAGCAAGAAGAGCAGAGCGACGACGTTAGTTGCGGGAAGTTGTCAAAGTCGTCAATTCCCCGTTGGTGGGGTGTTCCCTGCCATTGTCGTCAAAAGCGCGGCGCCATCAACTACAAAGTGGGTCACAGATGGCGGGCTAGTGCCCACCACTGACCTTCCCACTTGGCTTGTCGAGAAATTCGAGCGACGCAGTATTCAGCTTCCGAGTGGCTATCTACGGCCGGCTGAAGCTCGCGACAACTTGTTATAGAATCTCGGCCATTTCCCGGCAGAAGGGCTGCACGAGTTGCATCAGAGGTATGAGGAGAATGCAGTGCGAGCCAGGGATCGAATTGCTCTTGAAGTTTCGCGGTACACTGATGACATTTACGAGACAATGGTTCGAGACGCCGATATGTTGTTCGCCATCAGATGGCCAAGCAATGCATCAGCGATGGACATGGCGCAACAACGGTATGGTTCTCTGCTGAAGCGGTTGAAGGAGTTTGACGTCATCTCGCAGCTGGATAACCAGACTCGTGCAAGATTGTACATGCCCCAGCGCCTACAAGATCGTGCTCAGCACCCTTGCTTAAAGGTCAGTCGATTAAGCTTTACAGCAGATGACAGTGCTGTCAGTATCAAGTGGAGCGAGGAAGTGAAGAAAGAGCCGACCGAAGTCCTCCGGATGTACCAGCTAGGCAGTGCTGATCCTGTTCAAGTTTCGTTGCTGGGGACCATGGAGTTTGAACCAGTAGCGGAATTGTTAGAGCTCGCCACTGTGAAGACGTGCCAGATTATCGTAATCCTCGTCAAGGACGGAAAGGCAGTTACTCGCCGGCTTGCAATTGGAGAACGCTGAAGAGCTGGAAGCTGAAGAATCGGACGTGCGGACGTTTCCTCGGGCCTGTTCGTTGTGCTCAATTCGAGCGAGTGATCGACGCGTGGTTTTTACGTTTGGAGCAAACACCGATCGTCTAGGCAGCGCTGTGTTGTGCAGATTCAATGAATCATTCACAAGCATTGAAGCAATGACTTGGACACGACATTCCGCCTGACAGCCCCTTTTGCGGATATCATACTGACGGAGCGCTCACTGTGCGCCATGGACAGGAATGGCCATCTGCAGTCATTCGACAATAGAATCCGACAGACATCGAAGCAGACATCTTTCGAGGGTCATGGCGGCCACGATGGCTGGAAAGGAGGTGTGCTCAGTTTTGCTGATGAGCTGGTACTTGGTCGGGTTAGCGTTGATGAGAACCAGCAGCTGCGACTTGACTCCATCTCAAGTGAAGACCACCGCCAGCTACCTAGTGCTCCTGTTCTTGATAGTATGACCCCTGAGAATATTGCTGTCGGATGCATCGATGACGTGTTGTACGTGGTTGATGGCGACAGAGGGGTAGTCCACGCTACAGAGCTAAAAGTCACGGTTCGAAGTGAGGCCTATCGCATCCTGGAGTCAGAGAGTGGTGCAAGGACCAGTCGTTCAAAGAGTCTGCGCGCTGATCCAGATGCCGAAGGCGACGCGGAAAACGAACACTGGCTGCGGGTGTTCTTCCACGTGTTTGAAAAGTTCCCAGCGCGCAGTCTCATTGACGAAGCAGTTAAACCGGGGGTCCAAACTTCCGTTGACCTGGGTATTGCCGTCTCTCCAGCTCTTAATGTTGCAAGTAGGAAAACCTTGCAAGCATTGCTCAGCGGTGATATGTTACCAATGAGGTGATATGTGTCATTGCGAGTGCTCATTCTGTCCAGCAGTAGGACAGGCAACAAGTGTAGCTAGGTTAGAGATCTAGCCCCACGTCTCCAAGGGGAATTCCCCTATCCATGTTCGTACGGAGCCTCTGCTCCAAGTGTGCTCTCATTCTCAAATATACCTTCCTCAAAGGACTCGAGTCTCCGGCGCTGTCGACTCTTCTCAGTGGTCTTCCTTTTCTGACCTCATTTACTTAACAGCCACGACCAGATCGCTCCGGACGATGCAGTTGCAGTTTGTAAAGAATATTTCGCCAACTTGATGCAGATCTGCGACGCCTGAACAAGCCTCTCTCTGGGTTAGATCTGACCAAGACGATAACGAGCACAGTTGCGTTCCCATCGAGATCGGTGAGACGCGTGTTGATGGCCGTGATATCTTTCGTGCCAGTGCAAATTTGCAAATTTGTCGGGCAGAGGACAACATGCTGAAGCTTCTGCACAACGGCGAAGACATGGCCAGTAGCTCCAGAGCGGAAACTCCTAGCGAATCAAGCGACTCAGGCGGGACCGAAGCATCGGAGATCGCCCAGTCGATCCGGTTTGGACTGCTGTCGCCACTTCTCGAGTCGTGGAGTGGGAGATGCGCCGTGGTCACGTCCATGGGGAATCAGTCAACGGGCAAAAGCTACTTCCTGAATCACCTCACCGGCACATCATTCGCAATCTCCGGCTCACGCTGCACGGATGGGGCTTGGATGTCGTTGCGGTTCGTATCCGCCAACATTCTCCTCGTTGTGCTGGACTTCGAGGGTCTCGGCTCTTTTGAGAGATCCGAGCAAGAAGATATTTTCCTGTCGGTGTTGAATGCCTCGGTATCCCTGTTCACTGTCTTCCGGATGGAAAGTAGATTCGACAAGGACCTTGACAATTTGTTTTCCCGTTTCCAGAAGGGCGTCCAGCTCATCAAGAACGACCCGCGACTATTCCGTGGGCTATTGTATATGAGCGTGAAGGACGTGAACTTGAATGACCGGCGCGGCGTGTACTCTGAACTTAAAGCGAAGATGAACGCCATTTTCAAGTCTAGCAGGGAGCACTTCCTCATGGAGATGTACGCCGGTAGCCTCCAAATTAACTGCGCACCGCCGTTCGGTACGATTGAGTACTATCAGAGCATGGAGAAGGACTCGGCTGCGACTTTGTTGAAGATCGTGGCTCCGTTTGGGAAGGAAGCAGGGGGGTTCGTCACGGGTAAAGCCTTTTTGGATTGTATTCGAGTTGTGCTGGCCAAAATCTTGATTCTGGACTGGACTAGCATGGACAACCGATGCGAGTCAAAAGCTGCCTGGGATCTTGCGCACGGGGTGCCACGTCTCCCAGTCACTGGTGACCGACCCGACCATACCCGATCACTTGAAGGAGGACGTCCTGCGCGTTGGTGCTCGAGAAAAAGTTGTAATCTTAGCGAAAGAAGTGTTCCAGGCCTATCCTAGCTTTGTGCCGAAGTGGACGCCCCTGAATGACGCCGTAGCGCTGGACGGTATCAAAGATTCCGAGTTTGATCTGGGCGTCGACGTGACTGCGCTTGACGGCAGGAAAGGAAGACAGATTCAAAAGATGATGAACGCGCTCTTCCGGCAGTTACAAGGGGCGGAATATGGCAAATCGAGACTTACTACGGAGCACCAGAGCTCGTTTGACGCTTTTGTGGCCTTTGTACTGCGTCGACGCAAGATGAAGGTGGCAAGTTGGCTTCGTAGTATGTTGAGTGCTACCTGTTCAGCTGAAACCTGCAACGCGACTTGTCTTCTCGACATCCAGCGAGAGCACTCGGTACACAAGTGCGCAGAGGTGCAGTGCAGTGCAGTGCCTCCATTCGTGCTTAATGACAGGATGCAAGAACAAGTGTGGAGAGAAGAACCACTTTCACGGACAATTGTACGAGTCTCGAGCCTTTGCGGAGGAATGTAGCTTATCCTACGCAGGCCATGGGGCTGAAGATGGTGGGTCGGTTGCGCACATGTGCCTTGGTAGTCACGGGTGTCCAGCGATGTGCATGGTTGACGGCGTTTGCGAGCAAAAGGTTCGCCTAAAGAAGTCGGCGCGTACGTGTACCGGTGCGCGCGGCTCGTTCCAGTACATTTTCCAGGAGATGAACGGCTGCAAGAAGCAGTGCGCGCAGGTTCTAGCTAGCGGCACGAGAGATCACGAAGGGGTCCAGCATTCCTGTATTGCCCCAGTGAGTGATAGGACGCAGTCTCACGGCAGCAGCAGCAGCTCTGGAAACGCTGGCAAGGTATGTATCAAAAGTCTGCTATGTGCCGGAGCGGCAGATCAAGTGCAGAGTACCATCCACTACTGCGATGTGCGGTGTCCGTCCTGCAACTACTACTGCAACGAGCACTTTGGGCACATGGGACTCCACGTCACCTCCCACGGGAACATGAAGCAGACCTATTTCCTGGCAAAAGGCAACGACATCGACGTCGAGGAGCGCAAATACCAAGTCGGCGAGCGCGGCATCGCTGAAATGTGCAACCTCTTCTGCTCGAAAATGGGTGGAGAAAGTGGAAAAGAACTTGGTGAAAATTGCTCTGATATTTGTGACCCCGCTTCAGGATGCGCAGGGCTTTCGGCGTCAGAAGATTCAAATGGACGGGTTACTGGAAGATGGCGATGGCGTGCGCTGCATTGACAACATCGGACCGGTGATTGAGGCGGCCTTGAAAGAGGACTCCGTCAATGTTCGTACTATCGGTGAACTTCGCGCCTTCCTGGAGCACAATAAGGCGAAACCGGCAAAACACAACGTGGTGTCAAAGCTTACAATTGGGAGGCTCCGAGACTTGCTCGCCAACCATGACCAGAAGCAAGCTGCGCCAACAGGGACAAAAAATAAACTGAAGGTTACGCTTGAATCCATTCCGCAGTTCGTGTGGGGAGTCCCGCCGCGACAACTGAGGGCCTTATCGAGCGTTTCGAATCCGAGTTTGGGAGCTTGAACACTTCCACGGAGGAGTTTCGCTACCAGCGAATTGAACGTGAAGAATTGTTTGCGCATGCCAATGCGAGGGTAGCTGCAGACGAGCACAATCCAAACAATCTGTTGGTGCTGTCTCCCGAAATGCGCGTATACTACGACGGTCACTACCTCGATGTTCCCCTGGTCAGCATGTATCCCGGAGAAGTTGACGAAATGCAGCATGTCGACGAAAGAAACAAGGTAGACAGGCCTTGCTTGTGTAGTGTATGTGTCGTGGCTAACCTCCTTACGACTTTTGCTTTACATCTGTGCCTAGGTGATCTTCGTGGAGGTGTTCGACGAAGGCTGCAGAGATCTCGTGTTCAATCGGCTGGAGGGGGCTATCAAGACGGATAATCCACTCAAGATGGAGACGTCTGTTCAAGTGAAGAACCCACAAGAATTTTGTACCAGCTTGGAATCGAGGCACGAGGAGATCAAGGCGGCATGGACCAAGTACCGGTCGAAGACCTCGGCAGGCAGTTGAATTATTGCTGGCCCCAATGAGCGCGTTTGGTGATCGGACGGTCAAACGTGTCGTGACGTGAGGAGGAAATCAGCTTGGGTAAGGTGAATTCGTGCCGATGATGTTCGTGGCGTTACGGGCGCATTGGGCGAGTTGGCATCGGCACATCCCACAACAGTTGCTAAGATGAATGTGATACCGTTTTAATTTGCTCACAGCACTCTTCCTACTGATATCTCTTCTGTTCTTGACAATTCCTGTACTCTGTTCACGCATTTCGTAGTCTACGAAGGCGTCGCGCTCATTAGGCCTGCCACCCTCGGGTATGCACCAACTTGGATGAGTTGAAGGCGTTCGTTGTGTGGTCTTCGGGCACGTGGATTTGCCGCTACAACGGTTAGTAAATCTTACTGAATATCGGCACGTGCTGGATGCACAAGACAAGTTTCTACAGAGGCACTAGCCGGATAGCAAACGCTTATAGATGAGGCTTATATTTGCTGCTCTACCTACTGCACTTCATACAGTCCTGGCGGCTAGCACAGCACGATACCTACCCGATCACTGCTCATCCGTGGACAGCGCCAGTTGTACAGGTAATACTGCAGCTCTCCGCTCCCAGGTCCGAACTTGAGCGGCTGCAGCATCTCGACGTTCTCCATCACGTCCAGCGCGTTGAAGACGTCCGCGTGCTCCTTCTTGGCCATAATCAGCGCGTCCTGCATCAGCTGCGTGAGCGTCACCGACTTGGCCACGTTGTAGAAGGAATACACTGCGTTGAGCTTCTTGTGTTTGTCGTCCCCGATGATAGTCGACGGCAGGTGGTAGAAGCTGCACACGTCCGTGATCTCGTGCGTCTCCGGGTTCTCCACCACGTACGCGTTGACAACCCCCACGCGCGGCACCATCCAGTGCGCGACGTCCTCTTCACTGTACTCCACCGCAAGCTGAAACTTAGTCAAGTACTCCCTCAACAACCTCGTCACCTGTCGAACATCCGTCCGCTCCATCGGCCGGAAGCCTGGCGTGGACGTATGTGCTGGCAGCTTGAGCGCCTTGATGGTCTGGGCCAGCGTCATCTTCGGCGGGAGCGGGGAGAAGCCCACTTCAATGAGCTTCTTGGGGTTCAAGGACCGGTGGAAATACCTGCACTGGGCCACGGGCATGGGCAGCACCACGCCCGCCGTGTAGACGGCCTGCCACACGTCGCACAGGTTCACTCTCCTCGTGACCTCCTTGATCAGCACAGGGGCCAGCCGCCTATCCCTCAGTCGCTTGTGCACGCAGAGGAAGTTGATTTCGGCCATGGCCATGGACTCGGCGTCGACTCGAGCTCGCACTGGGATGCCGCTGATGAAGGCCATGAGCTTGTGGTTGTGCGTACTGCGCACGCCAATGTGCCAGTCCTTGCGGTAGCCTGGGGGCTTGAGCGCCCACTGCAGGAAGTCGACCGAGTAGTCGAAGCGGAAGGTGCAGTCGTCGTCCTCCACGTAGTTGCGGGTCAGTAATTCATACAACTCGTCGGCCTGAGAAGGGTCCATCACGTCCACGACGCTCCAGGTGAAGCCGAGCGGCATGTGATACGGCTCCTGTCTCACTTGGTCCGGCGTCTTTTGGGGGACGTCGATGGGTCCATGTGGACAATCTGTAATGCTGTGGTCCTGTGTGTCACGTGGGCTGGGGACAGGTTGCGTCCCCCAGAAGCGGTGCTCTCGCTGCAGCTCGTGCGCCTGCTGGACCGACTGCGCCAGGTTCAGCTGCTTCAGCAGCCGCAGGAAGTCCTCCTGCTCCTCCACCGTCACCACCTGCTCCGTCGTCTCGGAGGAGGTCGACGCAGCGTCGTCCTGAACACCATCGCCATGATGAGCATCAGCCATTGCCTACACCACTGGAATCGACACACAAAAAATCGAAGCAAGTGAGTTATGTGCACCACAAAACTATTAAGTCTCTCCAAATTAACTAAATCATCGTTTGATTAGGCTAATTTGCCAGTCACCCGCCCCCCATACAAAAGATCCGTCACGCCACAGACTGAGACGATGAGCAGCTCGCCGCCTCCCCCGCCCGCCGCGGGCGCCACGCCCGACGACAAGCAGCTGGAGCTCGTGACCGTGGAGGAGCAGGAGGAGTTCCTGCGCGTGCTCAAGCAGCTGAACCTGGCCACGGCGCCGCCGCCCGACCGCGCGGCCGCGGCGGCGCAGAAGGACTTCAAGTTCTGGAAGACGCAGCCCGTGCCGGCGCTGGACGAGTTCCCGCGCGAGCACGGCGCCATCGACGCGCCCAAGAGCGTGGTCGACGTGCGCGCGGAGCCCTACACCATGCCGCCGGGCTTCGCGTGGAGCGAGATCGACCTGACGGACGCGCACGAGGCCAAGGAGGTGTACGACCTGCTCACGCAGAACTACGTCGAGGACGACGACAACATGTTCCGCTTCGACTACTCGATCGACTTTTTGATGTGGGCGCTCACGCCCCCGGGCTTCCACAAGGACTGGCACGTGGGCGTGCGCAACCAGAAGACCGGCAAGCTCATGGCCTTCATCAGCGGCATCCCCGTCAAGACGCGCGTGTACACGACCGTCATGGACATGGCCGAGATCAACTTCCTATGCGTGCACAAGAAGCTGCGGACCAAGCGCCTCGCGCCCGTGCTCATCAAGGAGATCACGCGCCGCGTCAACCTGCGCGACATCTGGCAGGCCGTCTACACGGCGGGCGTCGTGCTGCCTATGCCCGTGGCGCAGTGCCGCTACTTCCACAGGTCGCTCAACCCCAAGAAGCTCATCGAGGTGGGCTTCTCCAGGCTCGCGCCCAGGATGACCATGACGCGCACCATCAAGCAGTTCAAGCTGCCCGACGCCACGGCCACGCCCGGCTTCCGCGCCATGCAGAAGAAGGACGTGGCCCAAGTCACGGCGCTGCTCAAGACGTACCTGGCCAAGTTCGACCTCGTGCAGCACTACGACCAGAACGACGTGGCCCACTGGATGCTGCCGCGCGACGGCGTGATCAGCGCCTACGTGGTGGAGAACCCCGAGAGCAAGAAGATCACGGACTTCGCCAGCTTCTACCACCTGCCCTCCACGGTCATCGGCCACCCGACGCACAACAAGCTCAACGCCGCCTACTCGTTCTACAACGTGGCCACGTCCGTCCCGCTCACTCAGCTCATGAACGACGCGCTGATCATGGCCAAGAAGGAGGACTTTGACGTCTTCAACGCGTTGAGCCTGATGGACAACATGGAGTTCCTGCAGGAGCTCAAGTTCGGCCCCGGCGACGGCGACCTCATGTACTACCTGTACAACTGGCGTTGCCCGCGGATGGAAGGCAACAAGGTCGGCATCGTGCTGTGCTAAGCGAGCTGCCCCTCGAATCAGGCTGAGCCAGGGCGGGAGGTGGATAGTGCGTAACGTGGCGAACGTTGCAAGGAAATCGCACGCGCAGGGGGAAAGACGACTGGACGCGTGCAGCGGAGGAAGCAGTTGCCGTGGCTCGTTGTTGGGTGAATGCGTAGGTCGATAGAAAGAAGACGGAGAAGGAAGGACAGGCTGCAGTTGGCGCTCAAGACCGCCGGGAATATCCGTGGAATACAAGAGAGGACTGTGGACAGTGGTCGGTCGGCCTTTGTTGGATCTTGTGCTCGTCTGATGATGTCGCGAGTCGTGTCTGCCACTTACAGATCGTGCCTGCAGCGATGAGCAAGCAAGCCGACAGCGCAGGCTCTCTAGATTGGCAAGGGAGACAATACCCCAGCAAGACAGCGTCCGGCACGACAACGGCGAGTCGTGCGGTGCAGCCGATCGACTGTGCTGCTGACGATGCCAAGCCATTCCGTGTGTGTGGCAGCGGTGCCGATCCTTGCGCCCGGTCACCAAGCCTGGCGTTCATGCCAACGCGCACGTGCATGCATCGCATACGTATGCGCTGGCCGCCAGGCGCCGCTCGTCTTCTTTCGCGACACCGACGGTCCGGGGATCGTCTGTGGGGCCGAAAGCGACATAGAGCAGAGCCGGGCCAACTTCAGAAATGATTAAGATACGCCGAGCCCATCAACTTCAGTTTCGCTCGTCCGCGTTGCGTGCGGCTGGCAATGACAGACATCACACCTTAGATTCGGCACGACAGGCTGCCACTGACATTCCAAGCAGGCTCCTAAGATTCCGCGGAGCACACGTGCGCGGTGGCGTCATGGCAGCCGCCGCTGGGATGTCAGGGCCTGTTAAAAGACTTCACGGATGGGGAGAAAGCGGCCGGATCCAGTGACAACGGACGCGCGAATCTGTTTAACAGATTCGCGCAGTCGACCTCGGCCGCAAAGACCACACGCTCCAGCGCACCAGAGAAAAGTGCTGAACTCCGCTGACTTTTGCGCATTCGTCCATACACCCACCAGGAGAAGCGTGTCGGGTCGCGACGGGCTTATCGCAGTCAGTCAGCTCCAGTTAGCAATACGAATCGCAACTCGCTGGTCGACGGGATGGATTTTCCTCCGGTGTCCCGACAGGTCTTCGATCATGCAAAATGCGCCGCGCGTGACGCGTCCTCGTCTTCGAATGGCTACTGTTCTGCAACGTGCTGGTTGTCTCCGCACGCGAGAGTTTGGTCGTCACAGTGCTGATCTCAGCCAAAGTCCGTCAGGCCGTCGGTACCGGAACTTCCGATACCCCGCCGGCGCGTGCCCGACTGGCAACGCAACCAATTTTATTTAAACTAAGACAAACTCGTAGCAGCCGGCGCTGCTGACTAACTAACAATACACGCACTTCCTAGACACGTACGCAATGAACAACTTCGTCGCCCTCTAAACCACTTGGACGTACACCACCGCTGTGCCCGTCCTCACTTCGCAGTCCACAGAAGACTCGGAGTGCCAAGTGCTCTCCTGTCCGTCACTCACCACGTCGCCCAGTAGCCCGTTCACCGAAACAGCCGTTCATTCGTCTTGCAACTCGCTCCCGAGCTGCGTCTGTCGCCGAGGCCTCTGCGCCCTCGCCGTCTATTTCAAGAGTGAGCTCGACGCTCGAGGTCCTGAGTCCCATGCCTGCCGCACACGTGCAGCAGATCCTGGCGACCGTGTGGTCTCCCGGGTCCGCTGGGGTTCAACGTCCCACTCGTCCCTCAGCCGCTCCTCGCATTCGTCATTCTTCGCCAGGCTGGGGTTCAGGCCGCTCGTCTGGCCCAACCCGTCACAGTTCCACCACCACTGCCCTATATGCCGAGCCAAGGTTGGCCCTGCCGCCGTGACTAACTACTGCCGCCCTAAGAACCAAGTGCAGTGGTGGCTTGGTGAGTTTAAGGAGGACCCGCTGATGTCGGCTTCCAAGTAAGTTAATATAGGTTTGCCTCTAGGAGCACTGCCCCGGTGCAACTAAATGTAAGAAACCATTTAAAAATAGTATTCATTTATTTTATCGTAAGTTACTCGTCGGCAGTAATCTTGGGTGCTATACAGCAAACTGTGAATAAATTCACCAACAAAAACATTCGATGCCATTTAGAATTTTTCAGCCAGACTTTGGACTGCCGGAAGCGGGGCCAAAGACACGATCGGCGGAACGTTGGGATCGCCGGTAGCCTCTCGCCGACATGGCTGTCAGGTAAGCCCCAGACAATGGCAGTCAGCCCGCGTGTCAGATGCTGGGCCCTAGCATCCAATTCGTTCGCTGTGTATCTATGAGCAAGCGAGCCCCAGCGATGCGAATCGATTCGGAGGAGACCACTGCACCGTCATTTTACCCACCCGGTGCTGATGTTGCGGTTTCCCTCATGTATTTGCATCGAGGCTTCTACTGATGCTGCACTCGCCGTCAGCGCTCTTGAGGGCCCCCAACTTTGGAATCAACCACTTTGGGCCAATGTGGTTGATTCGCTGTGGCAATTGGCTCGATCTTCAGTTGTTCAGAGCCGGGCCAACTTCAGTTTTGATTAATGGTCCATCTCTACATATTGTACACACAGTTTGTCACGAAAAATAAGCTTGATTGGCATCGCGATCGCTCTGCTTGCCGAGCTCTCCAAGTTGGTGCGTGCTCCACGATTCGGCTGGCGTTATGGCGCGGATCTGTCGTCACTGACGGCCAGAATCCTGCTGTGTGACTGCCGAGCGGCGTGAGACTCTGCGCTTCTCTGAATGGTGCGAGGCGCGGCGTTAATCTTCGCGGGACTGCGGTGGCAGCACATTTTCGCAGACAAGAGCGACCGACGTACGACAGCGGCGCTCGTGACGACAGAAGATTCACGGCCATTCCCATCGCGGAGCACAACACGATGCCGCCGCGGAAAATCTGCCGAAGCGAGGCTTCGCTTCCTGGCCGCCACGAGCTGACACCCGCCTGATTCGTTTGGCTCGGCGGAGCTCGAGGCGAGGCGGGGCGTTGGGTTCGGCGCACTCGGCCCAGTCGCTGGCGTGCATGGACTTGGCTATTCGACCCGCGCGCTCGGCGCAGAGATCAGTGATCTCGGCCGAGGAACTGACTCGAGGCGATCGAGCGTGCATGAATGCGCGCGCCATCCAACACGGCGTTAAACCAGACGGCGGTGGCTGGCCAATGGATGCCTGCCGGCCAGCGAGAGGATCAGAGACTGCCGCCCGCCGCCGCCAGCAAATGTATCGATAGCTAAAGCTGCTCGTGCCGCTTGGGCATCTCCAAGCTGGCGGTCGTCACCGCCGCCGCGTACTGTAGAGCACAGGGGCACCATTTGAGCCGTGGCATGGCCATGCCGCCGCCGATGAGCGACCGCCGAAAATCGCTGGCGTATATCGCTGGAGGCGAATCTTGTCGCCGCGACCGGCGTGACGCGCATCGGCGGGCCAATGGCCGTCACCACCGCGCTGCTCGCTCCCTGGCGATTGGCGGAGCGCCGGCCGAGATGCGCGTCACGCGATGGTGCTTGGTGCTTGGGGCGACGATCGCAATGATCTGATCGACTGTCTCATGTGCGGGGGTCGACTGGGCAACCAACGTGTCTGCACCGCCAGTTGCTTGCTCGGCGACGAATCTGCGCGTGGACAGGTCTCGGAGTGTCCCGAGCCCAGCCAAAGTTTGGGCCTGCGCGATATCCACGGGTTAACAACCTTCGCGACCGACCGAGTTGGCAGGTCATTCCGCAATTTGCCATCGAGCAAACACTACCCACACAACAACAACAAGCATGAACGCGTACTTTGTACCGCAGCCGCACGAGAAGCCGGCCCCGCGCGCGCCGGAGCGGCCCAACTCCAAGACGTACACGCTGAAGGAGCTGCGCCAGTGCGCGGGCAGCGAGCTGCCGCTGCACCTGGACGTGGGCGCCACCAAGAAGGAGGAGGGCTACGCCGTGTACAACATCACCACGTCGAGCGTGTCGACGCAGAACCGGTGGCACGCGTCGTACCGGTACTCGGAGTTCCTGGCGTTCCGCAACCAGGTGGAGGAGGTGTGGACGTGCCACGACGACAAGTGCCAGGGCTCATGCCAGTCGCTGCGCGACCTGATCGAGGCGTGCTTCCCCAAGAAGGCGGGCCTCATGTCGACGTGGTCGTTCACGGTGAAGGACCGCAAGGCCAAGTTCAAGAACGTGTTGATCCACCTGCTGCGCTCGGTGCTGCTGCCCGGCAGCACCATGAAGTGCTTCCACGCGCGCCAGCAGCTGCCGCCCGCCGTGTTCGAGTTCCTGGGCATCGAGGACGGCGCCGACAAGCGCTCGCTGCTGCAGGTGTACGTGGACAACCACCAGGGCGGCATGAAGAAGTCGGCGAGTCACACGGGCCTGTCGTCGCTGGTGGGCATGAAGAAGATGAGCTCCATGAAGAAGTCGGCCACGACGCCCAACCTGGCGCAGCTGGAGCTGGAGGCGGAGGAGAAGGGCGCCGTCGCCACGATCGAGGACCCGCAGTGCATGGTGTGTCTGGAGGACGTGGAGGACCACGTGCACGCCGAGGGCCCGCAGGGTCTGGTGACGTTGCCGTGCAAACACTCGTTCCACCGTGAGTGCATCTTCGAGTGGCTGCTGTTCCAGTACCACTGCCCCATGTGCCGCGCGCAGGTGGGTCCTTCGGCCATGACCAACTACGCGTGCCCGAAGAAGCAGGAGCAGTGGTGGCTCGGCAACTTTAAGGAGAACCCGCTGGAGCGCGACACCGAGTAAGCCGGCATACAGACACATCCACTAGAGTATTTACAAAAAGAATAATTTGTCATCGCCTTCAATCGATATTATTTACCACAACCAAGCAATGCTTTTCGTGTTGAGTTTGTATGTCTTGCTACTGTTCTCACGGTACTGTGGGCATTTATCCTGGTGACATAGCGTAAGGTGGTCTGCTACGAGTGATCCGAGTTTTTATCCCACCAAAGACTACCTGTATACAGCAACATAGTGCGTATTTACCGTTGCACTATATCATCAAGTGTGCTGAGCGGTTCCTACGCTAGCATTTGCAGGGTGCTTCATATTCTCGTGACAGCTAGTAGCTGCTCGTTGCCGTGATTGAGGGTGCTGGTGGGAAGGCGAGTATGAACGGTGGCTCCAAGCAAAACGGTAAGATACAATTTGGACACCAGCAGGGTCCATCCTCTTGATTTCTGAAGTTTGCAACGGGATGCGCCGTTATCAGGGTGCTTGGTGGACGGATCACGCGCATCGCACACTTGGTTGTTGGGTCACTCGTTGCACCACAGCGATTGGCGATGAAGGGTACTGTACACGCACACGATAAACTCACGACACTTTGATCGAATCCATGGATGGATGCACCCTCAACGTATGTACCGTCAGCGGGAGCTCCCACACAGCTATGCGTAGTTCATTTGGTTCTGCAATGGTTTAATCGTTTCGATTTGGATGTGGAGAAGGAATGTCGCCGCCACTTGCGTCATAATACAGCATAATACAGCACTGGGGCCAAGTGCTTCGCCATCTCTGCTGTGTAGCTGTGCGCGCAACAGCGCTCATCTGTCAGCCCCCAGGAGCATTGATAGATGAGCATGGACGGATGCAATGCTGATCTACAAAAGAACACCAGCGCTGGTACCACTGGTACCGTACCAGCAAGCAGTGTGAGGCGGTGAGGCGGTGCTTTGACGTAGGTGTATGTACCTGAGATCAGGCTGCTTGGATCGCGAATGGATGGAGGCAGGTAGACCTCCGTGTTTCCTTGGGCGATCGCCAAAATGGTCGGCCTTGTCAACCTCGGAGAGTTGTGACGCGCACCAATGCCCCAATCGCTCGGCAGCTTGGCCACTGCTTCTGGAGTGAACCACTTGTACTTGACTGAGCAAAAGACAGAATGCCATTGAATTGAGGTTAGCGAGTAGCAACAAGTACCGGTAGCTAGCTCTGAGGGGCGTCTCCAGGGGGAGACGCTGCTAATGCAACACGAAAGCCAGGTTGAAGCCTGGTACAAGCAGAGATGCGCCGAGCACGAAGTAGTGACTTGGAGCGGAGTTGAACGGAGACTGGTCCACGTCTCTGGAGCAGAGTGACACATCTGGAGGCGAGCTTCGATTGGTACTGCGTCGACACGGGAACCGCTGACGAGATCGATGTCGAGACGGGCGCTGTCCACGTAGACTTAGACCATTACAGCTTCTCAAGCTCATTGGGCGATGACACTCGGCGACTGACACCTGCATATCTACCGGTTGGTGCGGTAGGTTGGATGTTGTGTTCATCGCGCGGGCCCACTGATGGATGCACCACCGTCTTCTCGAAGCCCCTGTCTCATTTGGACACTTTGGGTGTCTCGCTTCGAGACTATCGCTGGCTCTTGCACGCTCGGATCGAAGAGAGACAGGCGCACGTGTCGCGACGCAAAACTTTCATCACCGATGACCGTACCGCACCGCTCGCACATCGCTCATGCCGGCGATGTGGAAGTGGAGGTTTGCTCAGCTCATTCTGCATTTTACCATCAACTGGTCAAGTCAACGCCAACACTAAGACACCAGCACCGCTTCCAACCATGAATGGCTACTTCGTCCCGGAGCCGCGCCAGAAGCCAGCCCACGCCGACGAGATGGACAGCCCCAACTGCAAGACGTACACGCTCAAGATGCTTCGGCAGTGCGCCGGAAGCGAGCTGCCTCTGCGCGTGAAGGTGACGTCCGCCAAGGCGGACGAGGGCCACGCCGTCTACCACTTCGCCACCACGAGCGTGACCTCTATGAACACGTGGCGCGCGTCCTACCGATACTCGGAGTTCCTCGCGTTCCGCACCCACGTCGAAGAGCAGTGGACATGCCACGACGACAAGTGCTCGGGCTCGTGCCAGTCACTGCGTGACCTGATCGAGGCGACCTTCCCCAAGAAGGGTCTCGGCATCCTGTCCACGTGGGTGCACACGGTCGAGGACCGCAAGCTCAAGTTCAAGAACGTGCTGATCCACTTGCTGCGGTCCGTGCTGCTGCCCGGTAGCACCATGAAGTGCTTCCACGCGCGCCAGAACCTGCCCAAGCACTTGTTCGAGTTCCTCGGCGTGGAAGCCGACGCGGACAAGCGCACGCTTCTTCAGGTATACGTGGACAACCACCAGGGCGGCATCAAGAAGTCCGCGACGACCGCCGACCTGTCAAAGCTGGAGCGCAAGAGCTCCATGAAGAAGTCGGCGACGACGTCGGATCTGGTGTCCATGTCTGCGGCAGTAGTGCCTCCCGCCGAGTCGTCTCGATGCATGGTTTGCCTCGAGGACGTGGGTCTGAATGTCGACGAGCAGAGCGGAGACGCATCCGTCGAGCTCCAGTGCAAGCACAAGTTCCACCGCGAGTGCATCTTCGAATGGCTCATGTTCCAGTACCATTGCCCTGTGTGCCGCGCGCAGGTGGGTCCTTCGGCCATGACCAACTACTGCCGTCCGAAGAAGCAGGTGCAGTGGTGGCTCGGCAACTTTAAGCAGGACCCGCTGAAGCCCGACACTGAGTATGCCTTTGTCAAAGCAATGGCTTCCACGCTAGACAAAGCATAGTTTAGTTCACTATAATAATTTAATCGCACCGAATTTACGTACAACAGCTCTGGTCTGACTTCGGTAGCTACATACCAGTGCAACAACGCTCAACTTACGGTTCGATTTGCATCGGGACCATGGATCTTACCCGTCAACGGAATCCCCAGACAAATGGGTTTGATCGAAGTGTCGTGAGTTTATCGTGTGCGTGTACAGTACCCTTCATCGCCAACCGCTGTGGTGCAACGAGTGACCCACCAACCAAGTGCGCGATGCGCGGCATCCGTCCACCAAGCACCCTGATAACGGCGCATCCCGTTGCAAACTTCAGAAATCAAGAGGATGGACCCTTCCACATCTCGCTCACGGTGTCCGCTGACGCCGACTCTCCTGGTCCAGTTGGCGTGTGAGCATTCCAAGCCTCGGACCGAGACACCCGAAGCGGAAGAAACAGGAGCGGCAGTCACATGCCGGTCGGAGATTCCTCGAGCCGCCATCGTTGAACGGCTTTTCCACTCTTTGGATTGATCCGGGGCCATCTATGCGACCACGAGCGCCGCCGAGGACAACACCTGGAGCGTGACGCGTCTGCTCTGCCCAATGCCCGCGAGCGATTGCCCCCTTCCTGCGCGCGCATTGGGCGCAGTGATCGAGCGCGTCACGGCCGTGCTGCTTGATGCGACAACCTTCACCAGCGTGACAACCATTTTGACTCGCGTGATCTAGCGAAAGCTGCCGGAAAAGACAGTTCGCGCGCGACTGGCGGCGCCAGCCACTCGGTCTCCAGCGATCAACGGATCGTGTCGGGCCGCTGGTTGGCACGAGAGATATGAACGGGTCCTTGCGCGTCGGCGTTGGTTTTGGCGCTCACCGCCAGCCATGAGTCACTTTCCAATTGCCTCCCCGTCGCATGAAGCGAACTGCCGGGTCCCAGAAGAGCGTATCTAGACATCTCTCGGTCGACCAAGCATGAACATTTCGGCGTTTGTTTCTGCGCCCCAGAGCGGCCGCAGCGTCTCCAAGAAGCGCAGCAGGATCAAAACGTACTCGCTCAAGATGCTCCGCCAGTACGTTCCGCGGGAGCTGCCTCTGCTCGTCCGCGTGGCGTCGACATCCCAGGAGACGGACTTCGTCGTCTACAACTGCACCTTGTCCAGCCTGACCACCAAGAACTCGTGGGGCGTGTCGTACCGGTACTCGGAGTTCGTCGCCTTCCGGACGAAGCTGGAGCAGGAGTGGACGTGCCAGGACCGCAAGTGCTCCGGGTCGTGCCAAGCCGTGCGTGAATACGTGGCGGCGTGCTTCCCCAAGAAGCGTATGGCCATCATGTCCACGAACCCGAGCACGATTTCCAGTCGCAAGAGCAAGTTTGAGAACGTGCTGATGCATCTGCTGCGCTGTGTATTGCTGCCCGGTAGTGCGATGAAGTGCTTCCATGCACGCCAGCATCTGCCCAAGAACCTGTTCGAGTTCCTCGGCGTGAAGAACGATGCCGATCGGCGGTCGCTGCTGCAGATCTTCGTCGACAACTACCAGAGCGCGTTGACGGACGGCCACGAGGCCAGTCTGACGTACAGCTTCCACTCCACCGCGTCGACCGTGGACTCGGCGCCCGATTCGGCTCAGTGTATGATCTGCTTGTTCGATGTGGACTTAGAGCACGAGCACCAGCAGCAGTGCGAATCCGGTTGCACTGATGCGGACAGCCCGCCGATCGTGCTCCCGTGCAAGCACGCCTTCCACCGCGAGTGCATCTTCGAGTGGCTGCTGTTCGAGTTCCACTGCCCAGTGTGCCGCGTTCGCGTGTGTCCGAACGCGGTGACCAACTATTGCCGACCGAAGGACCATGTGCAGTGGTGGCTCGGGGACTTTGAGGAGGATCCACTCCATCCGACTGCGAACTAAGGTTGTTAGTGTCAGACAAGTTAATTTGCGTGAATAATTAAGATATTTAGCGACAAGCGCTGTGTTTAGTGCGATGGTCTGTCGGAGCTTTGAGCGTTCCTGCTCCGAAAGCACGACACTTCGGCGCCGATGTCGTTCAGGCAGAAGAGCACTGGTGACTCGCCGCCAGCGAGCCTTGCATGCACGCCCAACTGCATGTACTATCGCATGCGGTTGCCAGGAAATCAAGGGCAAGCCACCGAGAAACGCAGCAGAGGTCCAACTCGGAGCGAATCGGATCGCCGGCAGAAGATCCGTCAGCTGAGGACACCGGAGGACATTCTACAGAACATGTAACCAACGCGTTCCGGCGCCGCCGAACAATGTACACCTGCTTACTCACTCACACACGAAGACAGCCTTCGTCTTCTGCGACGAGCAGCAAAGTTTTTAGGACCATGGTGTTGTGTTGTCACATGGGAGCGCTTTTTGGCATGCTCGCCCAGCGCAGCGCGTCAAATGCTGGGTACCGCCAGCACCCACTCAGGACAAGTCTCAGGATGAGACAGCGACGCTATTGGGGTGCGGTGCTATTGAGTAGCAACTTCACTCATTTACCAATTCGCCACCAAGCAACCAAGCCTCGATATGAACTCCGGGCTCTACATGTACTTCCAGACTGCAGAGGGCCGAGTCCCGCCGCTCAGCGTCTCGAGCATCAAGACACTCCACCAGCCTGTCCGCCAACAACTTCCGCTGCAATTCAGCGTGACTTCGACTGCCGTCAACAAGAACTTCGTGATGTACAAGTGCGACGTGTCGAGCGTGACAACCGACCACTCCTGGAGCGTGTGCTACCGCTACTCCGATTTCGCAGCGTTTACCAAGAGCGTGGAGGAAGTGTGGACGTGTCCTAACACCAAGTGCAGCGGCTCGTGCCAGGTCATTCGCGAGTTCATCTGGGCCAGCTTCCCGCACAAACGGCCACCGATCATCTCGCGATCTTCGCGCACTATCGCTGACCGCAAGAGCAAGTTTGAATCCGTGGTGAACTACCTGCTCCGCTGCGTGCTGCTTCCTGGTAGCGCCATGAAGTGCCTCCACGCTAGAAGGAACCTGCCGACAAACGTGTTCAAATTTCTCGGTGTCCAGCTCGAAGACGACAAACGGTCACTGCTGCAAGTATTCATCGACAACTGCCAAGCTTCAGAGTCGAAGTGCAGCGAATCTGGGCTTTTGGATAGCTTCCACTCGGATGCGTCAACGGTGGACTCGACGGAATCAGCGCAGTGCATGATCTGCCTGGATGAAGTGGAGCTTCGAAACGCCGCCGACGAGTGTTGCCACGGTTCAGATTTATCGATAACTCTGCCGTGTCAGCACGTATTCCACCGCGGATGCATCTTTGAGTGGCTGCTCTTCCAATACCACTGCCCCGTGTGCCGCGCCCGAGTTGGTCCGTCAGCAGTGACAACTTATTGCCAAGAGAAGAACTATATTCTCCAGTGGTGGCTCAGCGACTTTGAAGACGACCCGCTTACCGCGACAAGCCCCATGTAAACGTAATAAATCCGCAGCAGAGTTAGTTTATTCACGCTACCGCGTCGTTTTTGCGTACCTATACCAATGTGGACTTCTCATGTATGACCATTATCTATCATTCTGACGAGAGGACCGAGTGGTCCTATCTCTCGCCTTCATAGCTTTCCAGGATGCGATCGATCTCGTCAGCCATTTCCGTAGCGGTTGGCCGTTTCTTCGGATCTGTGTCCCAGCCTCTTACGATCAGGTCTTGCATCTGCTGGGGATAGTCACTCATGGCTTCCAACGACGGCCGAACTCCTGTTGGCACCTGCTCGTACACTTGCTCGCGCTCTAGCATCCGAAAAGGCTTCTCCCGTGCTCGCATAGCCCACAGCACCATCGACAAGCTGTAGACGTCGAGCTTCTCGTCCAGCGGCTTGAATTTGTATTCTTCCGGCGCCCGCCACTTTCCCTTGGCCACCGACGTCTCGAACGTGCATTTCTCACTTGTGTGCGCGCCGTTCACAATGCGGGGGCCCGTGTACTTGACTCGGTTAAAGTCATTCAGCTTCAAGGTGCCGTTGGCGTTGATCAGAAACTGGCGCGCCTGCAGATCTGCGTGCACGAACGGACCTCCTGGGGCGTTGTGAAGCTGTGCGACCCCGCGCGCAGCGTCTCGAGCGAGCCTCAACGCGCGTCCAACCGAGACCGGTTCGTCCGAGTCGAACAGCAGCGTATCGAGCTGGTGCGGAATGTACTCCACCACCACCGTCGTCTTGCACCAGCCCACCAGCCCCACAATGTTCGGCGCATTGCGTATCGAGAAGATGGACGCGCACTCCTCCACGTGGCGAGGAATGATGTCCGGTCGAGTCAAAAGATCCTCCTTCACACGCTTTACGGCGACGTCATGGCCTGCATCAGCAACAGCAACAACAATAACTTAGATAATTTACCAAAGATAAAATAATAAATCCACATGCACAAAACTCAACAATTGCCTCACCGTTCCACTTGGTCTTGTACACTTCTCTCCAGAAGCCTTTGCCGATGAACTCACCCTGTTCCAATTGGTCCATATTGCCACAGTTGAGCTCGAGCTCGTCGGGCTTGAACAGCGCCACCGCCTTCGAGAAATCGCAACCACTCTGCAGTGTATCCGCCATTTTGGATGTTTTAGCACGGATAATTACTTTATCGGGTAGTTTTTTTTGATAGAATGGACGCACCTCCTTGCGGTACGACTCGGGTCGCAGCCACCAGGCTTCCTCGACGCCTTTGGCTGCCAGCACGTCCGCGAAGGCGCCGCGCAGCCCTTCGGCGACTCCGCGCGGGCCGTCGATGCGCAACGCCGGCGCCCCCGACTGCATGATCTGCGCGATGTACGACACGTTCCAGAAGAAGTAGCCGACCACGGAGCAGCCCACGAGCAGCTTGATGAACGACGGCAGCTGCCGCCGCCACGAGGAGCGCAGGGCGTGCCAGCGAGCGCCGTGGGGCAGGCGACTCGAGCGCAACATCTCGGCGTCTTGGTGATTGACGATCTCTGATCTCGCTGTAATCGATGGCGGTCGCTGATTGGGGGAGACGGCGGAGCAAAAGGATGTCATTGGACGGCTAAATTCGACAAGTGTATCTATTTTGCACATCAGATGTTTTTGTAGAGAACTAACGTTACACTCCTCAATTGCCTTTTTGAAGCATCAATCATCGTCGACCTCTAGCTCCTCCATGTTCGGGAAATTATCCTTGTCCGCGGCGCCATCGTGGACGGACAGACTGAGGTCCAACGCGCTGACGTACCCTTGAGGGTCTGTCGCTGGGATTAGGAAGAGGAATGCGATGGGGACCAGTTTCATGATACTGCACAAGACGATGGCGAGCCACAGCATGTCGTACTCGTCCTTGGCGATGCCCAGCCAGCCACAGACGATAGCGCCCCAGAACTCGCTCACACTGTAGGAAAAGTTGGATACCGACATGAGCAGCGCGAACAAGGTGCCCTCAATGCCCCTGGGACACAGCTTAGCGCAGAGTACCAGGACAGGCATCGTCCGAGACGACGGCATCGCCCAGCACGAACGCCTTGTCCGGTATGCCGATGTCCAGATTCAAGCGCGTCACCAGCACAGCATCCAGTAACGACACCACCGCCAGACTGAGCTGCGCAATGAAGGAGATGCGATGGAAGGACATGCCCTTGAAGCACGTGTTGTACAGCATGGTGCCCACCATTAAGAAAATGTAGCCGAAGGCCGAGATCGTCCCCAAGAACTCCGGCGTAAAGTGCAGAACATCCGTCGTGAAGTAGAAAAATACCTGCGAGTAACCAGGACTGATGGAGCCTGCCAGGAACACCCACAGCGCACACTTCCAAATGATAGGCAAGCGCACGGCTCCCTTGAGCAGCACAATGCCTCCGTGCTATAGCGAAGCTGTAGACGTCGTCTTAGGTTCGTGCATCAAGATGGAGAAAATCAAAACCATAAGTGGACCCACTGCAGCGAAGCAGAACACTCCACGCACGCCCAGGTTGTGCGTGGCTGGTCCTGACAAAAAGGACCCAAGCATCCCGCCTACAGACAAGGAACCCCACGACAGCGACTGCAGGTCGTTCGCCCCGTTCTTCGGGTCTAACCTGGACATCTCGACGACTCTGGCATCAATTACGACATCAATCACGGCGGTCGACAGACTATTCAGCGTGAGCATCAGCACGGCACTGGCTGGTGTAGTGACCAGGTGTGGCATTGCCAGTGTCAGTGATGCAATGACCCCCATGGTGCTAAACATGATCATGTACGACTTGCGGTGGTACCCGAACAACGGGAAGCTGTCCGAGATAACGCCATACAGCGGCTTGATACTCCAGGGGAACATCATCACGGTCAGCAGCGACTGCGTCTCCGCCGGCTGCAACTGCAAGTTGTCCTTGAAGAAGTAGTTGACTGTCAGAGATCGGAAGCTCGCGAAGCCCTGCACCGCGTACACAGTGCTCACCAGCAGCAGGAACGACGTGCCGAACGTCCGCCTCAGCCGTCGCACCCAGCTGCGGAGTTGCTCAGCTTTTGACAACTCACCGCCGACCTCACCGCTATCTTCGCTCGTATCGCTCATCTGGCCATCGTCAAGCTCTCCGCTCCTGGCCACAAGTCCCGATGTCGGGCGCTCATGCGTGTCAAGAAGGGCAATAGCATAAGCTCTGGCTGGTGGTTGAGCGTAAAGTATTTTTTACGTTGGGGTCCTACTACTAAAGTATGAATGATGTGCACAACGTTGTTGCCTTTTTCAGGTTGAAGCTGCTCCGCTTGCCGATTGGTCGAAACGGCGTCCCACACGCAGCCAATCGCACGCATCTTGAAGCCGGCCGCGTCCCATACAATCACCCATACAAAATTCCGCAGAAGCGAGAAGCGATCATCGATGGAGGTGTCTCGCGTGTCGTCGCCGCCGCCGCCGCGCGCGCGGCCCGGCCGCTACTGGAAGTACAGCCACTCGGCCGTGAGCCTGCCGCGGCTGCTGCAGGAGCGCGAGCTGCGCGGCAACGCGCGCGTGATCGACGCGGCGTGCCAGGGCCACGGCAGCCTGGTGCGGCGCCTGCAGTGCGAGTCCGTGCTGCGCGGCCACTCGGGCTGCGTCAACACGCTGCAGTGGAACGAGAGCGGGCGGCTGCTGGCCTCGGGCTCGGACGACACGCAGGTGGTGATCTGGAGCTACGAGCAGCACAAGCAGGCGCAGGTCATCGACTCGGGCCACCGCCTCAACATCTTCGCCGTGTGCTTCGTGCCCGGCACGGACGACCACGTGCTGGCCACGGGCGCCATGGACAGCGACGTGCGCGTGCACTACGCGCCCTTCCGCGCGGACTCGACCAAGCTCTTCCGCGTGCACCGCGACCGCGTCAAGGACATTGGCACGTCCTGGGCCGTGCCCAAGGTCTTCTGGACCGCGGCGGAGGACGGCCTCGTGTTCCAGTTCGACCTGCGCGCGCTGCCCAAGAGCGGCGGCACCTGCGACACGGCGGACGCCTCGGGCGTGCTCATCAACCTGGGCAAGGACAGGAAGGGGCGCGTGCTCAGGGGAATGGGCATGACCACGCACCCGCTGGACCCGACCAAGGTGGTGCTGGCCTGCGGGGACTTCTACACCAGACTCTACGACCGCCGCATGCTCCGAGTGCAGCAGCACATCTCCTCTGCGCGGAGTGCGGGCGCGACGCTGCCCGTGGAGGTGTTCGCACCCCCGCACTTGCACTTGGACGCGTATTGCAGCAGCAGGGAGCAGCGATTCCACGATAAAAGCCACGGGACCAGCATCCAGTTCAGCAGTGACGGGTCCGAGATCCTCGCGAACTACCATAACGACCATATTTATTTGTTCAAGGTGGGCTCGAAGGAGATGGTGGTGTTCAGCAAGGACAACAAGACGGAGCCGCAGATCCAGCCCATATCGTGGCTGAATGGCGCGCGCATGGATGAACCAGATCTGCCCGTGGACCTGCATTTGGAAGGAGTGCAGATGCTGCACGAGCAAGGGAAAGAGGCGCTTATGAGTGACCAATACACGCGCGCGCTGAAGTCGCTGAATGTGGCGTGTGGTGCTCGAGGTGTGGTGGAAATGACCGCGACACAACGCAAAGAACTGCACCACGACTGCGCGAAGGCGTATCTAGGGAGACTGTGGAATGCAGATGGGTATCTGGCGGCGGTGCAGTGCAAGAAGGCGCTGGAGCTCGATCCAAATGACCGCGAGGTTGAATTGACTTACATCCGTGCGCTAAGCGCAGGGAAGCGAGAGCCACAGGCGAAATGGCAGGCGCAGCGATACAAGGAAAAGTATCCAGATCACGAGAAAGACGTTGCGCCGTTCTTGAATGGGACTGCATCGCCTGCCCGAGGTGCGCGGGCAGCTCAGCGCACCTTCCGGGTGTCGCAATCGTCTGATGAAGAGGAGTCGAGCAGCAGTAGTGAGGAAGAGCAACCTACTGGGAACCAGAATGATCATGCTGGAGATGGTCTGCCCGACGACGATGACGGATTCTGGGAGGGTAAGTTGGTGAACAGCACGCCAGTGAACTGTGACGTGCTTCGTCGCTACATTGGATACTGCAACGTGCAAACGGACATCAAGGAGGCTTCATTCTTTGGCAAAAATGACGCCTACATCATCGCGGGGAGTGACGATGGACGCGCACTGGTGTGGGACAAGGCGACGGGAGAGCTGGTGAACGCTATTGAAGCGGACGCGGATATCGTGAACTGTGTTCAGCCGCATCCTTTTGATGCTTGCTTGGCGACAAGTGGCATCGAGCATGTAATCCGTTTGTGGACCCCGACCAGCGAAAAGGAAACCACCCCAAGCGAAGCAGAGCTGGAGGAAATCTTGACGAAGAACCAGGAACAAATGGATAATGTTGCGGAGTCGTTTGAGGGGGCCATGCACAATATGGTTCGCCTGGTGTTTCAAGCTGGAGGAGATCACCAGGCTATCCAGGAGTGCGCGACGAGCTGAATTGCGGCGAAGAAGTATGTGTATATGAGCAAGGTTGGCGCTTGTGCGCTCTAGTGAAGTCCCAAAGAATGATCAGGAGCCACCTCTTTTTTATTTGCCGTAAGCGTATCCACGGATTGGTGACCAACATTTTCAGGTCTGTATGATCCGCTCTTGTTGGCGTTGTCCCTATCGCGAACATTCACTCTAGACTTCTTACCGCAGCTAGGACTACTGGGTGAAGGAAGATACCTAAAGGAACTAAAAGGCTACTGTTCGATTACGTCGACCTCCACAGGATACTAAGGGACGTGGAGTTTCAAGTGACGAAGTTTGGGCAAAGGCAAAAACAGGAACTCACCGCCACGAAAGAATATCAACCAAGGTTTTCGACGTGTTGCTGCTTGAGTACATGAACAAGTTCAAACCCTCGGTAGACGCTCAAGCCCCCAAGATTGAGCGGGACTCAAAACTCCGCTTCCACGGTAAACTCCGCTTCCACGTACATACATATCGCGTCCTCTTAGAAAGATAAAGTATATGCAACATTAGCAAACGTGTGGATCAAGCACCATCCGAAGGTGGGTGGGTATGATACAAACAAAGATTTCGTCCGTTAAAATGGACAAATAGCTGACGAACCTGTTGGTAAAGCAGGTTACTTCATGTACTTCGTGTATTCGTTACATGTGCATTGAACATGGGGTACAACGAGGTGCACTCTTAAGCACTATACTTTTGAAAAGCAATGAGATGCGCGGCGTTGAAGATATAATGTGTTGCTTTGACTTTTACTATCGTGGAATGACTATCTTATTGTAAATAAACTATACAGCGAACGCTAGCGCTGGTAAACGGATTGTGAGTGCTTGCACTTTATCCCTAGCTTTCGACATCGACCCAAGCCGACTGTTACCGTTTATCAAATCCATATTTCAAGTACGCACCATGGCCTAGCCAGAGCAATCTGGTATATGAGAGAAGAAGATTTTCTCGTACCCCTCAAGATGAATAAACCGACTAACTCCGCACCATATTTCCTATGCACTTGCAAACAATTCGCAAACGTAGTGTTAGCTATACAGATAGCGTTTGTGCGAATAGTTCGTATAGCGTGCGAAAAAAATGATTATTTTGGTTTACTCTTGGACGTTGCTAGGGTACAACGACCCACTCACAAGATGGCGCGTCGTAAACATGTTGGGCTGGCCACAGCACCCTCCGGGGAGAGAATAAATTTCATAAATTCAAGAACTGCTCACTACAGTGTGTGGTTCACACTACGGATACGGTCGACATTCTGGGAACAACCAGCCACGAAATGTACATACTTTGTGATGTTAAGGTAGCCATAATCTGTGGACTATGAGCTCAGGCGGCATTTGCCAATTAAAGTTAGGGATGGGGGGGCTCCCGGCCGCTGAAATAAAATTGGTTAGGCTGTTCAGCCAGCTAAAGCTGTCCTCCCAGTATAACACTGTGCTATAACCGCCAACTAAAGTGAGCTACTGTAACTCGAATGGACAAAGTCGTGCCACGAAGAAGCTATGAAATGTGAGGTCCTCTAAATATTTACTAAGTAAGTATTTTCGTCGTTGGCGGTTCACGGTGCGATTAGTGGAACAAAGTTGTTGACATTAAATGTGTGGTGAACGAATTGCAGCAGCAACTTGGGCGATGGTGCCAGAATGAACAAGGAGAGCAGAACGCCATTGCTGTACAAGTCCCAAGTTCAAGTGAGAGACAATGAGTGCAAACCAGCAAAAATGTTGAAATCATACTCTGTCCAATTGATTGTTAGCGTTTAATTAAAGATTCTAGCGCGGTAATGTATTTTTCTATCGTTACATTCTGGCAATCGTTTCAACTGCGGTCGCTCGGATGTAGTTCTCCGCACCCACAGGTAACATTCACCTAAAATATCACCTGAACGCGCGTGCGTTCTCTCTCACTGCATTTTAACTTACTATTTGTATCAAGCCCTTCCTGTTCAGCTAGATGTCGATGAATCGAGCTACGCTCTGAAATTTATTTCATCACGGCTAGCGGTTCCCAAATACTGTCAGACGATGTGGTGATGACCTACTGCGGAGGTTTAGAATGCTGCAGGTGGGATTGAATTCGAGTAGTGGGCTGTAGGACTAAACTTTAGTGCTGGTCAAGAAATCAACATGGATACATATTTTGGAATGACTAAACAACACTGCATCGAAAAAATCAGGGAAAGCGGAGGGAACAGGTGCCATCAATATCTTTCGGATAGGGACCATACACTTATGGTCATTTCCCTAAGCAACTAACAATAATGCCTGACCGTCTTCAAAAAGTGTTAGCTGGCACTTGCGCTTGCGCGACTGCTCCTGGCGGCGAAGCACTTGAGCGACGGAGACTTCGTTCCAGAGAGAGCGGTTGAAGCGCAGAAAAAGGATAAGCTCCAACGTGTCCGGTAGCATCGACATCCGCTGGTCACTGTACACCATCCCCGCCTGCGAGAAAAGTCTCTCGACGTCATCGGACGTCGGTGGAATCCACGCCAAGTCCCCATACTGGGGCTCGGCACTTACACGTCGTTCGTGAAGCGCAGCTTCAGCGAACCCGAGGGCACCTCCGGCTTCGTCTTCACCCACGTCTGTCTCCGTTCGGGCAAAGCGCGCCAGCGCCCTCGTCTTCGCCTTGGTAAGCTCTTTGGAGCGGCCATCTTGCACTTTTACAATTCCGTTTTCAAAGTCAGGGACTGCAACGACCTTGGCGCCTATTGCGAGGTCCTTGGTGCATGAGCCGGCACTCTCGAACTCGTCCAGCAGTTTGTCGAAAAGCACTCGGACGTCACGCAACGTCACCCCATCCGCATTTTGGAGTTTGAGGCACACGGACTAGAACTTTGAGAGGTCGTTGAGCAGCGAGATAATGCGGACATGCTCCTCCGGCGTGGGAAGCAACGGCGCTAACTCGGGGCTTGACGAGTCGATGAATTTCGCGATGCTCTTGTATCTCTTCAGCATGAGATAGGTACTGGACCAGCGAGTCGTGTTGTTTAGCAGGGGGGTTGGGCCATTCAGCTTGTGCAAAACGGAGCGCACCTTCGACGTACGTAGGTACCGCATTAGCTTCTCCACTTTCGTGACCTCTGCGTCATAGAGAGCAAGGTGCTGCTCCACCGCGAGATTTAGCCTGTGGCTAGCACAGCCAACCAGTGGGAGGTCAATCTTGCGGCCAATGCTTCCATTCACACTGGCGTTGTCCCCGACGAGAAAGCAGAGCTGGTTCGCGTCAATACGGTAGCGGTCGAGGGCCACATAAAAAAACTCGATTATCGCGTCTGCGTGAAATAGCTTCTTCTTGGCATCATAGTGCTTGGGGTCGATGGGCTCAAAGAGCAGTAAAAACTGCTCACGGGACTTGCCGCCCAGGCCAGCCTTCTCGACGACCGCTATGATCGCGACGAAGTGATACCCGTTACACGTCCATGCGTCGAACGCAAAGCCCACGCGCTTCCCGCGAAACTTTTCGACGATGTTGTCTCGAACCAGCTCTTCATAGCCCTCCATGCACAAGATCATTGTAGGCTTGGAGAGCTTGTTGAGCTTGCTGTTCTTGCGCACGTACTTGTGCTCACAGAAGGACAGGTCCCGGTTCTCCATGACAGTCCACTCGACCCAGCAGAACGTGTTCATCGCGACCGGACTGACGTCGACGAAGGCTGAGGAGAGCACACCAGCGCGTTGAACTTCGTCAAAGGCGCTCTCTACAGCGACACGAGCGTGAGACCGAGCGAGGTGGTCGACCAGATTGGTGTAACCTCTGCGAGGAGCTTGAGTGCGGATTGAGTTGCAAAGCTTGCACTTGAATTGAGTGTCGCTGACCTGTTCGAACAGGGCGTCGACCAGATCCCGGTTCGCGACGGCGAAGCTCATTTTGGGCGAGAGCTTGGATAGGAGGCTTGATCAGCAGAGTGCGAAACGGGAAATGGTAGTGCAGGCGCGATGAACGAGCCGCAGCCAGCATGCTAGTCGTAGCTTAGCATTCAAGGTCTCAGCGGGTCATTATACTTAGTTTTTGTATAGCATTAGGGTAGGTCCCTTGAGACACGATTCCCTCCATTATGGTTATGGGTAATGGATATTGATGGACCATCACCATTCACATTTTCGATGCACTGCTAAGCAAGATGCAGACACGTAGATGCTGCCATTGCATGGTTATTATGGTGTATTATGGTGTCTTGGGGCAGAGCAAGTGTGACAACGGGTCGCTGGCAATGATGGCAAACAGTAGCACCTTCGATATTGTGTAACTCAAGTTGTGCTAACCGCAAGCCCTACGTAGCGTAGGCCCCGTACCTCCAAAATGCTTATCGTAAATGTACGCAAACACAAGGCGTATGCGTTTGCATTCCATTTGTTTACAAAACACCTAAGTATTGAGGAGGGCAGATCTCACAGTGCATCCAGGTGTGGCAGGATTTGACTTTGACAATGAATGAACCGAGTATCCGTACGTCTGAAAGCCAGCCGCCGACAACCTGACTCGGTCTTGAGTGTAGGCAGCACAGCGAAATTCGCCTCCCGGAACGCAAGCACTACCTACCATAAAGCATTGATGGGGCTACGACACTTGCTACTGGTGGCTGCCGCGCTCTTTTCATTACCTGCAGAAGTCGAGCGAAAACTGAATCCGTCCAGTGGGCGGTAGCAAGCGGTTCCTGAGGACAGAATGGGCAGAAGGGATGAAGGAGGACCAAGAAGGCCAAGCCAACGAAGAGAGGACTATTGACGTCCACATGGTCATTGGCGCGGGAAAGGTTCAACAACTGGTGGCTACTGAGAACGCTCCTCAACAAGTCGTTGCCTTGGAAAAGGTTGCTCTACCGCCACATCGTGCGAAACATTTCAAGGCCGAAGTTCTCCGCGAAATGCTCTATAGCCAGGAGTTTAAAGCCAAGAAGTTTGAGCGGTGGTACCAAGCGAGGCTCCCCGACGGGGTGATTTGAAAAAAGCTCAACCTGAAGAAAAATGAGAACTTCAAGTTGCTACTGCCTGACTATATCAACAACTTCAAGGCCTCGAAAAACCCAGTTCCCGTGTTTCACCGAAATCAACGGGTCCACTTTGGAGAAAACACAATGCATGAGTTACCTCCCCTACATCCCGCGCCGCTGACCTTGAAAGAAAAGATCCGTGCCTTCGCAGAGAAACTGATGTGCCGCAACGACTGCGATTCGTAGCAAAATGTCAGATAGGTAATGCACTGATACCACATGGGATTTTTTGAAACTTCGAAGTATTTCAGCTAAATACTCGTAAATTTCCAGAATATAAAGTTCTACACTACGCTAGGAGCACAGTCTTGGAAGATGAGAGGTATAGCGGAGTTACCATAACGTTCGAAATGTAGAGTAGAAAAAGTTCGGCCTGCCGTTCCTATCTGTAATTGGACCGTCATTTCTCGTTGCTGCAACTTGCATCTTGTCTTCTTGCTTGGTGTCCGGTCTTGCTTGGTGTCCGGTGATCAGATTACTTTTACAACATAAGTTAAATTATTTCACGGATTGCGCACGATCCATTTTTCATTTTTCACGCCTGCTTTCTTCGTGGCTGGAGACGCGGAGCACTGGCACTACACCCAGCACTATCGAGACGTTGCTGAAAGGGTTAAAACTGGCAAGCAAGTGGATCAAATTGTGCAGCACATCGAGGAGATAAGTCGCGGCGACATTAAGGAGAACCCATTCTCAACGCCTTTCGTTCTCATAGAGACCTCTTCGGGCACAGGGAAGACCCAAATGGCCTTCAATTTGATGGCTCGTCACGAACTCGAGGTATTTTATATCGCGTGTGGAGAACCCCGTGAAGACGTACAGCTAGCGTATTCTCGTCGATCCGGTTCATTTATGCGTTGTATCGCGAGGGATGTACCAGCCATGAGTGATTCTGGGATCGTTAACGTCTCCGCGGTGCTGGAATCGTACACTTGTGGCTTCATTTGGGCGCTACTAACCGGAAATCGGACGTTCGCTGAGCCGCAGACGCGAGAAAAAGTTGGGGCGCGCTGAAACTACGTGAACACACTGGCCGAAAGTGTGTATTTTTCCTGGGAGACTTCCCACGAAACACATTTATCATCAAGCGGGGTCTCCGCTTGATGATAAATGTGTTCCGTTCTTCCGGTTTGGCTGTCGTTGTGAGTGCTGCAAACAGTGTTGGCAGAAAAATTGTGAGAGCGGATAGACGTTGCGTGAAGGAGCGGGAGCCTGTGTTGCCGAGCTGTTTCGTGATTCCTTGTCTTTCCTCCTTCCAGAATATTTCGTTTAGTCCTGTGTCGAAAGTTTTACAAGCAATTATCGATCACAGTCGACCAATGTTCGCGAATGCAGCAGTAGAATACGCGAAGACCAACCCATTGAACGATGACAACAAGTTGGTGGAGTATCTGGACACGATGATTGAAAAGATGGCGGAGGATTTTGCAAGCATGGAAAAGTTTTCGTCTGAGTATTTTCGCTGGGCCCAGGTTTGTATCTTTCTTCGTGCAAGTTACGAGGTTAAGGATCCTAGTCACAAAATGGTGAAGGAAGAGGCCACGCAACACCTCATTACCGATCATTTCGGTCGCCTTCACGAGTCCAAGCCACGTCAGGTCTGGCTTCGTCACAAGTATAACCCGTCCCTGACCAAGTATGACTGCGGCAGAGGTCGGAAAAAAATATTTCAATTCAATAAATAATTGGATTTTACAATAAAAATCTTTATTATTGGACATTCCAGCTACCAATACAATATGATATTAACCCAATTATTAACAATAAATATGAAAAAAGTGCGGTTCTGCGGCACCACAAATCTACGTTTGATGGCATCACATGGCACCGATGACATCAACAATGGGGTCCTCCACACTACACTAGCGTCAATACAATTACTGGTCAGGAGCAGACTCGTAGAGAAGCCCAGATGCCATTCTCGGGCGGCCTAGCGTCTCATTTCAACATTGCATTCTCCAAAAGCAATGGTCTCCAACAAGCTTCTCACAGCCTTCTTCTTCGACCATCTCGGCCAAGGCCTCTTTCGCTGCAAGCTCTGTGACCAAGATCGCAGGCAGATGCCCGGACCCGGGTACTCCAACCGCCCTTGAGTTTATTTATGCAAAAAAGACTGATCTGGATGGCAACGACTACTACTTTGTGAGCTGGGTTGGATACCCCCGTCCTACTTGGGAGCCAGCGTCAGATTTACCACAAGATGCCATTGCGCGTTTTGAAGAGGAGGAGCTCGGCGTGTTTTAGCCTGTGGATCGCAGAGATTTTATCGAGTTAGGCGTGCCTACGGGAAGTAGTGGTAGAAGAGCGAGAGTTAGAAGAACATGAAGAAATAACTAACAATACAATATAAATTACGGCAATGTTTACTATTGCTTGCCGCTATATTGAAATCTTTATTATGGAGTCATGCTGCTGGGAATACAATATTTTATGGTATTGGCGGACTTCTGGACTGCGGTGGTCCGTGGTTTCCGAACAATGAGCTTCCTATACCCGAAGAAGACGTTCTACTGTGCCTAACGGGTGGCAAGAGATTTAGTGCATTGAGGAACGCAGAGCTCATGGAGATCCCATTCTGCCAGGCGGTTGATGCTATTGGAGATGCTCCCTATGGAATCTCCTCGGCATACCACCCAACGAGTCCTGGACACAATATGCGCCTGGAGCTGGTGGTAACTGGTGCAGTTGTGGTAGCAAGTCATCGCAGTGGGCTTGCTGGGATTAAGTCCCCACAATTCTTTCAGCGTTGATGTACGAGGTCGGAATGCAGTCTGCGGCGGATCGGCCGATCAAGTTCCCTATTGATGTTGGGACTTTGTGGCCTCCGTCACAGTACCGTTCTTAGCGCAGCCTAATTTGATGTGGCCGGAAGTTTTAACGCAGACAGCGCTTAACTTGGGAACGCTGCGTGTCAAGCGCGAAGCTGATCGAACGGAGATTTCCTCGAGCGGCGCGATCTCAATTGAGTGCAACTGGAACGAGCTGGAGTTGACGAGCGACGAAATCGAGAGCATACTGGCGCGGGTTCCAAGCCAAAGCAGCGTCCACCTGGTCATAATGCAACGCATTCCGAATGTTCGTCATCCGGAAGACCTGCTCTGGAAGAAGAACGTAATGGAGATGCTGGAGGGTCTGAAGCATCAGCACAGCGCGCAAGTCTTTGCCCTTGCAGAGGACGTGGTGGTCATGTCCTCCACAAACGAGTACTGTGCAGTCGAATGCTCCAAGTGCAACCCAGACAAGCTCATTCTCTTTCTCCAAGTGGTGAACATGATGCCACAAGAAGTGATCGACCGCGCGCGTCGCTGGCAGTAAGGAAACTTACTCAAGAGAAGGAGTGCGAACGTGACTGCATTCTTTTCGTAGTCAACTAACCACTTAATATCAATTGTCCCACCCGACTCAACTAGAGGTTTGGCAGCGGGGCGAAGATGCGCGCGTGCTCCACGCTGCCGTACCGCACCGGAGTGTACTCGCTCAGACGGTGGCGGCGGCGACGACGGCCGTGCTCCTTGACTAGCCACGTGCCCAGAGCCAACAGCACAATACCAGCAGCGGCAGCCGCCACAACGGCCATCGCATCCGACAATGGAGATCGAGAGCTGTGCAACGCGTCCTTCTCGTTGGTCTCGGTACTTGCAGTCTGGGTACCAGCCACAGTCGTCGTCGTCGTCTTGGCCACCATCGCAGCCGCCGCGATCTTCTGCTGCTCACGCGCGTAGTGCTCGTTCTCAGCGTCAATGCGGCGGCAGGACGGGTGCTCAACGTCAATGGCAGCCGAGCAGTTGCACGTCGCGCCGGGGCCCTGCGCGCACGATCCGTAGCCACTGCAGAACGGGGTGAGGGTCTTGTCCTTGACCCCCTTCTGCTGCGGGTACACGTAGCTGCCCGCCGACTTCCAGCAGTAGTCGACCGATGCCTTCTGGTACGGGGTCATCTCCGCTGCGGTCTCTTCGCCCTTGGGACCAGCAACGCTGCTCGACACAGTCTCCTCGCATGATGGCCCAGTGTACGGCTGGCGCACCGGTGGGAACTGCACGGCGTTGTAGTACTTCTCCGCGTTCGACAAGCAGCCGTCGTCGTTGCCGTCCAGTCCGCAGTTGTACTTGGGGAGTTCGCCCACGCCCGAGCACGTCTGGGCGTCCAGCAGCTTGTAGAGCTGCTCGATGCGCTCGTCCATCCAGCGCGCGCGGTTCAAGACCGAGTCGCGCAGGTCCGTCACCTTCTCCGCGTACGTCCCGTTGCAGGTCTGCAGGTCGACAACCGCGCACTGCACGACGTCGCTGCGCCAGTCCCCGCCTTGGCACTTGGAGAGCTGCCGGTGCACAGGCGCCGCGCTCGCGTCCAGGAACTTGGAGATGGCGTCGTCGCCCCAGGATCCGAACACCGGATCGTCCGCCTTTTGAGCGTTCGTGCCGCGCAGCGTCTTCCAGCGCTGGATCACGAGCGACGCGACCTGCGAGTGGCACATGAGGCGCTTCCAGTACGTGTACTGCGGGTAGATCCAGTCCTTAAAGTTGCGTCGGGCGCCGTTGCCGTACGCGAGGTTGAGGTCCCACACGGGTCCGGCGTTAATGGGCTGGTCCCGGTCCTTGAAGAAGAAGGTGCTGCGGCGGTACGCGTCCACGTTGAGCGACATCTCGGTGTGCAGCAGGTAGTCGGCGAACGAGCCGAGATCCAAGTGCTTCTGGAGCTCCAGAGGCGCCGTCATGTTGTTCCAGAGCGCGCGGTACATCTGGGGCAGGAAGCCCGTGTCGGTGTTGACGAAGTAGTCGCGCATCTGCTGCGAGAGCTGCGAGCCGCTCGGGTGCGCCAACAAGGGGCGTTCCCCCATGCCGAACTCGTTCTGGTACTGGTCGATGACCATGTTGGGCGAGTACGAGCCGTAGCTGGGAGGATCGTTCGACCACGCCCACCCGCCGTTCATGACCTTGGGGTCTCGCGCGGCACACGCCGCGTCCATGGACGCCAAGTTGACGTGGTTCTTGTCGTACGTGGGCTTCTCCAGGAGTAGGTAGATTCCAGAGTACTTTGGTTCTTCCTGCTCGGGGGTAGTACGCATGTACACGACGGCGTGGCGGGTCTTCACCGAGTAGCGGCCGGTAGAACGGTAGAGCCAATGGGCCAAGTGGTTGCGCAGCAAGGTGCAGTCGAGGAAGGGCCCGTTCATGACGAAGGCCTTGTTCTCCACCATGCCCAGGAACGACGTGTCCTCGGGGAACTTGAGGTTGAACTGGTGCTTGGCGAAGAAGAGGCTGGTCTGGCCGCGGTAGTTGGACGTCGAGTGCTCGAACACGGCGGTGCGCGCACCGTTGACGCAGTTGGGCGAGCCGTCGACGTTGTCCACGACTTCGACTCGGGTCTGCACGGGCTCCTTGAGGCAGTCGTCCGCCGGGTAGCGCAGCTGGTTGCACGTCGGGTCGGGGAAGCTCCGGTCCAGCGCCGAGACGATCACCACAGGCATCTCATAGCATTCTGTTCGGGGGCAGGCAGGAGTGAGTCAATGGGGAGAGGGGGTATAGGAGTTGTTGAGGGTGAGGGTGAGGTGTACCTTGACTCTGAGCTGCTTGTTGCTGCTGCGCTACGGCTACTGCTGCGTGCACGGACGCTAGGAGCGCCAGGGTCGAGAGGATTCGCATGGTGCAGTCAGTCAGTAGGGTAGGTACTCGTCGGAGTCAGGTGGTGGTGCGGGTCTGGACTGGGCCGGAGACTTGAGCAGTTCGCGGCGAAAAGCAAACTGGGGAAGTTGCGGCAATGTCGGAGCCGCTAGCGCCGGATCCGTTATACTAAAGGTAGAGCGGTTACCGCCGCAAGATGCAACTGAACGACACTCTACTGGAGTAACGACTCATTGCTAAAGACAATGCTGGCTGCTGCGTATCCGTTGGCACTTGGGCAAATGCGTCGCCAGACTACTTACCAGTAGAGTAGACCGGTGGGCGTCTAACTATCGCACATCTGTGCCAGGGGCTGCTTAGATTCGACGAGGCAAGTTGCTGCCAACCTACAAGGTTGATGACGTTGGCGTAACGGACAGGGGAAATGCTGCTTGGTGTGACATGGCTACAGTTGCTGCAGCAAGTTCCGTCAGGGCCAATCAAGGCTGTCAGCTCGCCCAGTAGATCAATAGCAAACTGCGGATGACGTACCGCCGCCGTGCGTTAAGGGGACAGGGCACCACTTTGCCGAGGGAACCGAATTTGCCTTAATTGGCAGTTTTGATCATGTTGAGAAGGAACCTGCGATATCGATCCACTCTCCTGATTGGAGATTTCACGTGGCTGAAATGCTTTGAGAGACCAATGTAGTTGGTATATTCATTCTTCGCGATGGAGGGAATCACTTTAACTGCCACCACTTCTTCTGTTGCTTTCTAAGCAGCTTCTCGGCTTGGAGTTTCTTGGCCACTATTTCTGCCTTCTCCGCCATCACCGCGTCGATCTTGTCTATGGTTGTCTCCGTGTTCGTTCCAAAGTGAACCTTCTTCCCAGCCATTTTAGCCGTCTCAACAGCTGCGTCGTCCAGTTCGTCTACTCTGGACTTGAACAGGTTGATGTAGTCGATCAGGAGCCCCTAGAACTTGGGATTTAGGTCCAGATCATACTTCACAATTTCCGCTCGGATTTCTCCTAGCGTGTATTGGGGACCCGGGTGGTGGACCCGGGGGGTCTCGCAGATCGAAGCTAGCTTGTACGGATGCGCTTACAGGGAAACGATGTATTCGGGCATCTCCTGCGCCTGCTTCGCAGCCGCAGCATCTGCATCTACCACTGTACAGCCAAGTGTACCAAGTTTGATTGCTTCTTTTCAAAGGCATTGCCAGATCTCTCCAACGAATTGGTACTTCAACTCTTGGGTTTGACAAACCCACCGTGGTGATTCTACCTTCTCCAGCACGTTGGATTAGGACTCCACAGATTTAGTTTTAACTTTAGTTATTTTGTAGTTAGTAGAACGGTTATCAACAACTAGCTAATCAGCGTAATTTTATTCCTTCCTGCCTTTGAAACGTGCTCTGATGCCCAGGCAGAATCCTATATTTCTTAGATTGCATGGTGTGCTCGGAAACTTACAGGCGGCGAAAAAAAACAGAAAAAATATGTGCATTCGAACATGTAGCGCTTCCAGGCTAACTGCCCAACCGAACTTGCAGGGTAACCCGATGAAGCCAGCAATTTGCTTCAAGTTTGATAAGTTAAGACTGAGGTCTAGCAGATCTCGATCGCGTGTAGGAGTTGGATACACCGGGTGTTTGTCCTTCGCGTTGACGATGTCCGCCCGGACTTCCTCTCTCACAGGAATCCGGGGCATACAGAAAACGTAGGAGCATTCAAACTCTGTTTGATAAAACATGGCGCAGCCGCACACAGACTTTGTCCGGATCGCCTGAATATCTAACAACAACAAGAACTCCCAGCTTCGATTCGTCCAAGTGTGTTATTGCCATTTATCTAGTATAAAACTGAACGTGCCGCATTCATGTAGCATTAAGATGATCTGAACTAATATTGGTAGCAATGTACTTTGAAGTTGTTTTAACAAGAACAGGGTAAAGTAGACGATTATTCTACAGTAGTAAATGGGCTCGGTGGATCTCTGCGGGTCGCAATGTAGTTAAGGCAAGCTTAATCATCCAAAGTCTTCGTAGATAAAATGCCTAAGCGAGTGTCGATTTTTAATGGCCCCACACGAGCCATTCATATCTCGATTGGTTTGAACTATACTTCTCCCGATTTCATACACGGTCATCATTCTTTTTGCTGTAGCTTTTAGCATTTTTCTCCGGAGAATACATAACACCAGGTGCAGCTCTTTTGAGTCTCCGCTGAATGAATTCGTTCGCCACCGTATAGGACGTCACCGCATTGCCGGCGGATAGATTTGGCTTTGGATAAAAATATGTTGAATGAAAAATATCAAGCTATACTTCCCATCTTGGATCGCATAACCTTAAAAACGTTAAGTAGTTTATGCGAAGTTTTAGTGGAATATTTTATCTAATCCATCCAGGCACATTCCAATGAGTGTGGGGATTCACACAATATCAGCCTGCCGACAATTTAAGTCACGGCAAACTCAGGTGACCAAACGATTTTCAATAAATCTCTATGCATGCAGAAGAAAATCTGTGTCTGAAAGAGGAGGGTATAAGTTATGACCCCGGACTGAACAGATTGAATCGATAGCTTTAACACTAATGAAATGAGTGAGTACTATGTTGAGTGCTCTGGAGCCGCATGCAGTTTAATACGATGCAGTGATGTGGTAATGACACCAGTTGTGCTCAAGGTCAGCATCGAGGTTTGTAATTGTCACAGACGCCATTAACTACGACGAACAACGTACATGTGCATAACGTTATCTGTGCAATAGCAAGAATTGCATCTTTCGAACAATAAAATGTTTGTGCTGGAGCTCCACTCCTCTGGTGGCGCCTGACACCAATCTAGAAGGAAAAGAAGCTCCGAGGCGAATACGCATCTATCAAAAGCTGTAAGTGTAATTCAGACCGGATTCTATTGAGTGCTGTATGATGTTGTGTGAATGTTGTTTGATGTCAAAACCTTCCCCAATCGACAGTTCTTCGAACTGCGAATTTCCCCCTGTACCAATCCTTCCACCTGTCGATCTTGAAGTCAAGGTCGCGCGTATCGTTGAATTATGGTAAAACAATGAATTAATGCTTTGGATACTAACGACCAATTTCCGCGCTCCCTACGACGGCATGTCAACAAAGATGATGAAGAAGACCGAGGCATCGAGAAAGTGGCGGATAAAGTAGACGACGCGCTAGCCATCGTTTTACACAAGCCCCTGAGACTTCCTACGGGCCTGAACGCCGCTGCCGTCGCGAGGACGGACGACGTCACAGCTAAAGTGGAACAAGCCCTGAAGAAGTACCCCCAAGGATTGAGCGTTGAAACAGTTGAGGAAAGTGGAAGAGCAGAGGCTCAAAGACCTCCCGAAAATGGGATCGGTGACCAAAAGGACCCCCGATGGAATGCGTCGAGAAATCGAACCCTACCCGGGCATGAAAGTTGCCCCTACCTTGACTTCCAACATAGGTCGCGCCGACCAACGGTTTACCGCAGACGGTGGCCGTATGACGGAGTGTGCTGTGGTTACGAGACCCAAGAGCGAAGGGGGCGGTTTTCTTCTCATTTCGACCTCGAAACTTGACAGGCAAGAGTTTACTCTGCCCAAGGGTGGTTGGGACCATGGCGAAAGCGTACATCGGGCGACGAGACGCGAGGTCAGGGAAGAAGGAGGGGTACGTCTACAGTTTTTCTTATTTTTTTAATTTGGTCAGGATTAACAATTTGTGTGGTGGCACGGCAGGTCGAGGGCGCGTTCGTGGCAGCTCTGGCTGACCAGCAAGTGGGGAAGCATGTTTACAACTCCTTCTTGATGCAGGCTACCAAGACTTACGAACAATGGCCGGAGAGCATGCGCCACCGCATTTGGGCCAAAAAGGTTAGGCCCCAGTACCCCTACTGACAATTGTTGTGGTTTGATGATTGGATCAGCTTTCGTGGGATGATGCGATCACAATGCTGAAGGAGAAGCGACCGGAAATGGTTCAGATAGTAGAACGTGCGCGCGCGGCTGCTGCTGGAGCGGCGTAATTTGTCTACTTTCGCTTGAAGTTGGCTGGTAGTTGTCGTAGGACTACAGCAGCAGCAACGACAAGAAAGACATTGCTGCGACGCTCGGCTGGTAGGGTCACCAATTTGACCGCACCACCCCGCTTAACCACTCAAATGCAGCGGCCAATGTCCACACTTGTTTCATCTCCGCCTCTTTAGTTTAACATAAGGGGCATTATTAGTGGTATCTGAAACTAAAGGGGTATTATTAGTTTACTCAGGGGTATCTCATTAGTTTTCTCAAACAGCGTAAATTATCGCTGGTCATCGTACAAGACGCCAACATGCGGCCGAAGCGTGGGGAGCTGCCGGCGCTGCTGGAGCGCCTGAACGAGAGCGTGGGGGTGTCGGCGCGCCGCCTCTTCGCGCAGCAGGCCACGCCGCCGCAGCTGCTGCAGCGCTCGCAGTCGGAGCAGCGCCGCCTGCTGCCGGAGCTCTGCGCGTTCGTGGAGTCGCTGCCGGCCGCCGCCTCTGGAGTCGCGTCGTCTTTGGTGCGCCGCGCCTTCCGCCACCCGGACGCGCAGTGGCTCAGCCGCAGCGCGCGGCAGAGCGGCATCTCGGCGCTACTCTGTCAGCAACTGCTGCGTCTGGCCAGGCAGCAGGACGGCGCCGAGGGCAACACGACGCTGCAGTGGTCGGTGGCGGAGCTGGCGGCGCGCGTGCTGCTGGACGCGCTGCTGTCGCCCTGCGCGCAGCGGCTGGGCCAGGCGCCGGACGCCTGCAGGTGGCGGCCCATGAAGGACAAGCCGCGGTTCCACGCCATGACGTGCTTCCCCGTGTGGTCCACGCTGCTGCCCTTCGCGGCGCTGCTGGCGCTGCGCTACCCGGAGCTCTTCCAGCGCGTGCTGGCGGAGTACCCGCCGCCTCTGGACAAGAAAGGGCACCGCGTTAACTGCGACTTTGCGCAGGTTACGGGCGTCTGGAGACTCGTGGAGGAGGTCAACAGAAGCGACAAGCAGAAGCAGGAGGCGGTCACACAGGTCATGACGACTTTGCTGCAGTTCGCGAGTGACAAGCTGCTGGTCGGGTCGCAGATCGCCAAGGAGGAAGCCCCGCACCTGGATGACCAGCTACTGGAGAAGTTCTTCACTGGACTGCAGGGTTTCTCGTTCAATTGCTGGAGGGCGGATGCGGTCACTAAACCGGCGCTGTTTGACGCAATCCGGGATGCACTGGTGGGTCCGGAGAGTCGAGCAGTTAAGGAGAATGGGGTGCCGCATCGTGTGGCTGTTTTCACGGCGGTGGGGAGCATGCTCGTGAGGAATCTCGCGGCGGATGTGGTGTCGATGCTCATCGAACGGATCGGTGACACGAGTGGAGAGGTTCGGAGCTCTCTGCTAACGTTCCTGGTTGGATTCTGTGCCCACTTGGACCTGGTGCCCGTATCGTCGGTGCTTGAGGTTCTCGATCTGTTGATGACTTCCTACAAGGCGGTATCGGAAGATGAAACACAGCGACAACGGCGTCTAGAGTTGCTGTTCTACATCTTGTATGTGGCGCTGCACCGTTGCCAGGCTGTCGACAGGTTACGAAAAGAGGTCAGCTCCAATGCCGCGGCTATCAAGGAGGTGCTGGCTCAGTTTCAGAGGCGGCTGTGCAGCGAAGTTGTGTACGAAGACTTTTACGTGGCTGCCCCAGTACACTGGACTGCGAGGGTGTGGAAGCACTGGGTGTTCTTGACCGACGAAGACATCCAGGCGTTTGTGTCGGATACTCACGAAAACGACCACGAGACGGAGGAAGAGTTCAAGAACCGGGTGGCAAGATGGCGAGCTTGCGAGGCCCTCGTTGCATTCCGGCCACCTTCGTTCGCGCTGTTTACGCAGATGAAAGTTCTGTTGAAACCTCACTTGATATCATCATCCCCTCTCACAGACGTGGCCGACGAGAATGGATTTTCCCTGCAAGCACGAAAGCGCCGGCGGACTGGAGACGCGGTGACGAACCCTGTGGACCCGGATAAACTCGAGCGCTCGTTCGATGTGCTGCTGTTGCCGGACGTCATGGAGCGCGTGTGCTCCTTCATGAGCGCGAAGCGGCTCTGTCGGATGGCTCTGGTATGCCGTGACTTCGCGGAGCTGAGCCATCGGTCGTCGCTGTGGCGGTCGCTGTACCTGCGCATGGGTGTCTCGGTGGTGAAGATAAAGCGAGGTGTGTTGCCCGCAGCCCCAGTCGAGTGCAGCCACGGCGACAGCTACGAGCACGACTGGCGCAGGCTGTACCAGTCGCGATGGAAGGTGCTGCGGAGGCTGCGGCGTACGCAGCGTCGGGCGATCGAAGCTGCGCAGTCAACGGATCGAGGCACTGAGGCCGCTACTAGCCCGGGCAACACGAGCGCGTTCGTCCCGCAAATCTGCCCGCACTGCGGCTGCAACCAGGTGTTCAAGACCGCGAGCGACTGGGACGCCCACCTCACGCGGCACCGCAAGTTCACGTGCTTGGAGCCTTCGTGCCGCGCGTCGCTGCTTGGGGCCCACAAGTTCAAGCAGCATATGCGCGCACACACAAAACCCGCCGAAGCCGAGCCAGCCGCCGCTGACGCTGATGCCAATGCCGTCACTGACACCACATCGCGGCTCCTGTGCGGCTACAAGGGCTGCAAGAAGACGTACGCGTCTGCCGCTCGCCTATCCACGCACGGAGGAAAGCGAACCACTTCGACAAGTGACGCCGGCTAGAATGCCACTAGGATAGTTGAATGACTGTACACACGTTCCGACTGCTAGCATTTGTTCTCTCTTCATCTTTCTCCTTTAAAGAAAAAAAATGTCTTGAAAAGAGGAAGCTGAAGAGGAGCATGCAATTCTTGATGACCACCCGCGGTATTGACCACGTCAGCATGCTGGCACCCATCCCTAAAACTTACTACCTGCAAGTTTCGCACTTAGCCGGAAGCCTCGCCTTTTACATACATACTTTGCTTTACTTTAGTACGTAAGCCGCGCTCACTCACGCAGCTCTCCCTCGACGCAGCAGCATCCCCGATCGCCCGATCGTCGTGACAATGCCCGACAGCGGCGCGAGCGGGCCCATGCCGGCGCTGGTGGCCAAGGCCAACGAGGACAAGACGGTGGCGCTGGTGGCCACGTGCTCCTTCATGCTGTCGCTGGCGCTGGGGCTGCGGCTGCTGGGCTGGTACCTGGCCAAGTCTCGGCGGCGGCGCAAGCGGCTGCAGCTGCTGCCGGGCCTGGGCTTCTACGCGCCGTTCCCCGTGGCGCTGCACGCGCTGGACGTGAGCGTGTTCGTCGTGCTCTGGTACGCGGTGAGCATCGGCATGACGCTCTTCAACAAGTGGTTCCTGCGCGTGTGGGCGGGCGGCGGCTACCCGTTCGCCACGACCATGACGTGCATCAACATGTTCGTCAAGTGCGCGCTCTCGCGGCTCATCGACCGCTGCAGCTCGGGCGGCCCCATGCTGGCCCTGCCCCCTAGCATCTACTGGAAGCTGGCCGTGCCCATCGGCGTGTGCACAGCGCTCGACATCATGCTGTCCAACCTGTCGCTGTTCTACATCACCGTCACGTTCTACACCATCGTCAAGTCCGGCGGCAACGTGTGGAACCTGCTCTTCTCCATCTGCCTGGGCCACCAGCGCCCGTCCTGGTCGCTCTTCGTGGTCATCGTGCTCATCTCGTCGGGCATCGGGCTGGCCAGCTACGGGTCTGCGCACTTTGTGCTCTACGGCTTCGTGCTGGTGCTGGCCGCGTCCGTGATCGGCACGCTCAGGTGGGTGCTCACCCAGTCGCTGCTGCAGGCCATGGAGGACAGCAACGGCCCGCCCAGGAACAAGGTGCTGGCGGTCGTGTACTACGTGTCGCCCGCGAGCGCCATGGGGCTTCTACCCATCGCGCTCTTCTCCGAGGCCAGCGACTACGCCACGTCGCGCTTCCTGCTCGACTCGCGGCTGCTGCTCATGTCGCTCGTGTTCATCTTCATCAGCGGCTGCCTGGCCTTCGTGCTCATCTTCATCGAGATCATGCTGGTCAAGAAGACGTCGGCGCTGTCGCTGGGCATCGCCGGCAGCTTCAAGGACGTCACGCAGGTGCTGCTCGCCGTCTTCATCTTCGGCGACCAGCTCATCGCCATCAACGTGTTCGGCCTGGTCGTGGCCACGTGCGGGATGCTGTTCTACACGTTCATCAAGCACACGACAGCAGAGGCCGCAAGCGACGCAAGGAGCGGCAAACTCAAGGGCTACCAGCGCGTGCCTACGTCCAACTCCGACCTGGAAGACGGCAGCGACGTCCAGTGCCAAGGCAGTGATAGCAACAAGCACAACATTGTGCCGGAGTTCCACATGAAGGACGAGAGGGGGGTCTTGGCATCAGGAACCAAGACGCTGAGCTCCGTCTCGCGCGTGGAGCTCGTGAGACGGGAGAGCAAGGAGTACTTCAATGCAGCCAGCATGGTCTCCTCCGGCGCCTCCCACGTGTGACGAGAACAAGGACGCTTTGTAACATTAGGCCAACCATTTGCGTCGAGTTCGACACCATAGACGCACGTCTGCCAGCTGAAAACCAGCAGCAGTTCCTGTTCTCGTGACCATCCAGTTGAATTAAATAGACCAACAGAACCGATCTTGCTTCACACAAGTGAATCACTACGTTCCGGTGTTGGCCTGGAAGGGATGGGGGGGGGGGGTCGCTTGGGGGTTCTTGACTTGACTCCATTACGCAACGATATGCGGGATGTACTCGCGTAGGCGCCCGTCGCGACAGGCACTGAAGATCCGTCCAGTCCGACCGGCAAGCGCGACCCCGCGCACTGCATCGTACTGAGGGCCTGTGAGCTCGGTCGTCACGCGAGGCTTCTCTCCAAGGTTGCTCCAGTTGCTGCAGGCACCATCGCCATGAGCAGTCCAAACACTACTGGCCGATGCTGGGTCGTCGACGGATGGTGCCGACACGGCGATGCTATGGATCGGCGACGAGCTCCGCGACAGCGCGTGCAACGGCGTTCTGCAAGAAAACAAATCATTAGACCAAGGAACCGTGCAGTCTTCAGACGTCTTCAAACGTACCCAGTGTGTCGTAGATCCCAAACCGTCAGCAGACCATCTTCACTTCCAGTGAACAGCATGGGCAGTGAAGAGTTGGCAGTAGTCGCAGCGCACGAGATGATCGAGCCCGCAAGACCGTCAACGTTTAGCACCTAGTCAAAGCAACAGCCTGGTGAGCATCTCGACCTCTAACTCAAACTTTGACTAGGTCTTACCGCTCCTCGCGCACGGATATCCACGCCCAATGTTTCTCCATTGTCGAGGCCAGCGAACAGCACTTTGCCGTCCGTCTCCGCCTCATTTTCACTCGTGTACGGCGGGTAGTCGCCTTCCGCCAGTAGTTGAGCAGTGTCGTCCATCACCGACAGGCAGTGAACGGCGCTCTGGTCGTCGTTCGCCCACTTGGCAATGACATCCTGCGTGCCGCAGTTCCACATTTGAATAAGTCCATCCGTCCCGCACGCTACAACACACCAAAGAAGCCACCGATCTTCATTAGTTAGTGGACCACCAAACAAAATAAAAAGTATCTTCCGCATTTACTCACACAGCACGTTTCTCCCTCTTCCGACGATCGCGACTTCCTCGACACCTCCTCGATGTCCCTTGAGCACTGCCGCGCACCGCCCACTGATACTCCAGATCCTCAGCGTAAAGTCCAACGAGCCCGTGAGCACAACCTGCGAGCTCGGGAAGAAGTGCGCGCTGGTGACGTCGGCCACGTGCCCCTTCAAGGGCAGCATCTGCGCAGGATTCTGGCTGTCCCAGAGCATGCAGACGCCGTCCGAGCCCCCGACCACCACGAAGCGCTCGTCCGGAGACACGTCCACACTGTGCAATTGCAGCAGCGCTGGAGGCGGCGCCCCGGGCGTGTCCGAGGCATCAACCGACGGCACGTCCACGGTCTCATTTGGCGCCTGGAAGACCGTGCGTAGCGTCCGCGTGGACGTCTCGGAGGCCTTCGCGTCCACTTGGACGTCGATCCACGAGTCCGCTCTGGCCAGAATCTGCACCAAGTGCGGAGCTTCGGGTGTCGTGGGGGCCGCAGACAGCGGCAGCTGGAACTGAGAGCTCGGACTGCAGTGCACCTCCGCCTTCGCGCGCTCGCCCTGAGCGAGTTCCTGATCGTTCGACGCCGCAATTCTCACGGTGCGTTCGTAGACGTCCAGCCAACAGGATTCCGCAGCGGTCTCCCAGTCCGGCTGCACCTGCATGTACATCTGCGCGTCCATCGAGGACGTCCCGGCGCTCGAGGTGAGCTCCTTCCTTTTTTTTTATTGATTAGCCGGGTTTTAGAAATAAAGTGGGTATTGTGCTTTGCACGAACTTTGGCATGCGATTAAGGGCTCTAAACCAACGAGCAAATCCTTCCCCGTCATCATATCTCGCAGTCTAACTCTAAGTTAAAGTTAAGCTAATCAACCGCCAGTACCAAGCACAACGCAGAGCAAGAACGGAGCGGTTGCCATGTTGGAAAACACTGCAAGTTGCTGCTGTTGAAGTTGCAGGGAACTGCTGCTGGAGCAGATACGCGACGAGGCAGTTGAGGTAGTGTAGACTGACGGTCGCATGCATGTCTAGGAGAGAGGGAGAAGGAGTTTGGCCGAGGTCATTCCCCAGAAGACCTCCAAGTGAACAAGTTGCTTTTGGTGCGTGTGAGCTTTGTGGTGCCGCATTCCAACAGCCACTGCAAGAATAAATCGGTTGTCGCTGCAAGAAAACAAACTGATAAGGTTCCCGATAGAATGGCGCCAACTCCTTGCATAATAGTAAGCACCGATTTCGGCGGGAACGTTTTCTTCTTCGCTCTCTTCGTCGTGGCCTTGCGCGTTAAACCAAGCTCGAATTTCAGAGCACGGCATATAGTAGCAGTAGAAAATTTCTACTAGAAATGTTTGGATGTGCAGGAAACGCTGACTTGAAAGCTGCTTGCAGCTCCTCGATATAAAAACAGGGATGTTCTTCAATATTGTAGACGTAGTTTAGTACGATAGATCGCCAACGCATGTCAATCATCGACTAGAAAGCAATCAGACAAAGCGAGCGAGTTAGAATTAGAATGTCAGGGCCGTAGTATTGTCGGATTTACTCCAGCCATTCAACGAAAGTGGGCATAACTCAACGTTAACACGTTGTCTTAGCAGCTATTCTATCTTAAATCGACGAGTTAGCCTCCTAACTCAATGATGGGCTAATCACCGTGATTTGCTAAAACAACGAATTACGTCGTTGTTTGGACAGAAAGCATGCAATGCACAATATTTATGATCTGGAATATACAATTATGTACCGCTTTCAGATTTCCAGATGTGGCGAAGGGGCGCGATCTTTTCAGTTTCAGTTTTAGCTTGTCAACGCACAGCAACGGAGCGCACTTCCAGCAGTGACAAGCTCATGGCGAGCGAGAGCGACACGCCGTCGCTGTCTTCGTCCTCCACGGCGTCTTCGTCCTCTGGAGAGGGGGGCGCGCCGGTTGCGAGGCCCAAGGCGGGGCTCATGGCGACGTATCTGCTGCGCACGGCGATGGACTGGCGCAGCAGCCGCGTCGACACATTGGAGCAGAAGGCGGCGGCGCGGAATGAAGAGGAAATAACACTAGAAGATGCTAGAAATAGCGGTGACAATAACAATGAGGTGAAGATTGAGAGGGGGGAGGGGGAACAGGAGGATCCGCTGGAGGTGGAGGCCGAGCCGGACGCTGCGTCGGTGGACGACCAGATGCCGGCGCTGGAGGGGGTCGAAGAGAAGGAGGGGGCCGCAGTGCAGAAGGAGAAGAAGCAGTTCGAAGTGACGTACCAGTGTTTTCCAGATGTGGAGGCGACGACGGAGTCGGACGAGGACGCAGTTGATGAATTGGCGCGGCGGTCGATGCAGTACTTGGACGTGTTGCTGCAGACGGACAAGTGTGGAGTCGGCTTGAATGTGGGGCTCAGTCGACTGGATGAAGGAGAGGAAGAGGGCGCGTGGGTGCTCGTCGTGCAGTCCTTTCGGAGAGTGAGTGGCGAGGATGTAGGACCCGCTGAAGCTTGTGGGAAGATCCTAGTGGGGGATATTCTACACGCAGTTGATGGCGAGGAAGTGTGTTCGCTGCAGCAGTTGCATGCAAAGCTGCAGGGTAGATTGGGAAAGAAGAGGAAGTTTGTGCTGCTGCGATTTCTGAGACCGTTGGCACTGGGCGAGGGTCCCGAAGCGTCGACTGCGTCACTACTGGATCAAAGACGACGGCCCGTTGGTGCAGACAAGGCTAGCTGGTCCGAGGTTGACGACCTGCTTCGGAGCAATCCTCAGTTGGCTGCATTTGTTCGACAGTTGGCAACGACCAACCAATTGCTGCAAGAGCAGCTTGTTGCCAGTAAGCTGAAGCAAGAAGAGCAGAACATCCAGCTCGACCAACTCCATGCGCTATACGCGCGGACACAAGCAGAAGGGCTGCCGCTGTTCTCATTGTCCAAGTCCATCCGTCCGTTCTCAAGAATAACCAGCTCCTCCCGTCTTGGCGATGCCGGAGCTGAGAAGCCGATTCCTACGAAAATCCAGACTGAAGTGACGGAAGCGGTCAGTGCAGAGTATTCCCGTCTACGACAGGAGTTCCAGCTGCAGCACCTACTCGACAAGCGTGAACTGGAGAAGAAGTATGCTGAAAAGGCGCAGAAGCTGGAGGAAGCTACTGCCAAGAAAGTGGAAATGCTGGAGGCAGGTTTCCAGCAAGCCCTCGAACAGTTTACTACATGTAGAAACCATCACTGCTCGTGTCATTGCCCGACAGCAACTACAACCGCTTTCCAGGACCAGGATGGCGATATCTTACTGCAAAAAGAACAGCAGTCCGCCGGTAGTATTGATGATCCCAATACCGGTACTGTCAAATTCGTCGAGCCTGTGAAGATGAAGGAAGAGGCGGCACTGCGGCAGATTCAGCATTTACTCGCAGAGTATGACGAGCGTAGGCGTGTGCGGACAACAAAGCTCATGGCAATCAGCCCCACCTCAGTAGACATCTGCAGCAGCTAAAGAGTGACGAAATAATAAAAAAAACTGTTTTCTGATTCAACTTTTAACTGGGCGTCCCTTCATGAATGTACATGACAGGTCGGAAACCTGTGATTTCGGCGAATTTAAGTCTTCAATGAGAGGAACATCGCCGTTGAGACCGACATGGATAGAAAGCCCTGCATCTAGCTTGGGTAATGCCGCTGTATGAAGCGCTAAATGTATGTAGATCTCGAGCGATTTATCCTCAAAGTTGGCGTTGCCTGGCGCCTCTGCGATGTTTCTTACCGTTATTTATGCAGCATATAAAAAGCTATATGTGTGACCTTTCAGGTTGGGATGAAAGATCACGAATTACTAGCGATAAGATGACTGACAAATAGTAAGGGGGGCTACGCTCCATGTCCTCGTTGCCGAACGGGGCAAGAAAAGGAGAAGCCACTTTGGCATTACTCCTTTGATGGACATATTAGTAGATACTCGTCTGGCCCACCTAAGAAACAACATTTCTATCTGGCCGTCAAAAAAAAATTCAAAAATTATCAGTTGGGGTAAACAATACCTCAAAATAAAGGTGAGATTTGGTGTTTTCGCGTCAGCTCATTGGCTGCTTGAAAACAGCAGGATTCAAGGAAACAGAGCAAGTTTTCTAAACCCGGATTTGGGTAACATTAGGGCTTTTTTGCGTAATGGCTACAAATTTTAGCGATATTCAAAATGATAGGTACCATTGGGAAGATCACTTATTGTGCCTCCCGTCATTTTGCCGAGTCCTACGTAGGACTTTGGAGATCAGTTAATCTGAGGTTGGTGGTCTCTAAATCTGAGATGCAAATCTCGGACGAGTCCGATGAGTGGTCTCCTGGAGTCTCTCCGTTCAATGGACTCCGGTTGGAGTCCAAGTCAAGCAATCTTTGTTTGGGGAAGCAAGCAATGCCGGAACCCGCGAAGGCGAATGGCGAAGACTGGAGTGTTTAACGTATCGACTGCATCGTGTTTTCATAGGTTTATTCTGCGTTTGACATACACCGTATTAGAGTCAGCTCGTATGAAAGTCCTGCCACAAGACTTGGCAGGAGTCCTTCGTAAGACCTCAAACCCCGAATGCCGTGAAAATGGGCGACATTCGGGCTTTCGGCTGTTTGTAGGACCTGCGCAAGTGCTTCCATCGGACTAGCAATTCTTGGTCCTAATTAACTACGACGGACCTGCTAATCTGCTCCGATAACCTAGCCCCATCTTAGTAGGTAGCTGTTTTACACGTCCGATTCGCCAAAACAACTGAAAAGCACAATAACTGCCGATGCGGAGAACCATCGTAGAGTATGATAGCGCTCCTGTGGGCGTTGTGGTGCTCGTATATATTTTGAGGTTTTACTAATCGATTTCGCCGTCCAGTCGAACTTTATGTCCAATCATATGGCTTAAGTCCGATTTATAGCCAATCCAATGCGATCTGAAAAAGTTGAGGTTTAATAGAAATGTTGTTTCTTAAGTGGGCCAGAGTAGTATGCAAAGTTTCAGCATTCCTAGACTCGCCAGGAAAAACCGAATTTATTCTTTTCCCGAGATCCCGTACATTGTTGAAGGGACGTCCAGTTACGTTAAATCGATAGCGTCTTAAAAGACGCTATCGTACGGGGTCGCAGTCACCAACTTGTTTCGTTGCTGTACTTGTTGCTAAGATTATTGTATATCTATAGAACAGCAAAATATGGCAAAGTGTCAACAAGGAAATATTTTCAGCTCTGCAAAGGACAAGGTTGTGATATAGTGCTTTCGCTTGGTGAAGGAACCTGCGGTGGTGGTAACTGTGGAGTTTGAGGAGAAATGCTATTAGACGGCAATTTTGTTTTCATCTTAGGGATAATACTGCGTAGCGGACGCGCAAGCAGCAGCCTCACGACCGCCACCACTTCTTCGCACGCTGTTGCTTCTTTAGCAGACTGTCCGCTTGGAGTTTCTCTCTCATCACCGCGTCGATCTTCTCTTGGTCGTCTCCGAGTTCGTCCCGAACTGAATCTTCTTCCCAGCCTTCTCCGCCTTCTCCACAGCGGGGAAGAGGAGCTCGTCTACCCTGGCCTTGTAGACGTTGATGTAGTCGACAAGGAGTTTCTTGTAGTCGGGATTGTTCTTCAGACCAAGCTTATTCAGCTCCTTCCGGATGTCCCCGAGGCTGAGCTTCTCCACGTACCACTGCTCCCACCTGTCGATCTTGAAATTCTTGTCGCGCGTCATCCTCTCGATGTCGTCGGCCAGGAAGAGGTTCGAATGGAGAGCGGGGGTCTTCTCCAAGCTCACGACCTTTTTGAGCGCCTTCTCCACAGCTGGGGCGCTTTCAGACGCCTTCTTCAAGCCAATGATCTTTGAAACGCTGAATATGCGCTCTTCATCGTCCTCGCTTGCTCTTGTCTCCGTTGTCGCTCCATGAAGTCGCAGTGCTCGCCTGTTCAGAAGTTCGTTGTGGGTCGTGCCTGCCTGTGTCTTCGTGTCAGCTGTAGCGTCACAAGCTGATAGAAGAGCTGCGACCGCCAGCAACACGTAGCTTGCGCGCATATTTGCTTGGTGGTGAGTTGGGCGCCGAAGCGGTTGCGCTCCGTGCGGCAAATTCCGAAGTGTCCCTTTGACCAGAGGTACAGTACTACAGCACTGTATTGTACGGCGGCTTGCTTGATCATTTCATTTGTGAGGGAATCATTGCCACCTGGGATATGTTTTGGGATCCGCTTCCAAACGTAGAGACGAAAAGGTCAAGCTTTATTGCCTACCTAATGGCCCAGGGCGGGCCGGGATTATGATAATACACGTGTTCCGTATTCAAATACTGTATGCCACAGTGTATACGCTCATGTACGTGACTGACGTTTTCTGTTCTTGCCAAGACTCTTACGATTTGCGGTCTTCATACAGACAACCCTCTCTTTGTAGTGGTATCCCAAATAGTAATACCCTCTGGTTAGCCTAACTGAGGCTTCTCCGTTCAGCGCTGGACTAGAACCCGCGTTGTTGCCCGTGCAGTCCTTCCAAGCTCACCAGAATAGTGGCCAGCGTATCGTCACTCCCCACGAGATACATTATACTGCAATGCAGATATTATACTGTAATGTCCAACTTGTACATAACGCTATGATCACGTATGGATTCACCAAGTTCCTAAATGGTGGCATTATCACTATCACTACGATGGTTATGGTACAGCTCTAGATAGGGATATCTCAGGTAGTGGTTTCCCGAGCCTCGCAAACACGTTAGCTAAGCGCAGTTTGCAAAAGGTGTTTGTATGCTTGCTACGCTATCACTCATGTCAAATTAATGCTTCCTCAAGGGGACTGTTGAACTTCGCGTGCAAGCCAGCGATAAGCGCTTCAACCCTTTCTTAGTTGAAGCGGTGAATTGGGCAGCTAACCAAGTCAGCAGTTCGGATTTCTAAATGTTATAGAGGTTGGCTGCGGATGTTGGAGATCCTGCCCTAAGGATTGCACTAAATGAGCACAATATACCTCACTAGAAAAATGAAAAGGATTTCTAAATGTCGTCTTCCTTGAAACACCTCGCATCACTCAGTTGCGATTTCTGTTCACGCAGTGAATCAATTGGTACGTTGTGTGGCTAGTATAAAAGTCTGCAGGTGCCTGAAAATAGAAATAGTAAGTTAAGTTGGCTCTACGTTTGAGCTTTGCAAGCCGTGGACTGTAAACTTGATCAAATTGAAATCGATGAGTCCGATGAAAGAATGCAACCGTGTACAGATAGCAGGTTGGTCGAGGTCAAAGTTTCACGGCTACTTGGAGCCTCCAAGCTAGAGGTGACAGCGAGACAAATCTACTAAGGTAGCCTACCTACCATTGGTAGGTGTTCCGCATAACCATAGCGTCGGTGAAATTGGCAAAAGCTGGCTCTGCTTCACTCCTGCTTCATTCATCTCGGTTTTATTAGACTCTATTATGCTTGTATCCTCGTATACGAAGTATGGACAGCCTAAACGGGTAGACCATATTGCAGTCAATAAAATTGAATGGGACGTATGTCAGCTCATGGCAACCAGGCCCCGCCCAGTAGTACGTACATCTAGACATGTCCTCGACGCTGATGCGTGACGAAATAAGAAAAATATTCTGACGTTCAACAGCTAGTATAACGGGAAAAAACTGCGACTAAAAAACCTTCAGTCCTCGCAAGAGTGCGAAATAGCGGGTTGCAGTGCTTCCTGACTGTGCCTTGATCTCTGTGTTGGAACGTTTCGCTCTATCATGCATTTTTTATTCCTATCTGCACTCTCAGACAATATAACAGGGAGGATATATTAGACTGAAACATCGCTTCATGCTTGCGCGACGACCTCAAGATGGTGAATCTTGATCCCAATTATGCCCGCTGCGCGGCCACCTTGCGATATTTCTAACCTACGCTTCGTCTTCGAAACGAACTCGTCGATTGCTAACAACATCGGGAGCTTGGTCGTCCGTCGTTAGAAGGCTTGAATCTGTTGAGATAGTCCAGAAGCAACTTGAAATAACTCTTTTTCCGTACTTGGCCGGCTTGACCCTGATCTCCACAGCGGTGAGTCTCTCGAGGTACCATTTGTTAAATATGCCGTCCCTGAACTTGGTATTGCACGTAATGTGCCTGACGTCCTCCACAGCACTGTATCACTCGACGGATTTGAAGCTGCTAAAACAACGTCCACAACGGAGAAGACCGTAGCTGCTGCCAGCAGAAGCACATCTTAAACGCATTGGTGCCTCTTGGTCTGCCGGGCTTTGTGTTCCTGAAGGTAAATTCCGAAATGACCTCGAGCTCAAATCGTTTCTAACAGCTGCACCATCCAGTCGGGCGTGATTCCACGCAAACCGGGATTTTTGTGTTAGATTGGCCGACCCCGTTATGAAGAAAATGAGGAAAAAATGGGGTGGCAAAGCCTTGTCTTAGTGTAGTTTACTGACAAAATGTAAGGAAGATACAAAGTACGGTCAGATATTTGTACGGTATTGCTTTTTGTTTTTTAGGAATGGTTGCACATTTTAAACTAGTCAATAATGTTTTGAGTAGTTACTTTTTCATTCTCGATCAGCTACGAGTGACAACTCCAGACGAAAAAAGTGACTAACGGATTTTACTGAATAGAAGCCGGTCTTCTAATTCCCATAAGCCCCTGTGCAAAATTCAAATGAAGCAAAAACTCAATTATCGAGTTTAAAATGTGCCCCCCCCTAAATTCGCGCTGGGATCTCTCCTTGTCCCTCTATCAGCTGGAGAAAGTCGGCATTCAGCCAGTTGCCGCGCTCATTCTTTGCAGTGAAAATGTACACAACGTCGCTTCTCCTGCATATGAGGATGTCCAAGAGAAAGATGAACTCAAGTTCCGTGTCGAGGCTCGTCCTGTCATTCGGACAGGTTGGGATCAACCCGTTGACTATCTGATGGATGGCAACTGGCCAAAGGGGGTTTTCTGTCAGGGACTTTCCTCCTCGTGCTACGGTTGAGTAGTATTGTGCTTTGCATCTATTTTGGCAAAACTGAATAACAAAACTCTGTTGAAAAGTCTGTATTAGATAGGCAAGCTCTGGATTAAACTCTTGGTTACGATGTAAAACTCTTCGTTACATAGTGCTAACTCGGGATTAAAGGCTCTTTTAGAGGCGCAAAGGCCGAATTGCACTACCACCAGTGCATTTCAGACTTTGTCGCCCGTAAGGCAGAGCACAGAACTCCAGAGCAGCAATCCCACTGTTCCCATGACCTACTCGGCTGATTTTCGCTGGCGTGCTGTATCGCTGCTGCACGTGTACGGCATCACCGTGAATTTCATCAGCGACATCTTTGGGCCCAAGCCTCGCACAATATTTCGCTGGTACAGCCTTTTCTTGGAGAAAGGTGTTGTAGATGAAGACGTAGAGCCATCTCGCAGCTCAAGATGGCCACCAGAAGTTGTCGCCGACGTTCACGAGTATGTTAAAGGACATCCTACTTTCTACCTCGAGGAACTACAGACGTATCTACAAGAAGAACACCCCGAAGTCACCAATGTGTCCCTTTCAACGATTTGCCGGGCGCTTCATTTTGATATGGGGCTTTCAAAGAAGGTTCTGACGCGTGCGGCTCGTGAAAGTGTTCCAGAAGAGGTATCGTAATTCTCTCAGCCCTTAATCTGAGAGCACAGGGTGTTCGCAGAGCCGGTTCGGCAAATTTAATGCAATGTTTTTATTTTGCTGCGGCGGAGTTAGAAATGTTGCAAAGAAAAAGATGCGAATGTTGTAGCTGTGGTAACTGCCTACACAACCTGGCTTGTGATCTCTTCGCGATGATCATCGTCATTCATGTCCGTTTCGGGCGGCTCAACAGGAACGAAATCGTGGTAAATACCTTGAGTAAAGATGTCGTGAGCGGGCAAGCCTACTGCGGCTCGAAGCGATCGCACGTCCACTTGAAAATCAGTCCAATTGCAATTTATCTGTAGCCGGATAGTTGCCACTTTGTCTCGGTCAGCGGTAGACTCGGCGTTAAGTGCAGCCATGGAAGCGTCAAGAGCCATGGCCTGTCTCGTAGTGTTATCACCAGGTAGCGCGAATGGCGTCTCATCAGGCTGACGAGCATGTGCAGTGGTGACATGGTTCCTTGTAATTGGCCCCAATGAAATGTTGTTATCCTGCTGGTATTGCTGGACGGCTACTGTAGCACGATGTATCGTAGGTTGGGGGTCTCGACTTCGACAATAAATACAGAACTCAAAGCGTAGATTGCCGAAAATGTCCTGGTTCCAAGCTCGTTTATCTTTACTCGAGACCCGTTTCACACGCTGGCTGAGTAAGGCGGTAAAGTTATCTTCTGTCATGATCTCGTAGCGATGTTGCGGAGCTCCTTTGCTTGCTCGAAAGTAGATGTTCTGGTCCTCAAGAATAAGCTTTGTGAAGGGTGGGCCCTCCAACAAAGCGATAATCTTGGCTCGCAACACACTAAATTTCTCGTGCGCATTAAATTCTAAGTTCTTCGTTTTTCCATTTCGGGGGGTTACCCTCAATCGATCCTTTGCGAGCCGTAACCATTGCGCGCAGCGATTTATCATTCGGAAGCAACACTGCTTGAGGTGTAGCACGTGTGGTGCGTCTCGTTGTCTACGCATATAATACAACGCAAATAAGCAAGATTTGGATTGAAAAGCAATAAACAAATAAAACATAATCGTACTTCTGGTGGCATTGCTGAACAATGTGTTCGCTGCAATTGAATCAATAGACCTGCGGTTTATAAAAATTGGGTAAGGCACGTTCAAGGCATAGACAACAGACAGGTAGTACTACCGCACCTTGACTTCACCGTGGTATTTCTCACTTGGTTGGAGCTTGCCTTCCTGGCGTAAGGATAAACTGTTCGACACAAATTCAGACAAAAATATCATTTTTCTGCAATACAATAGCACGCGTACAGCGCTCACGACTCACGTGAATGTCGGGTCCTGTGAATGATGCGCTGCGGTTCACAACTCTGCACTGCTTGAATCGACAACGTCGCGGCTGTCTGCATGAACAATCATCCGCAGGGTTAGCCTACAGCGTTCAGACCAGAAGAATAGCAAGCATATGACGTACCCACGGGCAGCAATGCCTGCACGTTCACAGCCGCCCTTGTTATAGACATCCTGCAGTCAGCTCGCGGCACTTAGTAGTCATGGAGCACACAGCGCTTACCGAGGAGAGACGTGAGCGGTGAATAGCGGAGCTGTGCGAAGTAGGAGAGTTACGACAGAGGCGTCTTATGAATGACAGTTTAGCAGGCGGTTGTGGCGCTAATTACGAGCTAGCAAGTCTATTTTAGAGTTCGGTCCGGATTACCCTGATCTGTTTTACAATTGCCTGGAAGTCTGTATTAATGAGCTAAAACGGGCGGCATTCTGCCGGCAAAGCACAATACGTGCTATTGATAATGAATGGCTTTGAAACTGGACTTCTACTACTCAAGTGTCTTCTTTACCGGCTCATACTCTTCTTGCTGCTACTCGGTCCTCAGGACAACAGGTCACGCTGGGGCGCTAAAGCTGCTACTGCAAGGAGTCTTGACTTTGATTGCATTCTTGACGTCGATCGCACGCGTACGCACTGGTGACGAGTTGTCCTCCGACCAAATCAGTGCATACGATTTTCTGTATCTTGCTCCCTTTCGCGCCTCGTAGAATACAGTATGGCAACTTTCAGAATGCGAAAAGAGTGGTTGAATCAATGTCGTGATCAATGGTGAACGCTGCGTGCTTCGTTAACCATACAAAAAAATGTCCACATCTACCTATCATCGTAAAGGGCCAAGCCTCGCGCAGCTCGTTGGTTTTATAAAGTGGAAAGTCAATCAAAATTCTATTGGAATGCATGGGAAACACCTCAATGGCGTAGTGGAAGTCCGGTGCTCTAGTCATTATCCACAACAATGTCCGGGAAGTCATCGTCGTCGTCGTTGTCGTCGGCCTCGACTGTGGCGACAGGAGCCTTCTTCTCGTCATCACTGTCGAATGAAAGTCAACACAATGGCAATCACCCGCGCCCACGAAGGGAACGTTCTTGGCCTGGCACCTAGCGCACGGAAGATGTCGAGGCCGGATTCCCGTCCGGTGACATCACGAGACAGTTGTTTTTTGTGCTCTATGATAAATTGACTACATTACATAAATGCGATGTTGAAGTAAAGATAAATAAATGTGTTCAAGACGTATACGAGCTCTGGCGGGAACAACACGAGATTGTTGCCGAAGCACGCAACCCAGACATGTTTCATTACTAAAGGTTGAATAGCCTTGAATTACAACGTGTAATTCATTCTCGATGCGGTACCCGCTAGCGAAAGTTAGACAACCGGCACAGACGCGTCTCGTACCACGTCCCCCAGCCCGAGCAAATAGTCCCGTTCAGCATCAGCGAGACGTCTGAGGGCATTCGTAAAGTATATCGTGGAAGCCGTAGCCATTCCCGCCGAGACGAATGGAGTGGAGAGAAAAAGCGCGACACACATCAATGCCGCGCAAATGCTGAAAATCCATTTGCTGTACGTGGCCCATCGTGCCTTGCCTGTTAGTGAAAAAGCCATTAGTGAGTGAGTCTATGTGACAGATATCTCGAGGATTTACATGAATACGTACGCTGGTATTCTCGATACAGCCGTCTTCGCTTGGTGAGTCCAGGGAAGTCGAAGAGTAAGTCAATGTGGCCATCTCCACCCTTCGGGAAGGCGAAGGTGCTCAAGAGTGCGTCAGGGCGCATTCCCCTGTTTTTCACGGCCTCGATCCGCGCTGGGACCTCTCCTTTTCCATCTCTGAGCTGGAGAAACTCGGCGTCGTCGGCTTTGAGCCAGTCGCCGTGCTCATCCTGTGCAAGGAAGAGGAACATATCTCCATTCCCCCTTCAATGAATCGTGGCTTTGATTGCAAACACGGTGTCCATCACGCTCGTACACCCTGAGATTTCCACAAGGACGAGTCGTCCTTCTTTTAATTCAGCACACACCAGCTTCTCCATCTTGTTCTGCTCCCACGACTTGTTATCAGACAACACCTCGGTCGTGTTGAGCTGTTGGCGGTAACTTGGTAACTTCCAGAATGACCGCAGAAAATGTAAAAGGTGTAGTCAGTTGATGTCAAAATTTGCTAAAGCGCATCATCGACGGAAGAAGAGGACTGAACATCACACTTTTCAACAGTGTATATATAGCGCATGCTATAAGCAATTGTTTCAACATTTGTCTTACACGTTCAGTCGCTTTCCAGCTTGTCGTCAGCCTCGATATCGCCCATGCCCTCACAAATCGCAACCCACGTAGTGAAAAGTATCTTCCCCGCATCGTCCTCGCACTTGTGGCCCATCGAGTAGCAAAACGATTCCACGGACGACACGAAGAATATCGCCGAAGGACCCAAATGCGGGATCGGATTGTACACGTGCAGACTCTTTACCGTCAGCAAGCTTGTCTTGCCACCCAGCTCAAACTCTCTCGCGTACGGGTATCGCCCAATATTGGAGATATTTCCGTCCGAGTTCACTGAGTTTCGGATATTGAGTCTCTCGGCGTCCGACGGCTTCATCTGCGCGTTCACGAACTCGTCGATGGTCAGCATCACTGCGGTCATCTGCATATTCTTCTCCAGATCCCCATCGATTTCGCTCTTCGCACGCCGTGCAAGGTCCCAGAACGACGTGGACTTTAGGTCGACTCCTTCCTTGCCAATCCACTCGAGATCAGCGAACGATATGAAGGCAGCAACATGGTCTTCTTCGGCGGGTTGAGGCACACGCCTGCGCATATTATAGTCCAGATCTACCATCATCTTGAACGGCTGCGCGGGGTCGGACTCGGGCTGCGACTTCGCGGCTGGGTAGAAGGCCAACACGACGGCGCTCACCAATGCCCCCGCAAAGGTGACATTCTCGGCTTTGCACTTGGCTAGGGTCTTGCGCATGCAAGTAGAATCGCCCTCCGCGAAAGATGCTGAGATGGGGTTCGTGACGGGCGGCATCACGAAGTCGTGCTGGTCACTTTGAGCAGGTAGAACGGGCTTGAACTTCTGTGCCACGCTGCGGTAGATCGGCTTGGCGAACAATAACACGAGTCCACTTTGGACAGTCACATGTTGGAGAGCGCGTTGTCGTAGAACGCAGCACGCAGCGGGAATTCTTCTACTGCGGTAGAGTGATTCTCTTCTCGTGAGAGTTGGGCGACTTGCTCGAAGATGCAGTTCAGCACCACCATTCCCGAGTACCCGTCCGACATGTAATGGTCGGAGAAGAGTATGAGGCGCGCCTGGTTGGCGTTGTCATCGTCGCCGACCCACACCACCAAGAAGAACGGGAATTGCGTGTACCGATCGATGGCGATGTTGCACTCGTTGTCAGCGTACTGCTGCCAATCACTGAAGGTGCCTTCGGTACTTCCAGAGTGCCCGCGTTCGCAGGAGGTTCTTGCTGCTGATGTCGTCGACGGTTAGAGGTGCTTGAATCTCCGCCAGGAAGTCGTCGCCCTTGACTTGTAGCGCGCATGCGCGGGTGTATGTTGAAAGTGCGCATGAGTGCCTCGGGCAGGAATCGGACCAGAGTCTCGACGTCTCCAGCCACGAGCATCGAGTGCACAATCTTCATGGAGGTGTCTGCTGCCATGGTGACGGCGCGCTCGAAGCCTCGCAGCTCCACTCGCTGTGGGTAATGGGTTCTGTTGTTGTCGGTCATGGCGCTTGGGTTGGTTCTGGTTAGTCGATTGAATTGTGAGACTCAAACCCAGTTGAGGAGAGTTCCAGCTGGTACATGGAGTGTGAATTTACTTACCGACAGCTTCCACCAATCCACCGTCGCGTAAGCCATAGAATCCGAATGTTTATCGGACCCCCCCCCATCGAACCGGACAGCATCCGTCAGCATTACAGTCAGTAATTCTCTCAGTATTTCTTCATTGGTACAATACAATTCGCACGCATCCACAAGTCTAAAATCTCCCAGCGATCGCCTCACCGCCACTTAATCCAGCAGGTCAATATACCTTACGAGGATTTGCTTAATCTTGTCCATGACGTCTTTCGGCATCACCGAGTCCTCCTCCGCCCCCGCGTCCAGTAGCGACTCCAAGACGTCCAACAGCTCCCGTTTGCGGTACATCTGCGACTGCAGGTAGAGCGGCGAGGCCAGCGCGCGCTGCAGCAGCTCCATGTAGTGCAGCCTGGTCTCGTCCTCCTGCGGCAGGTCCGTGCTCTCTCGAATCACGAGGTCGATGAGCACCTTAAAGTCGTTCACGAACACCAACGCCGACGCCGTTTCGTCCGCCAGAATGTCCCCGAACAACTGCGTGCAATCCCCAAACTAAGAGTTAGCACCTCTCTACCTGTCACTCTACCTCATTCTACCGTACCTGTAGAGCGTTCCAGAGATGTACCAGTCTCTCGGGCGGACACGGACAGCCGCACGAGTTGATGACGTGCAGCAGCGCGCCGCTCAGATGCTCCCGGCCGTCCTTCATGTCGTGCAGCACCTCCCCCACCAGCACCGAGCGGCCGCACGCGCGCTCGTGCGCGTGGAAGAGGCCGAGGCACACGGTGGCGGCCGCGAAGACCTTGGTGGAGCAGCTGGACAGCAGCCGCAGCAGCTTCGTCAGCATGCCCGCGTACATGCTGCCGAGCCGGAAGACGCCCGCGCACACGGCGCTGCGCGTGGCCAGCAGCACGCGCTCCAGGAAGCCCAGCCACGCGAACAGCTGCGCCGCCTGCTTTGCGTCCGCGGCGCTGAGCTCCTCCAGTGCCTGGCACGTGGAGCTCACGACCGCGCGCAGCTTGTGCGACTCGCCGGCGTGGATCCTGACGCAGGCGTCGTCATCCAGCGCGTTGCAGCACACGCCCAGCAGCTCCGCGGCGCGGATGCGCAGCCAAAGCGGCGCGAAGACGACGTCGAGGACGAGACCCCAGAGCTCGCGCGCGGTCTCGCTGGACGGCGCGTCGGAGAAGGAGGGGCTGCGGTTGTTATCGTCGTTGGTGGGGTGCACGCGCAGCTGCCGCTCGACGCGCGCGAGCAGCTCCAGGTTCTCGCTCTGGTCCATGGGCGAGTCCACGAGGCTGCGCAGGCCCATTGCGGAGACTATGTGGCGCGCTCCGGGGACCGCAGATAACCTATTTCAGTGGTTCAGGTTGCTCGTTGAGGGGGCGCAAAACAACTTGAGCCACCTCGCAACCCGGATTTGTATGGTGTTGTACAGATTGGCTCGTTGGGGTGTTCGTCCCGCTATTAAAACTCTAATTTAGAGTTTGTCCATGACAAAAAGACTTTGGCAACGTTGATTCATGCTCTTTCGTAAGACGATACTTAGCCCCAGAGAGCCTACCGTAAGGCAAAGCGTCTTACGTTTTGCAATCAACGCATTTTAGCTACATCTTGGTTTTAGTATACCAGTGGCTACATTGTATTTTGTCCGTCAAAACGTAAGACAGTTTGTCGGACAACAATTTGCACCATGCGATTGGCCAAAACTTTCAGAGGGTAGTGTCGTTGCGTGCGTTCCTCCGTTGAGCATGTAGGAACCCGAGGACAACCGCTTTGCCGTTTTTGAATTGCTCGTGTCGCCTACAGTCGAGCAGACGAAATAAGGCGCTCACAAGCACGAACATGTAGTCGGTAGTGCGGCCCTACTGCCAACTTCAATGTACACGCTTGTTTGAGAATGGTTAAGAAATAAATGCACCCGAACCAGTAGCCCAGCTTGACAAACAAAACGTTCAGGGCTTTATAGTGAATTCTAGTTAATGCATAACCAAATAGAGCCCCTCTTCCTCCGGTAGCGGCCCACGAACCCTGTCGTGTCCTCTGAGGACGCCTCCGAGCGAAACAGTGCACGACGTGCGCGCACACATGCTCCGCACCGAGGTGTTGTCGGAGGACGCGAGGGAGTAGACATTCAATACATTATGAGATCTTACCAAAGTCATGAAATGAACTGTTTTGTAGTAGCAACAAGGCAGCGTCAGCCAGTCTTCGTATTTGTATTTGTAGTTGTTGCGGTTTGCTTGGCTACCTTACTCCCGGAGGCGCACACTGCTGCAGCTCCACCTACGTCGGTAGTGGACACCACCGACCTCACCCGCGGCCACGTGTAGGCAAGCTGTTGGTGGTGTCGCAAACAAATAACTACAAAACGACGTGAGGGCCTCTAAGTGTCAAATGAGCGGCGAAAATTCTCGGGAATACATGAAAAATGCCAAAGCTAAAGTAATTGATCAGCCCGGCTGAAGGCGCTTACCAGTTTGCTCGGCCTGCTACTGTAGTACTAGGAAATCTAAATGATCTAAGCTCGCCGTGGTGTTTTAAATATGTAGAGGGAGTTTGTTGGTGTCGCAGCGCTCCTCCGCACAGTTCTATCGAACCGCCAATCATTACTACCATAACTATGCTGCGCCCGATATTAGTCAGGATACGAAGTGCAACGAAATGCATCAAAAAGAGTAGCGAAGAGGAACGCGGGCCTTCCTAGCAGAGCCTGCGAGCACTCTGCGCCTGGCAGTGCCAACAGAATTGGCAAGTCGTACTATTCGCCAATCAAATCACTAGATTTGATTTGTCGTCAAACTGTCTTACGAATCAATCGTAAGACAGTTTGACGAAGTTACGAATGCTCGACACAAGTGATTGAATGTATTGTGGCGACATTCAAGCAACATGCACGTAACGTTACAGTGCAGATTAGTGCACCATTAGCATCAATTGGTGTACAGTCTTCGTCGTCCAGCACCCCGTGACGGGCAAGTGTATGTAGATTGCAGAGTACCACAATTTTTGCGATCCGAAGTCACTGCTCGTGCAACGGAGGTAGTTGTCATGTGTACCGGTGTGCTCCTCGGCAAAAGTCGACGTTCACCACCAAGTCGCCGTCGTTCAGCTCCACATACCCCAATCACGTGGGGTCGGCAGCACTGCTTAAAAACCAGGCAACTTCATGCTTCGAGCCTCGAAGTTCGCTATATTCGTATAATAACTCAATTTTGTGACAGGATTGAGATTCTTGTCATTCTGTGTCGATTGTGATAGTGGCTAGACGGACAGAACATTGATTATCCTTGGTTCTGTCAATTCATACAGAACAATGCACAGAAGATTACCTGTATTACTTTATAAAATACCTTGTAAACATTATCACGCACGAATCGCAAGTGAATCTATCGCATTATTGGAGCTAGTTCCCGTGTTGCAGCACACACAATGGACAGTACTGGGGCACGTGTCCAGCGGCGCTGCACTGCACTGGGTAGTATGGGTAAAGCTGGCTCCGCTCGCTTGGGCGTCCTAGAACTGGTCGTGGGTGGTGCGGCCTTGGTGAAGAATGCTCGGGGTCGCCATCCCCGCAGCCACGGGGCACTTGGAGCGTGTATCGGCCCAAATACCTTCGTTGTGGCATGGTGCAACGGGAAAAGTGGTCCTTTTCAACGTGGAGCCAACCAGGCCTAGTTATCGTGGGATGCCGGATCTGTACGTAGCAATAAGTACACGGTATATACATGCCAACGCAGCTAGACATACGAAGGCGAATTCATTGTAGGCTTAGTGATGTTTCTATCTGCAGTACCATTCGTTGGCCTTCACGAGCACCGACTAGAAGATCAATAAGTCGTTTGCAACCACCACGGCTTTTGCTAAAGCTGCTTCGACATTATGAAACTCGAGGACAAGAGCGTGGGCTACCACACCAATGACATAATGCCATACAATCAATTGCCTGTCTCCCGCGCTAAGCCAAGTGCAAGCGGGTGCAGGTTCTCTGTGTTTACGTGTTTAGTGCCCTGAAGAGTCACTGTAGATGGTTTGCGTCTGCATCTAGGAGTAACCCGGCTTTATCTACTTCTCCACACCGAAGGTGCTCAATTTGTAAGGATGATAACGAACGAGCCGTACCTCTGAAGTTTGGTGTGATGCCGGCGGACCCTAACCGACACAGCTCAGGATGGAAGATATTGCGCGCACCATGACCGATCTCGACATCACGGCCCAAAGCAAACCTGTCTGACCGCAGTGACGTTCGCGGCACGCTGTGTATAATGAAATTGTTGCTCTCCAAGAACGAGGGCGAGGGGGTTCCCGGGAAGGACCGAGACGTACTCTACTTGACTGGCAAGAGGAGAGCCAACTCATACCTGCACCAGATACATCGTCCCGCATTTTGCACTCATTGGCGCCCACAGCCTTCATGGCTTGCTCTAGCCATGCCACGACGACGAAGATGTCATGAGGGTGAAAAGCTAAGCGGGACCGACGTCCGCTGCAATGCCGAGTCGATGCTGATCTCGTTGGTACAATCGAAAGCGGGGGTATCCGCAGTGCTGCGCCTTCATAGCACGTAGCTTGCTTCGGCTGTGTGAATACCTGGAACCCAAAGGACCGGGCCATTGGATAACGTAAGTTTGATCTATTTAAGCTTTAGTCACTCCGGCCTCAACGTTTGTGTCTGTCAAAGCTCGATGATGCGATCTAGATAGCTGTACAAGTTAGACCAAGTTACATCTAGGACCCGGTAGTCTTGGTAGCGAGCAGCTACACAAGTTTGTAGTGGTGGAGCGACGTAAGCTCTTTCGGACGAATTGCGCTGGCCAAGTTGAAGCGCCCAAGCCTCCTTAATTTGATACTCAGACTACAACTTTATGTCGCCTATACCGACACGCTCCGAGGTGTTCCTCGCTCATTTTAGAATTCGACGCCCACGAAGCACAATGCAAGAATGGCGCTGACACAGGGAACTGGACACGGCAGAAACACACGAAAGCGTGCCGCACACGTATAGGTTTGAACGAATGAACGAATGGCTTTCGCTGTCTGTAATGACTGACGCTCGCGTCTGCATGCTGGTGTACAGGGTGAGCTGCTGTTGAACCTGCCTGACGGGCTCTGGCTTGCGTCAGGGTGGGTGCGTGTATGCCGCCGGCGCTTCATTTTCCGCAGTGTCGGACCAACGGCGTCGCTCTCAGTGCCTAGTCGTGCATCAAGGCTGTGCTCCTGCGGCTATCTTTGACGTGTCGGCCCCGGAAGCCTTCTTCCACGAGGGGCATTTCATGCGAGTTCATGGCGGAACCTGTACATCAAGCTCGAGCTCAGTGAGTTGAAGACCAAGGCGGGGAGATTCCAAGTACGGGTTCTTCGACGTAGGCAGAAGAGTTACTGTCCGAGTCGAGCCCTACTCGACGAAGTCTACATCGATTTGCTGCCTTCAGCAAAGGAAACCTGCTGTGCAGCGACACATCGGAGAAGACGAGGGCGACAAGTCAGAGTATCAGTCGGGTGAAGTGTTGACGTATGCCACGACAGCTATCCGCAGCTCCAACAAGGAGATCGTACGCATTAATTGTTGAGTATAGCCATGATGGCACAAAAGCTGCGCAGCAAGTATGGCATGAAAGCTGCGGTGATCTATTGTGTAAAAGTAAATAAACCTTTGTTAGCCCCCAATGCGCTTTTGATGTAAACGCTTCTGCGGGACTTTATACTGAATTCAGTCTTTAGCACTTCTGCGCGGCTGCATCCGGTCGCTAGCAACTTAAATTCCTTTGTCGGTGGTGGCTGCCCAAGCGCATGAAACTTACAGCACTGTTAGCTTTGAGTTCACGATGTTTATAATCAACGCGAGCTTTATCAGTGTGCATGGCGTGGTGAAGCAAACAACGCTATCGTTTGAGCACGATGCGCGAGGGTTGTCGGCAAGTATGTTCATCCGTGGCACTTGGTGCTTTTACTGCTGGTTCCAATAGACTGTTCTGTCCAATGTTCTGTCCGGCTATGACAGAGCACTGTACAGAACACCCATTGTGTTCTGTCCGTCTAGCCACAGCCGTCGATTGTCCGATGTGCTGCAGCAAGGTTGTGCCGGGCGCCCGCCCTTCACTGACAAGAATTCAAAGACCACGTTCCACATCCCAAAGTGAATCCCAGACGGCAACAACTCCTTCCCATCACCCGGTTGAGGACACTCGTTCAGTGCACTCGGTGATTCGACGCACTCAGTCACAGCGGAGTTACCGCGCCTTCCAGCACTTCGTCTTAATCCCGCCACCATGCGCCTGGGTCGTGGCGTACTGCTAGTCGCGACGATCTCCCTTCTTTCAAGCAGCAACGCCGTTCCAGCCACAACCGGCAAGAGTAAGGGGCTGAAATTGCAAGGCGACAGCAGCGACAAGCGCTATCTGCGAGTACACAAGGCCATCAGCACCACGAGGGACGAAGAGGAGCGAACGTTCGACTTGAAAAAAAAGACTCCCAACGATTTCGCCAGAAAGATCCTGAACAAAATGACGCAGGACGACGTGTACAAGCTCGAGATGTTTGCGAAGTGGCAGCAGCACGGACTCAGCAATGGGGAGGTCGCGTTGAAACTGAATGTGCCTTACGGCGACAAGTACCTGCCGCTTCTCTTAGAGTACTTGAACCATATTCAGCCGACAGTTTCCGGGGTGGCGAAGAAGCCACGTATTCGTTTCGGAGGTGTTGACGTTCGATACTTTCATGACGATGAAACTCTACAATGGCTACGGCACTTTGGACGATAACGAGAGGGCTCTGGAGTAAATCAAAAACATTTTTACTTCAAACAAATCCGGTTTATGAAGGTTGCAAGGCACATGGTTTCTGCAGGACCTAGCCGTATGATTCGAGCTCGGCATTCTGAGTTGCTACAGCCTATTTCATCTTCACTTTCAGGTTGACACCACTGGTACCGGTAAATAGCATGATCTTGCCAAGGAAAAAAACTCTACTAGAGATATTGGGAGACTAACGCTACTTTAATTAACGATCCCCGGCTCACACAATTTTCGCTGCAATCGGTTTCCCACTTTTGGTTGTTGGTATGTGCGTCTGCGTGTTCCTCTTTGCATACTCGTAGAAGCGATTTGACACGGGAATTGTTTTCATTAACTTCTACTAAGTACGCGCGTCTCCGAGTTTTGGAGTTCATAATTGCCAATCGGATTGTTCTGTGAGTAGTGCTCCGCGCTGTTCAACCCATAGACCAATTTCCACTATCTAAAGTCAATCCCAGAGACTTCTCTTCCCACTCGTTCAGACTCCCTCGGTGATTTTACACACTCAATCACACTAGCCTTCCCGCTAGCCCATCGCGGTTCTCCACGATCGACGTGAGCAATGCACTGGGATTTCGACGTAGAAATATCGGTTAGGAGACAACTCTGAACGATTTCACCAAAACATATCCTGAAGATAACGACGAAGTAACCTCAGCGAAGTTGCAGCAGCACGGGCACAGCGAGGGGGGGGGGTCTCGAAGAGACATACAACAAGCGCTACCTGCCGCTGCTTTTAGAGTACATTAACGACGTTCACCCGACGTCGGCTTCTGACGTCGCTAGGAATTGACGACTTCATTTCGGAGGGGTTGGTATATTCGACTCTGTCAAGACGATGAAACTCTTAGAATGGACGATTGAGCAACAGTGTTGTTCTCCCTATGCACTAAATGTACTGTTAGCTGTATGTTAACACTGTATACTAACAGTTAGTCAGTGTCTAGTAAACTTTGCTGACATCTCATTGCCGAACGAGCCAATATCCGAGCAAGAAAAGCTGTATTAGTCAGAAGTCTTGATATTCGAATAGTTTTTTTCTGCTCTGCTCAGACAATCTCTTCTCCTGCGTTCTAAGATGGAAAATGCAGTTTGTCGCCCACTTTGACTCAAATTCAACCGCAGTATATCGAGCGACTATTCCCCTGTTACGGGCTCAGCTACTTACAGTCAGCTAACATGCCGCTAACAATAAGTTAGTATGTAGTAACAGCAAAACGCCCCACACTAACAACACCGACTCAAGCATAAAACGCTTCCTCTTAAACGGAAAATGAAGTTTGATGCTGTTTAAGGTGGTAGTATTATTGAAATGCAGAGATTTATCGAAAAGAGAGCTGATCGGCGTACACTTCTACGTGAACGTTGGTTGAAAAATGACTCTCTGGCGCGGATCGTTCAGCTGCACGAACTCGACAAAACGCACCTGAAGCGTATCCAATGGCAGCTCTGATTCTCCGGGGCGTGTTTGCACACCCAACGAGAGCAGTTGTCGAGGAAAATCGGTGCCGTTCAAATGCGCTTGCAACACTGCGGTGGGCTGACGCAGGAGGCGCGGATCGATCCGATCTCTGGTTTGAAAAGTTCGCACGATAAGGATCATCGTTATGAGGCAGCCAAAACACGCAAGTGCAAATAGAGCCACTGGTAGCGTGATCGCCACATCAAAAAGCTCTTGATTGCCCTGGAACGCAAGAGAGTCGCACTTGTCGGCTGGCAATGGATCGAGTAATCTGGCATTCTGGAATAGCTGGAAGAGTGCAGCTGTGTACGTCAGTTGAAGTGGGTGTTCTTGGTAGATGTAGTTGTACGATGAGTCCACGTGGTAGTTATCGATTGCCGCCGAGCAGTTCTCGTCCATTTGATAGGAGTAATTGAAGACGGGGAAATTGTATTCGTGAAGAATTTCGTATTCCACGCGCTGGCCATACGTATACCGTGAGACCAGTCGAGTAGGCTGAGCTGAGTTATTCACGAGACTGAAGGCGGGTATTTCCGCTGGAATCTCCGACGCGTGTAATACGAGAAACTGCTTGGGCGTGTTTTCGGGTGTGTTGAGCTCGTAGCTGATTCCTTCACACCCGTATGTGTGTAATTGCATTGAGCACCAAACTTTGCCGAGAGGTCTTTAATCCTAACTCCGAGCCGGCCCATGGTCATAACGTGAGAGTCGCGGGGTTTCCGTAAAACAGCCTTGCGAAGCTTGATACTCTTGTCGCCAGGCAGGTATAATTCCTCCAGTGAGTCTCCCTCGATACGTCGCCCAAAACCGAATACCAAGTGGGATAGCCTGGTCGCGGCTGTAGTGCAAGGGTAGTCTTCTGTGCATTCTCCAGATTTGCTAACCCGAGGTTCTGGGACGTATCCACGATTCTGGATGCTGCAGGTTCTGGAGGCACACTCTCGGGCGACAGGAATCCACCTCCTGATCCTGACCAGGCGGTATCCTGCTCAACCAGTTCTCCATTTACTTCGTCAAGAATGCGGTACAATTGACCGCGGTCCTGAGGGACAGTCACAGTCACGGATGTGAAATTAAGATTGCAGGAAATGTTGAACATGGCGTACTCAATCTTTATCTCGGACGTGGTGATCTTCATGACAGTCGTCCACTGGGTCACCGCGTCGAAGTAGTTGATCATGAACTGTTGAATGTGCTGAGTGGCGTCGGTGTCGCTTGGAGCATCGCGAATATCGTTGGCCAGAAGAAAACCCACCGAGTCGTCCCGGAGGCTTTTCATCGCTGAAACAAATGCAGTATCACCAGCTTTGACTGCTTCAGCGGACATAGCTTCGGCATAAACGTAAACGTCTCGGATAAATAGTTCCTCGAGTTGGTACGCTTCATCTGTCGTGAATGTTGTCTTGTTGAATATCAGGCCCCGCATAAATGTCGTTTCAAGCAAATCGTTCATCTCACCGAAGGGTGTGTTTGCAGACGGCAATTCTTGGAGCCCCTCAAACCCAGGAACCGTGTATGCTTCCAATGGACTCAAACCAGTAGGAACCATAACCTTGTGCCACTCATTAAGGTAGAATCTGTATACGGCTCCAATGGGCTCCATTGTTGTCGCAGTAGAATTTTGTAGGAACATAGGGATGCATTGCTTGACGAAGCATTGAAGCAGCTGAACTCGTTGGCGCGTATTCCTGCGTGTAGTATTTAAGCTCGTTCTGCCGGTCATCCAAGTGGTAATCGTCAAGTGAATACTTTGAGAAATCAGCCTCAGCCATCGTAGGGATGATTCGAGAAGGTTGGCGCTGAATGCTAAGGCCGCTCAGCGCGCTGGAAATTGAGGAAATAACCAAAAGCGACACACCGGCCTTGGACAGCAGCTTATTCTCGAAGCATCCATTACCATACTGAAAACTGGCCAAAGTCGCGAAGACGGCAGTGAGATCACTTAACGCCGCAAGCCATTGCGGTGATGACAACACCCGGAAAATTCGTCCAGAAGTTGATGAAAAAAGCGATCTCCGCGTCGGTTGTCTCTTGCATGTTGTACGTTCGGAGGGTGAGCCCCACGACAAACGCGTAGCCGCACATTCCTACAACCAAAAGCGGAACGACGATAGCTGCGATTGTGAGTCGGGGGGTGACAGTCAATTGAGGTCCGACATAACTTTGGAATGGCGCCGGCTTCGCTTGACTGGATCCAAGCTCTGCTTTCATCTTGGCCTCGACACCATCAGTCGTGACGATGCTTCCCGAACTGGAGAAACTTTCTCCATGGACGAGCGTGTGAGAACCAAACCGGATGGTGACAGCAGAGAGGACTGGCGCTCGAAGCGGTGAAAAGGAGACTGTAGCAAACCCAGCGCTGTAAACTAGATCTGTTGCAAAACGGACGCCGCTGTTGGTTTCGCGGGCTATTCCCGAATGGCACCAGGTTTAAGCCGGTCCGCGTCGCTTTGTCAAAAGCGTCAAGCGATCGCATATATTCTATCGCATATCCAACCATCGCAGGAACTTTGTATTAGAAGTCGCTAGAGATCTAAGTGACTACAATACAAAAAAATCATCGCATATCCAACCGCCAGATTTAAATTTCGGCATTCAGTGGCCTTCGCTCGATATACTCCACTAAAATATTACTTCTAAGTTATTACCTGACGTCGAATTTCAAGGCTCTTTCCACTGCCTTGTTGCATGGGCAAGGTGCAAGTAGTAGACACCAAATATAATATTTTACGAGCCGCTCTACTGGCGAAGTTCGTTCAGCGAACTAGACGCGGCAAACTAGGGCTCCATTTTTTTAACGCACACGTCAATTTCTCTGCGGCAGGGTACGTTCATGTTTTCGAGAACTGCCTGGGGTCACTGCTGCCACTTTGCGTGCATTTGTAGCCAACTCTGCACCCCCGCGATGCATGGCTCATGCCACAATCATGCAGTCGCTATGAAAGTACCTGTAGTGAGGTTTTTATCGGACACTGCATTCCCCGTATTATAAGGCTAAGCATAATACATGCAATCCTACTTGCTTCATTTGATTGCATTCTTACTATGATCACTTACTTCGTACGTCGATACTCTTCTTGCGCTACACACAACATTTGGCTACGTGACTGCCGATACTTGAACACTTCATCTGCTGCAGCACGGCGTGTCGTTTTAACCATCATTTTCTACTGGTTCTTCGTTGTTTTGGTCGCCGGTGTCGCCGTTGGTGTCACCTTAGGCGTGGCCGTAGGTTTCGGTGGTACGCTCGAGTTGGTAGGCCTCGGAGGGGGCAACGCCGTGGCGTTCGTCGGCTTGGGTGGAGGGGGAAGTGCAGTGCCGTTCGTTGGCTTCGGAGGGGGGAGTGCCGTGGCGTTCGTGGGCTTGGGGGGGGGGGCGCAGCCTTTGATGATGTTGGCTTCGGAGCTACCGTTGGCGAAGGTTCCGGAGTCGTCGCTAGACGCCGAGTGTCAACCGGGTCAGTCGCAGAGTCTTGCTCAAACTCCTCGTCTGAGTCGTCATGGCTGTCGAGGATCACGTCACTGCTGTCGTCGTCGTCCTCGGAGTCAAGATACAAAGAAGCAGACTCAGTGTCGTCGCTTTCGTCGGGGCCGCGGAGGGATGTCGTCACGCCTTCCTTGGGTGCCGGAGCAGAGTAGGTTCCGTCTACTACTTGGGCCGATGCCGTCGATGTTCTCGAGGTCGATACGAGGACTGCGACGCAGACTGCGCTGGCGAGCAGGTGGTGCAGGAGCTTCATTCTGCTTGGTGCTCGAGGCACAAAGGCCTTGAGGCTTGCTTGGTTGCTTGGGTGCTTTGTTCTTGGTAGGCGGCGACTACTGTGGTTCAATCGTGGCAAATACTGAACACGAGAACCTTCGTCCTCAGGCCGATAAATGTGGAGGTGATTGATTGGCTTTATACCAAATAAGCCTTCGAAGGCCGCACAGTTGTTGTCGTCCTCGATGTTCACATGGACTGTATGGTGGTGCTACCCCGCCTCCCCCCCCCCCCCCCCCGCCTCCATCAATATTTAAATAGGGTTTTGAACTAGCAGGTCGCGACAACGCGGCAAATACTGCGAAGATAGCACGCTGGAGAGAAGAACCGAGCGAGCAATAGAGAAATGAGTAAATCGGATATGTGCCGCTTAAGTCCTTTACTTCCTGCAGTGAGTCAAATTGGCACTTCAGACCTCTGACACCGTCAGGTCGAGGTCGGTGTTTCAATAAATCTCAAGTACATACAACAAACACAGTAGTCTGCACAATGGGGGACAGTGACTGATACTCACAAATTTGACTTTATATTCACATCAATCAATTCCTCGAATCGCACAGCACTTACAAACTTCAAAACATACAGGTCTATCAACACGAGCACCCCATTCGTACACTTACACAGCGGATGTCGACGTGGCCGCATCCGAAGTGGTCGTGGCCGTCGCATCCGACGCGGTCATATCGGAGGAAGGATTTGAGGTCGCCGCATCTGCTGCATACGGCGTCACTGTCGGCGTGGTCGTCGGTGTTGGGGTGGGGGTGGCAGTTGGCGTTGGTGTCGGCGTGGGAGCCGGCTTCTTCGTTTTCGGGTGCTCCGGTGCCTTCACAGGCTTCGTCGCTTCCGGTGTCTTGGACGGTGCGGGAGGTTTGGTAGGCGTTGCAGGCTTGGGTGTAGTGGCAGGCTTAGGCGGCGATGCCTTCGTGGTCTTCGACGGGGTCATCGTCGATCCCTTCAGCCGGCGGTACGGGTTTGGCGTGTCTTCCTCGGAATCCAACTCGGGATCAAGGAGCTCGCTGCTGTCGTCGTCGTCGTCCGCCTCAAGATCAAAAGCGGTCTCGCTGCTGTCCTCGTCATCTTCTTCTTCAAGTCCCGCGGCGGACTCGCTGCTGTCGTTGTCATCTTCGTCGGGGCCTCGAAGCAGTCTCGACACGCCTACGTCGGTTGCCGGAGAGGCGAAGGTTCCTTCTGCGACGTGTGCAGCCGCCGAAGGTGTTGCCGAAGTCGCGGCGAGGACAGACACGCACGCAGCGCTGACAAGGAGGTGGTGTAGGAGCTTCATGGTGCTCGGGGAGCGCTTGGAGGCACGGAGGCCGTTGGGCTTGCTCGGGTTGCTTGCTTGGTTCTTGGCTTTTTCGATTGTGATAATAAACGGCGGTCCGCTACCGGTCGACAGGGTATTCTTCTACCACTTGGCATGCAGCAACCAGCTCTACGGAGTACGTCCTCCGCTCCTGACCGAGGGGCGATCAGGCAACGAAGCTATTCAAGCAGCAATGTCAAGGCAACTTCAACCTAGAAGTGGTCCACTCCAGCCCGTACTTAACCGAACCATTCTGGTGGTCTCCTATCGTACTTAGCCGAAGGTCGCGAGATTTTGCGGCCCTGAATCGCTCTACCCGCTCGCAGTCTCAAGAAGGAAGGAATCCCATGGCGGTTCGTGCTACTGGTCGCCAGGCCGCGCTCGTGGGCGGACGCCTCGTGGCGCGCGCTGCCGCCCCCTCGACGCTGGCCAAGGCCTCGCAGACGCAGACGCGCTCGTTCTACACCATCTTCGAGAAGTACATGGAGGCCAACAAGCGCTACGGCTGGAAGGGCACGCTCTGGAAGCTCTACAACCCGGGCGACGTCAAGTTCGGCCGCTTCGTGGGCGAGGACGAGAACGGCTTCAAGTACTACGAGGACCCGACGGAGCTCTACGGCCAGCACCGCTGGACCGAGTACAAGGTGGACTCGTGGGAGGAGGTGGAGGGCACGCTCATCCCGCCGCAATGGCACCTCTGGATGCACCACCTGACGGACTCGCTGCCCGGCCAGGGCGGCCAGGACCCGGCCAACTGGGAGAAGAAGGAGACGGTGGCCCACTCGGACGCGCCCTACGTCAACCACCTCGGCGAGCACGTGCCGTACTACCCCAACAAGACGCTCTACCGCTCGCGCGGCTACAACATCGGCAGCCTGGCCACGGACGTGGACGAACCGGACCAGTACTACCTGCAGCCGGGCCACCTGCGCCGCTCGCGCAAGCGCAACCCGCACTACTTCGCCGACGTCGACTACAACAACCCGGAGAACTCGGACGAGAGCCGCGCCGACTCGCTGCGTCCCGCCGACATCAACTAAGTTGGAGGAAGAATAGGAAGGGCAGATATTCTGCCTGCCATTCTACCCAAGTGTTGATGCAATGAAGTAAGCGACGGGAATGAAACAAATGATGAAAAACAAACGGAGAAGGAGTTGCTCGTTGAGCCTGTGGGTGCTGGTCGTGGCTTTACAAACGTCAATAACGCAAGCTGTCGCTTCATTTATTACGCGTCGGCAGTCTCCTTGCTGTCCTTCCTTCACCCCGCAGGTAGACCGCCGTTCATTCCTCCAAAATCATTAACTAAGTAGTCCCGAGCAGTAGCTGCGCCCACCACACGTAGCGCCCCAGCTTCCTGCTAAATAATACACCCTTCTTCGACTAGATGGCGATCTCACTGCAGCCGTCCTTGGCCTCCAGGTTGAGCGCGATGAGCGAGCCCGGGCGCGCGTTGTTGCTGTCCGACGAGCGGTCGGACGACAGGTCGTCGCCGTAGTCGCTGTCCTCGGCGCTCGAGAGCTGCTGCAGCAGCGGCATGGACGACACGTACGCCGAGCTGCGCGCGGACGTGGCCACGCTGTCTCTGGTTGAAGTGGACGAGACCGACGACTCGGACAGGAACGACGCCGTCGACATCTCGCGCGGGTCCTCGGAGCTGCGGTACGACGCGGCCATCTTCTCGCCTGCCAGGTTCGGGATCGTGTCGTACACGGATCCTGTCCGCTTGCCGCGGCCCACGGGCGAGTCGGGGCCCATGCTCACCTCGGACGCGCGCACGTCGCTAGGCGCGCGCGCCTGCATCTTGGATGATCCGGGCGCCGCGCGAGTCGGCAGAGGCGCCAGGAAGCTCTGGTTGTCTGCTGCTGTGTCGGGCCCCATGCTAATATTCATGTTGGAACTCTGTCTGAAGTCGGCGTGCATCACCTGAGGCGCCTGATCGTGGGCGTTCATGTCGACCTTGGGCTGAGCGTTCGTGGTCGTGGCCAGCTCCGCGTACTCGTCCGGGGCCGAGAGTTTGCGGCCTCCGGGCGCGCGCTTGGGGGTGGCGCCTCCGCGTCCGCTTGCTGTGCTGCCGTTGCCGATCAGTCCCGTGAGGTGGAGCGTGTTGCTGCTCTTGGCGTTGGCGTTGGCCCCGCCCTCCTCCGACTCGCGGTACTGGTACGAGTAGCTGGCCATTTTGCGGCTGCTGAACGTGGGGCTCACGCCGCCCTGCGTGTTGAAGACGCTGCTGTCCGTGGAGCTGGCGACGCTGGCGCTGTACTGGTTGCTGGCGGCGCTCGAGCGCGACGACGCGTAGCTCATGTCGAGCCCCTTGCTGAAGCCCAGCTGGTTGGGCGCCAGCTCGATGGACATCTCGGGCATGCCGAGCTCGTGCTCCTGCTTGAAGCCTCGGTCCGCGGGCACCGTGAGGCACGTGGCGCCCGCCGGAGGGGACCACGTCGACTCGTCCAGCTTCTGCGAGCGCTTCTTCCTCCTCGAGCGCAGGAACAGCAACGTGGCGACGACGAGCGCGAGCACGCCGACGGCGATGCCGATGGAGAGCGCGGCGCCGTTGCCGCCGCCATCTCCATCGCTGGTGGCGCTTGCCGCGCCGCTTGTGTTCGTCTCCGAGGCGCCAGAGTTCTGCGACTCGGTGGTCGGCGTCTCGGTGGCCTTCGTCTCGGTAGAAGGCGTCTCCGTGAAGGGGGTCGAGGCCTGCGCGTCGTTAGAGGAAGAGGAGGACGCGCTGCGAGACGCCGAGGCCGACGCGGATGCAGACGCGGACGAGGTGGCGGAGGACGGGGCCGACGTCGCCGAGTCCGTCGAGTCGTTAGTAGTCGTCGAGGTCGACGTTGAGGGGGAGCTGGTGGTCGACGTGACGGAGTTGAGCAGGCTGTTGACCAGGTCGTCCGTGGACACCGTGGACACGTCGGCGACGGTCCTCATGGCTGCCTGCTTTCCTTCCTTCCCTGCTTACCTGCTAGGTAGGCGCCCCGTGTGCTCTACGATCGCTGCGCTACGACTAGGTCGACAGATTGGCCTTCCAGCCCTGATCGCCAATGACGCCAAATGGCTCGAGCGAAAGGAGTCAGCGCCCAGACAAGGGGCCTCTACCGGCTCCTTGCCGATCGAGAGGGGGAAAACTCGCGTCGCCACAAGTGGGGGTATACTGGGATCCAGCCTTTTCAGCCGTTATAAAGTCGGACTTTCTTTCGGACATAGCCGAGTGGACGACCGATATAGACAATATAATGGCGACCCTGGTGCAGTGTAGCTGCCAGGTGCAGCCCCCAAACAGGGCTGCAGTCCTATCTACAGAGATCTCCGCGCTTGCTCAACAGCCCCAAGCCCATTGCGCGTGCGTGCAGTCAGTCGGCAATGCATGAAGAGCTTGAGGCCGATCGGACGGACACCTTGCGACTGCGCGACGCGGGGCGGCTGGCAAAACGACAGCGCCCAGCGAGTGGGAAGGAAGGAGCGCTTCGAACACACATGGCGTTAGCGCCGCGTCTGGCCACAAATCAGCGCCGGGGCGAGGCGGGATCAGCTCTGTGGTGCCGTGACCATGCGCCCGAGCGAGCGCGGTCGACAAGCCCAGAAACAGTCACTCGTCCGTCCTGAGTCATGACTCGGTTGACAATTTGCGGTGCGGCGTGACGAACTCCGGGGGCACCTGGCGGTGCTCGAGGCGGGGCCCTAGGTGCCGAATATCCATCGTCCGGCGTCCGGTAAACCAAAGGCTTTGCATGCACGTAGTAGAGCGGTCATCTCAGTGCCGGTAGAATCTGCGTCAGTGCAAAGGCTGTCCGCCCACTTCAACGTCGACCAGCGGCATTACTTGAGCAGGTGGGTTCTCCATGGCCCCATGTGCAGGTGGTGTGGGCTAACTTACTCGCACATGTGGACGGACGAGCTCCATGGTCTACTTTGCTCACTGCACGTCCACAGCGTTGCTAAGCAATGGCGATTATATTTAACGTTTGATAAATTGGAGACGATGGCCATCGTCCTCTGTGTAGTAAGGTAGATAAGTAGGTAGGTAGGATACGAGCTCTCAGATCGCCCGGAAGTCCTTGAACTTGTTCTCGATGTCCTCCTTGAGCTCCGGGTCCACGGCGTTGCGCACGCCGATGAGCGCCTTTGCCACGGCCTCGGAGGCGCCGATCATGGGGCGCAGCACCGCCACGGGCACCGCGCGGATGACCGAGCGCACGTAGCCCTGCGAGCCCGTCTTCTTGTACTCGACGAGCGGCACGGCCACGATGGTCTTGGCGGCCACGTGCAGCTCGCGCGCCAGCGAGTCGTACGCCTGGCCGAAGCCCTCCGCGGCGCTCGCCGGTTGCTGCGCCAGGTACTGGCGCCCACCGATGCCTCCGCCCGCGTCCTGAGCGTTGCGGATGCCGCCGCCTCCCATGCGCCGCGAGTTGCGCGCGATGCGACTGCCAGCCTGGCGGTACTTGAGCTGCTTGCGGCGCAGCGCGGACGACGACGACACCACGTCGTCTGCGTGCTCCAGCAGCGCCTGCGTGCCCTGGGCCACCTTGGAAGCCGTGTTCAGCGTCTCGATCGTCACCGACTTGAGGAAGCTCGACGCACCCTTCTTGATACCACGCACAAGTCTCCTGTCCCGACCGTAGTGCTCCATCGGAAGCAGGATCAAGTCGGCAGCACCAGCGCCAATGTTCACGAACGGGCGCAGAGGCGGCATGGATACACTCGCCACGCACTTGTGGATCTGATGCCGCGAAATGTCCTGCACCCACGACACGAGAACGTTCTCACCCAAGGCAGCCCACCCATCCAGCCCGCTCATCTGCACGCGACGAAGCACCAGCTCCATTCCCTCGAGCACGAACAGGTTGATCACCTCCAGGTAGTCACCGGCACGCAGCGCAGCGTAGTCGACGTGGTTAGGTCGGTAGTCGATCTTGATCTTGCACGGCTTGATGTCGATGCTCTGGAAGAACCACGCATTGAGACTTGCAGCTGGAGCACTGTCCCCGAGCGGCTTCATCTCCATTCCGCCCTCGTGCATCGTTATCTCCACTTCATCGTCCGTGTCATCCGGGATCGGGCCGACCTGCCGCCGTGCTGGGCGCTTCTTCGGCGCTGGTGCCTCCTCGACAGGGACGAACTGCCGCAAGAACTTGACAACCTCCTGGTCCAAGTTGATGCGCAGGGGTAATATCCGAGCCTTTAGCCGGTGCTCCTCGCACAAATTGGGTCCGGGCCGCACCGTTATCAACTGCAGCCGGACCATGGAGCTTCCGCTTTCGCGTGGATGAGTCGCCTCCGACTTCCAGTAGCACACGATCTTGCGGATCTGCGATGTCGAAATGTAGTCTAGTAGCTCCACATCGCCCAGCGCAAGCACCGTGTGGGACGCCAGCGATTGCGTCTCAGCCTCGTTAAACATGTCCAAGCGCAGCTGAATCCGAGTAACCACCAACTCGAGCATTTCCTCCGTCTTCCGTCCACTTTTCTTCAAGGAGCGCTTCCGAGAAGCAGGCAGGCTGTCACTTGACGCGGCCCGCGTTGTCCTTGTTGCTGGGTCACGCTTCATGAAGGAAGTGGTGGGTGCACTCTTCGCACTGGTAAAAAGAGACGAGCTGCTATCGTTTCCAAACAGGTCGCCTCCATCCGACGGAACGTAGTTATCCAGAAGGGCATCCAACAGTTTTTCCTTCTTGGCAGTGGCACTGTCCGGCTGCTGCTTCCCTTGCGCACTCTCGTCCTTCGGATGGTGAAGCCTTACAGCTTCACTTGCATCACGCGTCCAGTCGCACCCACCGAAGAAGCGCATGCAAATGTTAAAGTTACGCAGAAGCACGTGCTGCACAACGATCGGTGCGGTCGCATCCACTTTGCGTACTGCGTTTTCCCTCGCGATAGATCGAATGGCATCTTTGCATTCCTTTTCACCGAACGAGAGCGATGTCGCCGAGCCACCGATCGGGATCTCGACATGGTGAGGGTAAATCCGCGACGGCGGGCCAGTCATTGGAGGGCCACCGTCATCGGACCTCTGGTCATCGTAGAACCATCGCGCCGTTGGCTGGTCGGGCGGAGAGACCGTTGGCACCCCAAACGATGACGAGGGAGCACCCGGGTGACTGCTAGCCGAGGAAAAGGACGCTTGTCGAGTCGGAATCGCACGCGGGGACGACGACACGGAAGGATTTCGTCGCAATTGCTGGTACACTTGCTGCCTCTGGTCTACGTCGCTGGTATCGTCGTCGTCGTCGTCGTCGTCGTCGTCGTCCACCTCATCGACATCACGGCCACTGTTGGATTCCAAGTCCAGCAACTGGTTGAAGCGCGACTGAAGATCGTTGTCAAGAGCAAAGTCCAGCTCGACCTCCATGCCCTCGTCCTCGCCAGCGTCAATAATTGACATGGACATCGCATTTGGAAACATATCGTTGCCGTTAGCATCACCTGCTGCTTCCACGCCTGCCTCACTCGAAGGCATATGCGTCACGCTCCTGTCCTCCAAAAAGTCCATTCGGTGCGAAAATGATGATGCCGTCTCCTCGGTTTGGAGGTCGCTCAGCTCTACTTCATCTGGTCGGTTTTGCATGCCCCACCAATTCTTCGATGCAGCAGGGAACGCCCCCATGGGGAAATGGTTTGCGTCGAAGTCATCCTCTTCGTCTTCGTCCTCAACGTCGCTGCTGTTGTAGTTTGCATCCACCCGCGCCGGACTAACTGGTGCAATCGTGGTTTGAGCAGACGAAGGAACTGGTGCCTTCTCTTCAACAGGCTCAAACAAGGGGAAATCTTCGCCAGACGCTTCACTGAAGGCCGCGCCTTCTCCTTCGCCTGTGTCGCTCATGGTTCCATCCGGTGCAAGCCACCGTGCTGCTTGCTCGTTGTAAAGCACTGCTGCTTTCTCGGGAGAAGATCCCATTCGTAGGGACCCGGTCGGAGACTCTGCTGCACCAGATGAAAACCAGGGGTCTTGAGAAGCCACGGCTGCATGAGTTTGGTCGTGGTCTGTCGCGGGCTCCATCAGGAACGCTCCAGCAGATTCATCTGCCTCCCCATCAAAGGACCGCGTATCCGAGTAATAGTCTTCAATCACCAGCTCATTAATACGCACAGGTTTAGCAGATTTCCGCCGTTCTTCTTGCTGATACCGCCGTCGCAATTCCGACGCTGAGAGTTGGTCGTCGTGCTCAAGTCCATAGACAATGCGGTCCTTCTCCTTTTGAATCGAATCCAACCGCGTGCGCAGCAACCGGGCTTCCGTATCGGTGGCAACAGTTTTCCCGGGGAAAATCTTCTTCCCACCACCAAAAGCGTCCTCATCGATCTGTTCAAGGATGTTTATGAAACCTCGACCGGACCCCCCTCCAACGTCACTGTCGCCTATGGAAAGCCGCTCGCTTCGGACACTGCTCGTGCTAGAGAAATCACCTGCTCCTTGCACACTTGGCTGTTCAGAAGATGCTATACCAATAGATCGCATGGCACTGGCGGGAGCCGGGCTCAAATTCGTGACAACAGAAACACTGGATGGATCATTCACTCCATCCAACCCAACATACGCAGTGGTGTCGCGCGGTTCCTGTTCGATGGCAAGCTGGTCTGTCCACACCGACAACAACTCAATCAAGGTGTTGAAGGAATCAAAGCACGCATAAATGTTGGCCGTGCCCAGATTCAATTCCACTGACAGCTCTGGTGACGCTGACGAAGCTGACGCCTTTTCTTCGAGCTGGCCACGCGATGAAGATGCCACCTCAAGTGCTGACGGTGGCACCTGCACACGCAGGAAAACATCCACAAAATCCATCGTGACAATTTGCAGGAAGCCAAACTTCTCCAAGAACGTCAGCAGCGACGGATATTCCGCGTCGAGACTGCCACCGCCCCCTCGTCCAGCATACGTATCCGCAAATTGAAGCACCTTCTTTTTCGATGTATTGGAGTTGCCACGAAGGAAGAGCTCGTTGCCTAACAGAACCTCATCGATCTCTTCGTAGCCAGCGCGCGACTGCGTCAAAAAGAGCTCCAAGTCGCCCATCGAAATTTTGTATCCCTGCATGACGGCACCCGTGACCACATTCGAGGACACATTGACCTTGCCAAGCACGAGAATCACGCGTGATGTCAGCGTCAACGGCGCATAATCCACGAGCACGTCGTAGAAGTTGACAAATAGCTTTGTGAACACAGTCTTCGGTGCAGTAGCCAGCGGCACGGCATCGTAGTCGCCTCCACCCTTGATTCTGTTGAAAACCTGTGTACTTTCCTCATCGGACATGCCCGCCGAGTCGAGTGGGATAATCGGGACGGGATATTCCATCAGCACCATATCCAGCATTTGAAATAGCCATTTCGACCGAACGTCATACCGCAGACTGAGGTGCGAAAGATGGAGCTCCACTTTCATTTCGCGCATCTCGTTCGTCTGATCAGCAATATCAACACCCATGAAAAAGATCGGAGCGTTCGACACGCCGAAAGGTGTTCTGTAGATGATGGGCACAACAGCGTTAGTGCGACCATCTTCTTCCAGCAACGTCATGTTTTGGGCTAGCACGTGAACACGTGACACCAACTGCCCCATCCACTGAGAAACCTGGAAGATCTTCAGAGTCTGAAACGCGAAATGATACGTGAACAGAACTTTTTCCAACTCGGGCTGTTCTGGTGTCTTATCTTCGATTCCGTACACGTCAGCAACAGCCGCAGCCGTTGGAGCCGACGGCACTGCAGGCAACGAAACATAGTCGCAAATACGAACGGTACCTTCACCCAATGTGAGGTTCAAGCTCATGTAGCTGGGCATCAATCGTTTTCGAAGCGCAGCTGCAGCGAGCATCTGGTTGTAGCTGTCGACATCGATAGGATTGATCATCAAAAGCGCGTCAAAGAGCACCATCAATCGATCCAACGACGACTTAAATAAAACTGCGTTGGCACGGGGAAGACCAATTTCAACCGAATACAGCGAGGCCGCTGATGCCGCGCTCTCGTACGACTCGGTGCGCCCCAACGCATCCAGATTCCAGCCGTTCAACCCCACCCTACCACCATCATTGTCCTCACCACTAACATCGTCGGGTGAGCTCCCAACGGACGCCCCATCGGGGCTTTGGCTAGCATCTTGAGATAGATTCTGCTTGCTCGCAATAGCATTTTTCATCTCTTCCCGTGAAGGAGTTTGAAGGCGTAAACGAAGTGTGCACACCTCTGCAGAGCGCTCGTCACTGCATGCAGTAATGAGAACAGCCTTTTCCAAGCGCGAGTTTCGCTGGTTGCCATTTTCTGGAGTCAGCAGTGACACTTTTGCATTGTCGAACGAGGCATCAAATTCTGCGAACCACGGCAACGAGACCCCCTTCCTGTACTGAGGAGGCATTGGCGCGCCTGCTTCGGCAGCTTCGTCACCATCGCCATCGGGGCGCGGGGAATATGACACCACTTTCACGCCCTCTACAGTCAGCAAGAGTCTATCTTCACACAAACCCCGCTTCGACGACGGGCCGAAGCGAATCAGATCGCTGTTAACCATCGGAAACCGTAATGTCACCTGTACGCACTCCGTTGCCATGTCAAATGTTTTCCCAAACTCCTGAGCATCGGTCGCTGCAGCCGATTTCGATCCCGCCTTCGATTTTGCTGCTGGGTCTTCTTCCAACAGAGCTAAAAGGCGATGCGCCCTATCCAGCAAGTACATATCCCATTCGACGAGAACAGGTTGGACGTTCACTCGTACCCCAAGCGAAGAGATTGCTGCTGGGGTGCCGTCCTCCGGTTTAGGTTCGAAATCGATACGTAACTGAGCCGACAGATTTGCTGACAAACTCACTCTTCGGCCTGAAACGGGAGACGTGTCGGCAAATTTCAATACGCACGTAGACAGCATCGCTGCTTCGTCTTCCTCCGCGTCGAGCGACATTCGGGGTAACGTTTTCTCCGTAATCGTAAATTTCCCGATCGTGAACGCAAGCTGCGAGTACTGCGAATACGCCAAGCTTGAGAAAATTATGTCCTTGAACGAGAGCACCAACCGTTCAAGACCGTCTACCGACGGCAGAGGTTTCGTTGGTCTGACAGGGGCGCGGAGAAAACGGCTGTCTGTCATGGAAGCTTCGTCCTCCTGTTCACTCAACAATGAGTCCTCGTCCCCTTCTTCATCTTCTTCATCGTCAGGAAGGTCATCGTACAGAAGAACACACTCGCACTCCAGCAGATGCACTTTCACCCGGGACTGCACACGGCGCGCCGCTCGGTTTTGAGCTGCCGTTGTGGACCAGGACAACTGACTCCGCTTGTCCTCTGACTCATTCTCGTCGAAATCATACCGCGCCGACGCATACATCGATTGGCCCATCATACTTGAGCTCTCAAGCGATGCACCCGGCGCAATGGAGCTGGCCAGTCCCGTTTCACACTCGAAAAATCCGTCATCTTCGTCTTCCAAATCCGATAATCCAATGCTTTCAACACTCTCCGCGGCGGACAATTTCCGACCCTTGATAAATGGACTGTCTGTAGGCATCGTATCCGCTTCAATCGAGTTCTTCCGTCGTTGTGCCTTTTGCAGCTCGTCCTGCGTCTGCCGATACTGCAGCAGCAGCTGCTCAATGCGTTGAAACTCCCTAAACGACAAATTCAGTGCCCCACCGTCTTCATCAGCCTCGCCATCATCACTAGCATTCATCCACGCAGGCCGATCGTCGCAAATAGACTTGAACATCGCCGCCGACGTATAGCGGTCCTCGAAATAATGGGCGTTCAGCTTGGCCGGGTCTGCCGAGAACGCGTCAACGAGCGTCCCCAACTCCGGGAAATACTGTGGCTGCAACACGATCCGAATCGAGTGGAAGAACACATCTGCATCCATCGCGGGCGCCTCTAATGCGTCGTAATGGGATAATTTCACCTGAATGTAGCATTGCTTGTTCGGATCACTCGCCAGGAACGGGTGCAGCACCATGTCGCTGTATTCCGTGCGTCGCCGCTCCGTCCACCGGTCTTCTTCGCCCTTCTCCTCACTGCTCAAGTGCAAGTCCATGCTGATGCCCTTGAACTTGATACCCTTCTGCGAAATACCGAACAACGTACTCGCCGCCATGGACTGCATGCCTCCACCCATTGTCTGGGAGCCGTACATACCTGCCGGGTGGTCCAGACTACTTCGTCCGTAGACGCTCTGCACCTCGGGTGCCGATTCGTCCGTGAACTGCGCCCACTGCAGCTTGCACAGCAGCGCCACATCTCGCCCATTGTGCTGCTCGCCCGTCTCGAGCCTCAGACAGATATTGGACAGCGTAATCTTGATCTTGGACGTGACTTGCTCGATCCAACTGGCCACAAAGTCGAGTCCTTCCTGCGAGATCTCGTCCACGGGCTCGGGCGTCATGGGTTTCTTCTTCTGCTGCTCTTTGGTCTTGCTCTCCCCCTGTCCATCCTCCTCTGTTGTCGTCTCCCCAGTGTCAGCAGCTTCTGCCCCTGTGCAGCTGCTGTGCCTGGACTGCGCCGCCTCGTCCTGGTCCAGCGGCACGAGGATGACCTCGATGTCGTCGATCTCCACGAGGCAGCTCTCGCTCATGATGTTGGCGTACGAGATGGCCACGCGCACGGAGCCCAGGTAGCCCTTCTTGACCCTGAAGGGCAGCCCCTGCGCCTCGCACAGCTCCGCGTTCAGCACGTCGGCGTCCAGCAGCAGGTCGCAGAGCTCCAGGCGCCCCGAGCGCAGGTGCACGTCCAGCTGGTCCAGGTCCAGCTCGTCCGCCGCCAGGAAGCGCCCGATCATGCGCTTGAGCACGAACTTGTAAAGCCGCTTGAGCGCCGGGTCCGTCAGCTGCTTGAAGAACTGCATCGTTCTCCTCCTTCCTTCTTCTTCTTCTCCTTCTTCTTCTTCTCCTTCTTCTTCTTCTTCTTCTTCTTCTTGGTCTGTTCACCGCGGGAATAAAATATCAAATGCTGGGGTGGCTGGTTTTAGGGTACACGAAGCCTGGCTTCAAGGTCAGGATTAGGCCACGAAATAGCGCTAAAAGGGTCGGAAATAGACGCACGTGAGACCAAAGCGGAGGACACTGCGTGCAGCGAGCGCGCTCACCTGGTGGCAGTCGGAGTGGACGCCGCTGACTGGCCGGTCGGGCGCTGGCTGTGGAGAGCGAGGAGGATAGCTAGCTGCGCGCGCTGCGACTTGCCGTCTGCCGCCCCGCGGCCCGTTTCAGGTCTGATTGTTCTCTTTGAAGAAGAGTACGGAGGCGGGCGTTTTGACCAATGGGAGAAGCTTTATGTTGTTTTGGCCAATCGGGGAGGGACTCCGCCTGTACCCATCGCAGGGAACACTGAACCTTAGTCGCCGCAGTGAGGTGAGTGTAGGGCTCTCCATGGCAAATGTTGAAGTTGCCTTGCCCTATGGCACCTCCTCCTCGCTCCCCACAGCCAGCGGAGTTGAGTTGAGTAGAGCTTGCGCTGTGCTAGTGTTAGGGGAGAAGCCTTCCTCGGCTTTGAGTTTGAGTTGGTGCTCAAGGCAGCAAAATTATCAGATCGACTTCAACTTGGAGTGACGGTCTCTGCTAGAACCTGCAGCCAACGTTTTAGCAGAAACCCACGCTATCCCTCACGTCATGGCGTTTGCTCATGCATCACGCTTCAGCTTGAGCGGGGCTACTCGTATGCGGTCGTCGCAGCGAGTACCAACAGATAAATGAAGACGAGGGCCATGGAATTTCTTACGTCAACTGTGGTGTAATTGGTTCAAAACAACTCAACTGGATGAGGCAGCCTTGGGGCTGTCTCCTTCGACGCTTCCCCTCCTTACGAGCTGGCCTTGGTCTTGAGCCCGGAGCTGGCCAGGAACGTGTCCAGCGTGGCGTGCATCTCGTCGTGGAACGGCAGCGTCTTCATGCGCTTCATCCAGGCCGCGAACTTGGGGTACGGGGAGAAGTCGAAGATGCCCATGAGCTCGATCTGCACGAGCTCGCAGTAGGCCGCAAAGTCGGCGACCGTGGGGTGGTTCGACTCGGCCACGAAGTCCTTGACCAGGAACTTCTCCATGAGCTTCGCCAGCTTGGCGAGCAGCGCCGGGGTGTCCTTGACCATCACGGCCTCCTCGGGCGTGGCGACGTTCTGCTTGGTGTGCATGAGCGGCACCAGCACCTTGGACGTGACGTGGCGCGCGTTTGTGTGGTGCCAGTGCAGGTACTGGTTCACCTTGGCGTGCGCCTGCACGTCGGCCGGGTACAGGTCGGTCCAGTTGAACTTCTCGGCCAGGTAGACCAGGATGGCGTTGCCCTCGAAGATCGAGAAGTCCCCGTCCTGCAGCACGGGGATGAGCCCGTTCGGGTTGAGCGCCAGGAACTCGGGCGACGAGAACGTGGGGCTGCCGAAGTCCGTCGCCACGAGCTCGTGCTCCAGGTGCTTGAGGCGCATGACCCACTCGGCCGCGCGGCTCGGCTGGCTGATCAGGTTCGCGTACAGCTTGATGGTCATCCTCACAGAAGAAGTCGCTTGGAGCTTGAGGCCTTGAGGCGCCGATCGGGGAATGGATGATCTTTCTCCGACGAAGGATCGCTCCCACGTTGAAGCCGAGGTGGCTATATTTTCCGTCTAAGTACGAATATCTATGGCATCCACCACCCTCGCCGGCCCCACCTTGAGCTCCTCTTGCGCCGCCGCTGTAGTCGCAGTCGCTTGGTTATGACGCAGCCCGCTGTGCTCACGCAGCAGCACTCGAACGCGTTCTGGTCGGAGCCGCAGAAGGTGCCGCGTCTGGCGGTGCTGCTGCTGAACGCGGCGCACGACTCGTGGCGCGTCACCGCCGGCGGCGTGGGGCTGCACAGCTCGGAGCTCTTCTGGAACCTCTGGAGCCACGCGCAGCTCACGGTGTGCGCGGACGGCGGCGCCAACCGCCTGTACGACCGCGGCGTGGCGCTCGAGGCGCAGCACCTCGTGGCGCCGCACTACATCAAGGGCGACCTGGACTCGCTGCGCGCCGACGTGCGCGAGTACTTCAGCGCCAAGGGGACGCAGGTGCTGCAGGACCCGGACCAGAACACCAACGACCTGGACAAGTGTCTGCAGCTCATCCACCAGCTGCAGGAGGCCGACGACTCGAGCGACCGGTTCTCCGTCATGATCTTCGGCGCCATGGGCGGCCGCTTCGACCAGGAGATGCAGAACGTCAACGCGCTCTTCCGGTGGAAGGACAAGTTCCAGCAGATGGTGATGCTCTCCAGCGAGACCACGGCCAGGCTGCTGGCGCCCAATGTGAGGCACGTGATCTCGCCCAACTTCCACTTCGAGACGCGGACGTGCGGACTGATCCCCGTGGCGGGGGCGTGCAAGGAGGTGACGACGACGGGGCTGAAGTGGAATCTGAGCCCCGGCATGGAGACGGGCTTTGGAGGGCTCATCAGCAGCTCGAACCACGTGGACGACGCTAGCGAGCAGGTAGAGGTCATCGCATCGCACCCGCTCATTTGGACCACGGAGCTGAAGCAGTAAACTCCTTGCTGTTGCCTGTGCATACTCTCGGGTGACGCAGCTCAGTCCGGCAACGTGAAAAAAAATGACACCATAGCCAAGGATGGAAGCGCACTGCTCGAATATAGGCTACCTATAGTATAATGATTTCACGTGGATCCGAGGCACGTGTTGTTCCTCGAGGCGGGAAACCAGCATTCCGACTTCGTTCAGAGGTGGATGGTTGCAGCTTGCTTTGGTCTAATTGCCTCGTTGGTCGAGCAAGGCGCTGCATTCCGCCGTTACTTCCGTTTGAGCAGCAAAGATATGATGTTAGCGTACGTGCGCATGGTTGGGCGTTTTGCATCGGTACCCGCCACCCACCGACGACGTCTCGCTGGGGCTGAGATGACTTTCCAGACTCCTCGCGTCACCTTGAGCTACTCGGCCGTCAGGGCATGACAGCCAGCTCATTCTCCAATTTGCAGCTTCCAGCAACACCAAGGCTATTGTCTCCGGGCCATTGAGACGTGAAACCCTTACTTTCTGGACGCTCTCAACGAGCTGAATACAACAAGGAGAAGCAACGCGTCCATGGTTCACATCCTGCAAGCTCCGCACAACCCAGCAGCTTCTTGCGTGGAAGATGCCCCAGGGAGGGCATTTCCGCAGATGGAGGTCCGCTTTGACGACGTGTCCATTTCAATTGATATCGTGGTCAAGGACGAGGCCAACACCAAAGCGGAACTCCCCACACTCCCCAACGAAGTCGCCAAAGCAATCCGAGGCTTGGGCGCCACGAAGCACACGATCAAGAAAAGCATCCTCAAGAACGCCAGCGGTATCTTCAAACCGGGTACGATCACGTTGGTGCTTGGTCAGCCTGGATCGGGCAAGTCGTCCCTCTTGAAGCTGCTCAGTGGTAGGTTCCCGGTCGAGAAGAACGTGACTATGGAGGGCGATGTGACGTACAATGGAGCACCAGCCAACGAGTTGCAAGAGCGACTGCCGCAGTTTGTGTAGCACGGGCCTGGACAGTGCCGCCACTTTCGACATCATCTCGACACAGCGCAGAATCGCCAAGGGCTTTTCCAAGACGGTGGTGATTTCTCTGCTGCAGCCTTCGCCTGAGGTGTTCGCGCTGTTTGACGATGTGGTGATTCTGAACGAAGGCCACATAGTTTACCATGGCCCACGCCAGGAAGCATTGGGGTACTTCGAGAGCTTGGGCTTCAAGTGCCCCCCATCCCGAGATGTCGCTGATTTCCTGCTCGATCTCGGCACCGACAAGCAGGCGCAGTACGAAGCAAATTTGATTCCATCCAGCAACGTCCCTCGTACGGGCAGCGAGTACGCCGATGCCTTCACGCGCTCAGCCATCTATGAGCGTATAATTGGGGAGCTCCGCAGCCCCGTCCACCCGAGCGCGCAACACATTGACCACGTCCCCGAATTCCACCAAACCTCTGGAGCAGCACTATCGCCGTCGTACAGCGGTAGATCAAGCTCACCCGACGCGATACTGCCTTCCTCGTCGGCCGCTCCATCATGGTGATCTTGATGGCGCTGTTGTACTCGAGTTTGTTCTACCAGCTTGAGGCTACAAACGCTCAACTGGTTATGGGCGTCCTCTTCAACACGGTATTGTTCACGTCGGTTGGTCAGCTCACTCAGATCCCGGTGTTCATGGCTGCTCGAGAGGTATTCTACAAGCAGCGTCGGGCCAACTTCTTCCGGACCACGTCGTTCGTGCTGTCCAACTCAGTCAGTCAGCTTCCGTTGGCTATCGCTGAGACTCTCGTGTTCGGCTCGATCGTGTACTGGATGTGCGGCTGTGCATCGACTCCGGAGATTTTCGTGCTGTTTGAGCTGGTGATCTTCTTGGCAAACTTGACCTTCGCGGCGTGGTTCTTCTTCCTCTCGTGCGCTTCGCCCGACTTGAACGTGGCGAACCCGATCTCGCTCGTCTCCATCCTCTTGTTTATCGTGTTCGGCGGCTTTGTCATCACGAAGATCCCGGTCTACCTGCTATGGCTGTACTGGCTTAACCCCATGTCGTGGAGCGTTCGCGCGCTCGCGGTCAATCAATACACCACTGCAAGCTTCGATACCTGCGTCTTCGACGGTGTTGACTACTGCATGAGCTACGGCATGACCATGGGCGAGTACTCGCTAACCACGTTCGAGATACCAACGGAGAAGTTCTGGTTGTGGTACGGCATCGCTTTCAGGATAGCTGCGTACTTCTGCTTCATGGTGCTTTCGTACATCGCACTGGAGTATCACCGCTTCGAGAGCCCCGTGAACGTAATGGTCACAGTAGATAAATCTACTGAGCCCACCGATGACTATGGCCTTATCCATACCCCACGCAGCGCGCCGGGTAAAGATGATATCCTGCTGGCCGTCGGCCCCGACAGGGAACAGCTCTTCATCCCCGTCACCGTAGCGCTCAAGGATCTCTGGTACTCGGTTCCAGACCCAATTAACCCCAAAGACACCATCGACTTGCTCAAAAACGTCAGTGGCTACGCGTTGCCTGGGACTATTACGGCGCTCATGGGCTCGTCGGGAGCAGGGAAGACTACACTGATGGACGTTATAGCTGGACGCAAGACGGGAGGCAAAATTCGAGGTCAGATCCTGCTAAATGGCCATCCGGCGACCGCCTTGGCCATTCAACGAGCCACAGGCTACTGCGAGCAAATGGACATCCACTCCGAGTCGGCGACAATTCGCGAAGCCCTGACTTTTAGTGCGTTCTTGCGCCAGGGTGTCAATGTACCGAGCAGCTACAAGCACGACTCAGTGAACGAATGTCTGGACCTGTTGAACCTGCACGCGATCACCGACCAGATCATCCGCGGTAGCTCCGTCGAGCAGATGAAGCGGCTCACAATTGGCGTTGAGCTAGCAGCGCAGCCCAGCGTTTTGTTCCTGGATGAACCCACAAGCGGACTGAACGCAAGCTCCGCTAAGCTCATTATGGACGGCGTACGCAAAGTGGCGGACACTGGGCGCACCGTGGTGTGCACGATCCACCAGCCCTCGCCCGAGGTCTTCAGCGTATTCGACAGCTTGCTACTGCTGAAGCGCGGGGGTGAGACGGTCTTCGCGGGCGACCTGGGCAACAATGCGAGCGAAATGATCGCGTACTTCGAGTCGATTGACGGTGTGGCCAAGCTCAAGGACAACTACAATCCAGCCACGTGGATGCTGGAGGTCATCGGAGCTGGAGTCGGCAACAGCAACGGTGACACGACAGACTTTGTGAGGATCTTCCAGACTAGCAGGCACTTCGAGCTGCTGCAGTTGAATCTCGACCGTGAGGGAGTATCATATCCATCGCCGTTAATGCCTCCGCTGGAATATGGCGACAAACGCGCTGCGACGGAGTTGACTCAGGCGAAGTTCCTGCTGCATCGATTTTTCAACATGTACTGGCGCACGGCGTCGTACAACCTGACGCGATTCTGCCTCATGTTGATGCTAGGATTGATCTTCGGGGTCACGTACATTAGCGCGGAGTACAGCTCGTACGCGGGGATCAATTCGGGCATGGGGATGCTGTTCTGCACGACGGGCTTCATTGGTTTCGTGGGGTTCATAAGCGTTGTCCCAATATCTTCCACTGATCGATTGGCGTTCTACCGTGAGCGCTCATCGCAGTGCTATAATGCGCTCTGGTACTTCGTCGGCTCCACCGTCGTCGAGATCCCGTACGTCTTCTTCGGCACGCTGCTGTTCATGGTGCCGTTCTACCCGATGGTCGGGTTCACGGGCGCCGCGAGCTTCTTCGCGTACTGGTTCCACCTGTCGCTGCATGTGCTCTGGCAGGCCTACTTCGGCCAGCTCATGTCGTACTTGATGCCGTCCGTGGAGGTGGCGCAGGTGAGCTGCAGATGATCTTCCTGACCTTCAACGGCTTCAACCCGCCCGGAGGCTCGATCCCGCAGGGCTACGCGTGGCTGTACCGCATCACACCGCACAGATACGCGCTTGGGATCGCGGCGTCCATCGTGTTCGGAGACTGTCCGAGCGATGGCGATGGCTCCAGCATTGGCTGCCAGACTCTGACGGGGCTGCCCCCTTCGCTGCCCGACAACATGACGGTGCAAGAGTACCTGGAGGTCGTCTTCAACGTGAAGCACAGCGAGATCTGGGAGGACTTCGGCTTCACTATGGGCTTCATTGCGCTCTACCGACTACTGGGACTTCTCGCTCTGCGCTACGTCAACCACCAGAAGAGGTAGCCATAGCGGCTGGACGATCGCTGTGCTGTAGACGAAATAGCTAGTCAGACGTTGCACTTGGATACACTATTGCATACAAATCCCAAGTCGATCTATTTTTGACGACTCATCCGACTGTTTGTCCATTGCTGTTCTTCTGACACTTGGGCAGCACCATGTCGTTCTTAGAGCACGAGTGCAGTGTGTCGCTCGCGGCGGCGCTGGCCTTCCTGGACGAGTCTCTGGACGCCGCCGACGGGCCCCAGCTGACGCCTCGCACTCTTGGCTCCTCTGCGGCCGTGCTGCCGTCCCCTCGAGCCTCGATCCCCGACCCGGAGCTGCTCTTGGAGGCGCTGGACGAGGACGACGAGACCATTGTGCCTCTATCCCAAATTGCTCCAACAGACGCAACACTACCACAACTACAGTTAGAGAGCAGCACTTTACCCGTCCAAAAGACCACCACGATCGTGCCGGCGGCTTCCAGCTCCAGCTCCAAGTCCAAGTCCAAGAAGCAGCCCAAGACGTCCCGTGCCACGAAGAAGAAGAAGCTCAACTATGACCCGAACAAGGCGCGCAACGAGCGGCGCTTCGAGCTCGCGTGTCTGAGGAAGGAGGTGAAGGACCTGGAGCTGACGCTCGAACAGTTGCAGAGCATGCAGGGCAACGAAGAAGGCTCCAAAAGTGTAAAGCGGCCACGACAGCTAGTGCCGCGCACCTCCGGGGGCAGCGGCATGTCGGCCGTGTGGGAGCAGATCTGTGCCCACCAGTTGGAGCGGCGGCTGAGGGTCGAGAGGGAGAATATCCACCTCAAAATGATGTACAAGAGTCAGGTTCAAGTGGCCAAGAGCATCGAGAAGCTGCTGCAGAAGAGGCTGGCGCTGCAAGAGTCGACGTACTCGGAGGTGAGCAAGCACACGAGTCGCATCGAGGTGCCGCAGGGCTACAACACGGAGGAGAACCAGAAGATCTTCGAGGAGCTATCGACTGGGGTGGAGGCGTCGTACCGAGAGGTGGAGGCGGTGTTCGATGAGCATTACCCTGGGCGGACGCAACTCCCGACGAAGGAGCCGCTACTGCGTGACAGCGTCAACGGCAAGTACATGGAGCTGTTCGACAACAAGATCATGCCGTTCGATATGAGGTCGACCGGTGACGCGTGGTGGAGGCGGTGGCATAACTACAAGGGCCACTGCGCACACGAGAATGGACCTAACAACACCATTGTGGAGAAGTTTGGACTGGAGATGAAGGACGTCAAGACACGCACGACTGCCACATTCTACGTGCAGCAGATTCTGAAGCGGCATGTGGAGGAACGACGCATTGTCATCGTGTGGCACGCGCACATCAAGCCGCTCGAGTTCGAGAAGAAGCCGGCCAACGGCGTCCACTATCTGGAGAAGGGGTACGTGCTGATTAAGCCCCATATCACGGAGACCCCAATGGAGCAGGATGAGGCTGCAACGCGTGTTATGACCTGCTACATCATCACACCGCACTTGTCGAACCGGAAGCTACGGACAGACGCTAGAACCACTGCGCTGACCGATTTCGTGCTCAGCGCGACGTCTGCGAATATTTCCATGAGCAACGAGATGATCGAGAATCTGCTGGTCGACCGAGCAATGAAACGGGCGAAGGCGAGAGAACAATCATGACCTCACGAGTCACTTAGACGCCGGTATACATGTACATAGCTCTGGATTATGAGCGCCAAGAAGACAAAACGTTTCTGTGATGGCCAAATACGTGAATTTCACGATATCGACTTCTCCTTACGTCATTCAATCCTAGCTCTGAAGCATCTTGCAAAGACGGCGGACCACGCGCTCAGCATCTTGATCGCGGGTCTTCTTGGCAATGGTGTCACTAGTGTGGTAAATTCCGTCCGGTGTCCGCTTGAAAAACAACCAAGTGGAGAAGTCTGAAGCAATCCCGAATACGTGACGGGCATATGCCGGGTTGTTCGTGAAGGTAATGTCGAGCATAAGGAGAGCCTGAGCCTTTCCCTGACGCAGGAGATTTTCCTCTTTCTTGACCTCGACGACCATCAAGGTGGAGTCACCTCGAGCTACCAGGTAGTCTGCTCTGCCTCGGACGGCAACATTCATCGACCCCAAGTGCGCCTCCGCTTTCAGGGTCAGGTCTGCTTCTTGACACGACAACAAGGTGCAGCGTAGTACTTCTTTGACGGACTTGCTTACACGTGCCTCGGCCAACTCCGACGAGAAAATATCCCCTAGTCCCGCGTCAAGAGCGTCAAGTGCATCAAGCATACGTCGGACGTGTACGCGACCAACCTCTGCCAAATGGAACTGGGACGAGTCCTCGATGAGCAACGGCTGGTATACCGCCTTGATCGCGTTCCATGACACCTTGCTGCACATGGAAAATAATTAATACCTGTTGTTCCAGCACTGTCGAGCTGTTGGTACCGGACAGCTCCTACTGACCTGTCAAGGACCCTGGTCTGCTGTTGTTTCCAACAAATACTACGTAGTATTTTAGATTAAACGCCAGTTGCGGGCTTAAGCTGCGATTCGCTTCGATAATTCAAAACCGCTTCATCCAAAGCACGTACATCGGCTACTCCCATAGCTAGTAACTTGCAAATGGACTGCTCTTTGCTATTGAGGATCCGTAGGATACAGAAGTAAAACAATAGCGCTGTACTTAAGTAAATTCATGTAGCAGAAGGTAGTGAGCGATTGCAAGGGCACGTAGCCGAAGAAACCCCTACTGTACTCGCAAATTAGGGCCGCCCGGAATTTCCAGAGGCGGAAACCATTGCCGAGCATTCCTGCGAATGGGCCTGCCCCCACAACTCGGAGTAAGATTTATTGCTGGGGTCTGTAATCCACAGTCCACACACATCTCAGGAGAAATCCATGAAGAAAGTAGCAGGTTAAACAGAAAGCAACAGCAGAACAGGGCTCATGACAGGTGAACAGGGGCTGTAGGAGGGCAACAGCCGAATAGTGCTAAAGTAACAGCTCATAAATATCACCCGCTGCACATCGATTTCGCCAATAGAGCCTCGTTCAGCTTGTCAAGATGTTCCTGCCATGCTGCCTCGCCCCACTGGACCTTACGCGTGGAGCTGAATGGACTGGTCTGGAACGGCGAGTTGGAGATGCTTGGTTTGACGAGAGCACCACGAGGCGGCACGATTGATGCCGTGTCGAACGCTGGGAAGCGGGTAGAGCAGTTTAAGCCTTGGAATCTGGTGACCTTTGTCGCGATAGCTCTTCCGCATCGGAGCAACGCCATGGCACTCGTAGTATCACCAGAGTTAGATTGCTGTCGGTAGAGCGAAATGAAGTGTACATGCTTCAAGCGAGCAGCATTAAGCGCTGATGCTGCTGATGTGCTCGGATCATCAAGAACAGGTTGGCTTGCTTCCGGTATATCATAGACGCAGTTTGTTGGCGACGGCACAATCTTCTGTTTCTAGTGACAAGCCCCACCTGATCACATTGTGACTGTCACAATAGCGTCGTCACGCTATGGGTATGGTAGCACTTGAGCAGAGGGTAGTAGTAGCTGAAGCACTCGGGCAAGATGCCGTCGACGTTGCAGTCAGCACTAGTTGTTCTTGAACAGGTAAATTGAGATCTGATTGAATTAGACGTGTTTCCCTAACTAGTTTTCTTCTAGCTAGCCTACACAACTCACTCAGTAACTCTTCGTACAAACATGCAATGTTAACATGCAGGATGGCATCCTCAACTTGCACTTGAACGTCAACTCACAAAGCCGAAAGTAGATCACAGCTGACGAACTCTACCCGCTACTAATTGCCGTGTTCAACTTGATAGCCTTCGCGTTCAAGCTAGGATGAGTAGGATCTGCTAGCAGTCCTTGATGATACCATGACAGTGACCCGACCCGACGCAAGCAGGCTACTGTAATACAGTGACACCTCCCTAAATGAACCCCTCTAACTGACTATGTGTTCCCTATCTGGTTAGGATTCCTCGACTGCAAACGGGATTATATGGATTTCACTATAGGTGTTCTATAACTGATCAAAAACCTCTTTATTCTCTAAATGGTCGCCATTGTTGGCGCCTCAACCCTCTAAATGGACGCCGTAGTAATAGATCCAAACTGATATATTTTTCTCAATCACTTGCCTGCCTCTCCCACGTATGCCATTGCTACCACTACTCCCGCCACAACAAATCGAGCGAAGAGAGAAATAGTATTTGGGATGCTAAGTTGGAACAAAGAGTTTGCAGTAACTGCAAGCCTTGTAAATACTGATAAATAAGCTAGCCACAGTATTTTACAATCAGCGCAGCGTACACAAATATTTTACGAAAAACTAAAATATTATGATGTCGAGACAACTAGGGCTATGCAGTAGATACCAAGCAAAAGATAAAACTGCAGGCATGGTGGCAGGATATCGGGACAACAAATATTCCCATAACCTCACTGTATTGAAACTCACGTACAACCTGAGGGGATGCGATTCTGCTAATACCAATGAGAAGAAGGAGTAGGAACAGACAATACCGCGCCTACCGTTATTGGTTAAGTTCTGTCTGTGTGAAGACGAAACAAAACAAGAGTACGAAAATGCTGGAGGGGTACCAGGTAAAGAAAGCCCTTGTACTGTGCACCTAACATATGAAAATGTAGCGATTAGAAGTGTAGCCATTTCTTTATCTGATCAATTCTTTAACTGAAACAGCGTATTAGACCGAGCGAACTGGGTGTCATTTATAGAGGTGTGACTGTAGCACATTCACAACATTCCAGCACAAAATGCCAATTGGTTGAAAACGTTGCGACTGACTGGCCAATGAAAACTATCTGATGGCTCTTCTTAAGTACGATACAATAACTTGTGTTCAGTATGCAACCGATTGACATTTTCTTCGTTCTCATTGGCTGACGCCTTTACAGATAATGACTGGAGCGGGCGAACCGACTCGCTGTTGAGCTCCCCGTTCACCATTTCCGCTTTGGCGGCGATTCCGACAAGAACCTTAAGACAGCTACAAGAGCCTTGTGCGCTTGCGTGTGTGTGTACCGATCGACCGGGAATGCAATGATGATCCAACCTTTTATTTTCAGACTAGAGTTTCTGAATCCGGGGGGTAGTAGCCCTGGTTGTTGAGAATTTTACTCCGAGCATTCCCATCCACATCCTAGAGTAGGCAGTTGATGCACGTTCGAGCAGGAGGAGAAGGAGTGATGATTCCCTTTCAATTAACCATCTTTCGGGGCTGATATATCCAAGTAATTGATGCATAACCAAGGAATACTGACCTTTCCACCTCCAACACTATTATTGCGTCCATTACATCAAACTCGGAACGGTAGGAGATTGCCATTGAGATTTTAGGTCTTGCTTCCTCTGGAGCTGTGACCTGGCAAAAGTACTGCTAGACAATGCAGTCGCACGGTGTGGTGTCTTTGATGACCTCGTCTTACTGTGCCGACTGCAGACGTCGTTAATGTACACGTGCGTCTTGTGGCGTCCAGACGCTCAGCACGGCAGATCCACGGCCTTCTGCACGTTGACGCGGTCGAGGCGGCAGCAGCCGAGCACCCGCTCGGGCAGCTCCTCCTCGGTCTCGCCCTGGATCACGAAGGCCACGTCGATCACGAGCTTGGACGTCTTGTCGATGAGCGAGTGGATGCCGCGCCGAGCGATGTACGAGAACGCGTGCACGTCCACGACGATCTCGGTGCTGCCGTCGCGGAAGTGGTAGATGCGGTGCTGCGGCCGCGTCAGCACGGGCGTCGCGTTGTGGCTCACCAGCAGCTTCTTGGCCACGCCCGTGATGCCGCACTCGTCCTGGTTCGTCACCTGCGCGATGACCTTGAAGCGATCCGTCAGCGACGTGTCGTCACCGGCCTCTAAGAACCGCTTGAACAGCTTGAGCGTTGTCGTTGTGGGGTTCTTCAACTCCTGTATACAATGGACTAGTTAGTCTCTCGTGGTCAACGGAGGACTCAGCTTGACGTCAAACTAACCTCGGAGATTTCGTCTGGGATCTTCCAGTAGAGAGCCAAGCTGTAGCCTGGACCGTCGTAGGAGCCATCGCCCCACATGCTCGGCCCGTATGACGGGAGCTGCAGCAGCGAGAGAGATACAACAACATTCACATGAGAACCATAGTTCCCTCGCTCCATCGTGGCAAGTGAAGACTGTACTCTACCTGAGCGTTGATGATGAAGAGTCGACTGTTCTCGTGTTCGGGCGGAAACTCGACGCGCTGGGAGATCAGGTCCAACTTGCTGTCGGTTCGAACCAAGTCAGCTCCAAGAAACTCGAACAGCGCAGCGCTAGAGGGCTGCGGACAGGCCAGCAAACACGAGAAGTTAGCAACCGTACAAGCGCAGTCATACACAAAAAGCTTCGAGTCCGTACCTCTTTCTTTCGAGACCTCTTGTACTCAGCGCTTCGAACTGAAAATGTTTCAGCTCGGGTTGTCGTCCACGAGTGCTCCACGTTGCTAGACCGTCCGCTTGTTTGCATCTCACACTGCGTCATGGTGCTGCCCATAGGGAGCTTCGCGAGCCGTCGACTGCCAGCGGCGCTGGGTCGTCGGCGAGGCGCATCACTCGATCCTTCCACACGCTTGTTGTCGTCGCAGTCTCCTCGATCCAGGACCGTCGGGCTTGAAATCTTGTGCAAGCAGCATCTCTCTGGATCGCTGCACTGCGCGATGTCGGTACCCAGCAGAGCATTATCGATACCCCCGTTCACGTCCGAGTAGGCTCCAAAACTTGCTTGACGCGGACGATGTACCAGTGACCTTGGGTTGTACACGCTAAACACAAACATACACGTCACGGCGATGCAGACGGCCACCTTCCACAGCACGTGCTCGCTGGCGAGACATCGAATGGCCACAATGTTGAGCATGAAGCCAACAATGAGGCACTGCTTGGTCCCATCCACGTGAACGTGGAGGTGCCAGCACGAATCGGTCGGCATTCCGCTGTCAGGCCCCAACGAGAACTGCGTCACGATGCGAGGCGGAATCTTGCGCTTCGGATGCGGCTGTGATGCCGCAGCGTTCGACCCCTCGTTGGTCTCTCCATCGCCAGCGTTGCCATGGTGAGCTGGAGAAACCCGTCCGAGCGTTGGGGGTGGCGACTCGTGTCCACTATCAGCCGCTGCTTCGTTAGCAGCCTCTGCTTCTCGTTCCTTCGCTGCTTGCTCCTCCTCCATTTGCTTCTGAAGCAGACGCTGCCGGTAGAGCTGCTGATGCGAGAGTACCGGCGCGCCGCTGTTCGCCTTCCCATTCTGCGAGTCCTTCCTGTTGATCGCCTCCGCTATCGCAGACGTCCACAGATCAAAGTCCGTCTCCGTGTCCGCGCACAACTGCAGTAGATGGCAAAGAAGCATGCCACAAGTGATTCTTGTCAGACTCGCACACCCACAACTACATGCAGAGAATTCCACCATGATCGCACCTTGTATTGAACGCCGCGCTTCGAGTCGATGTCGTGCAGCGACAACGTCGAGACCTGAAAGAAGTAGCGCGTAGGTGCATTCCTCGCCAGCGTCTTCTCAAACAGCAGCGACACGTTGTCCATGTTGAGGTCCAGCGCGCCGCGATACCAGGGATGAGACTCGTTCAGGTACAGCAGAGTTTGTTGCGGGTCGTGATCTTGGTCCTGCTGTTTACCAGGGATGACCGGCTCCTCGATAGTTGTTGCGCTACGGATAGCCGACTCCGCTTCCTTTGCTTCAACGGCTGGTGCTCCAGTGCTCTCACTGCCTCTGGTATCGTTTTCACCTGTGGTGCTGCCTGGAGGTGATGGCACTGAAGCCTGCGAGCCAAATGACTGCCTCTGCGTCTCAGTAGCTTGGCCGCCGGAAGCCGCAGCTGTGCCTTTCCCGGCCGGGACAGGAGAGTCCGCCATGTGAACGATATTGCCATGAGACGCTGATGAAGTTGGCATGTGGTTGGCCGGGTTGTGCCGGTAGTACGAGAGCACGCCGCGCTGGCGGTCAAGCACGAACCACCTTCGGTGCCACGATCGCTTCTTGCCCCACTTGCTGTCGCTGATCTTGTGCAGGTAGCCGCAGACATACTTCTTCGTACTCTGAGACTCCGACGAGAACGAGTAACCCGCAGACAGGAGCTCGACTGCTGCTGGGTCATCGTTGGGGTGGTCGCCAATGTGATGCTGGTTGTAGCCCTGTGACTTGCCGACGTGAAGAATGCTGCGGCCAACGTTTCCAACTCTTGAAATGCCACCGCCCACTGCTTTGCCCATGTATCTCCCCATCTTCTGGACGCCGCGTGCACGTGATGCCCCCGACCGCCCTTGACCTCGCCGAGTAGAAGCTGCCGGGTCGTCAGGCGGGTAGAATGGGTCCCGAGCAGATACGGGCAACGGTGCTCCATCAACACGTTGGCTGCTGACGCTGATATCACTCGAGCGCTCGCCGGACTCGTCCTGAACCACTGCGCCTGCCTCCTTTAAGATGCTCGTCAGTTCGTCGTGGCCGTTCAATGACGCGGAGCTATCGCGAAATGAGCTTTGAGACATCTCCATCTCCGTGATTTGGTCGGAGTCGTACAGCCCGTCCGAGTCCTCGTCGCCGCTGTCTTCGCCGCCAATGAAGTCAAACGAGCGGAATGGATTCCTGTTGGGGTCGTTCCTGCAAGACGGACTGTTGTTCAAAGGGTCTCTGCAAGCAGCGCATCTCAAACGTTAGTAGAAAACCTAACAGCGCACCAGCGAAAGCAGCACACAACGTACGAACTGGACAAAAATTCGTCACTCATGCGAACCGATCCAACGGGACTTCCAGGTAGTGGAGACGGAGGGAGATGAATAGCAAGAAACTATGGAAACGAAGCGATATCAAGCATTCCCACGGTTAGGTGAGCCGAGGCACAGCAGCTTAGAATCAATAATATAACACGCACCTCCATGACATCCGGATACTGGCGCACCCACGTGACGAATTGCGAGTTTGACAGCAGCCCCGCCATTGGGATCATGCACTCCTCAAACGCGGCGTAGAGCTGCTTGGGCAGCGACATGTACTCCTCCAGGTAGTTCAACAGGTACAGATAGTCCTTCTCCGCAATGAACCCCTCGCCATTGTTGCTGCCAAAATTACCCGCACCAACGTCAGTTCTCCACGATACCTACCCTGTCACACCTCAAGAACCCACTGCAACCAACGTACTTTTCCCCGGTGAAAATGATGTTGTACATGTTGAAGATGTAGCTGATCCGGTCCTCCGTATTGCCTCTGTGTCGTGCACAACCCAACAACAAACAAATAAATCAGCATCTTATCGCAGCCAGCGACCGCCATTCCTCCCCTCAACACGCCACTGCAACGACAGAGTAGCCACGTACTCGTAGAACAGCGCGAGGATGCACACGAAGGCCTCCTTGGAGATCGAGTCGCCCGGCACCTCCTCGAAGCACCGCATCGTCACATCTAGCACCAACCACAACACAAATACCCGCATTAACCACCAATGATCCGCCTTCCCTTGCTCCTCTAATAGCTTTGACTGATTCTCACCCCCAAAGAGCCCTCGCAGCAGCTTGGACGTCAGCAGCCCCTCCTTCTTGGCGACGTAGCGCTGCTCCTCGTCCTCCACGGCGTCGCCCTGCACGCACGCAATAGCTTAAGTCAACACTCGACCCCATACAACCCCGGACCACCCCATTGCAGCGCTGTGTCGGACCTTGAACGTGAGCCACGCGACTGTGAACTCGGAGGCGTCGACTGCGCCGGCGGATACGCAGGTGGAAGTCAATGCACAGAGTTAGTTGACGCAATCTTCTTGCGCGAGAGGGAGATCCCTCCACGCGCAGAGCTGCAGGCGCAGAGAGAACGCTCCTAGGGGCACGTACACGGCCGGTAGAGCCTGCGCTGCGTGGAGGCCGACGCGCCCATGACGCCGACTGTTACAAACTGGGCTGAAGTGGGCTCAAATACGTTGCGCGGTTGTGTTCGGTACACAAAATGGTCTTGGAATCCCGTACAAGTATCCACTATACTTCAGCAACATTTAATTCCATTAAGTACGATCGCGTTAAGTAAACATATCATGTCTTGACGTCGCGGCGGCACTATTTACAGCGCGACGCGGGGCAGCGAGCGGGTGTGGCCACGTACTTGAGGCTGGACACCGGCGGACAGCAATGCGCTTCGTTCAATCGCGCGGCGCAGCTTCAGGCTGCAGCGCGCGAGCAGCAGCTTCGCCAGCGGCGGACGGTTCATCGCGTCAACTTTGTCGAGGAGCCGCTCGTTGAAGCGGCTGCGGGCGTCCAGCAGATGCCGAGGCACGGAGAAATCGAGCAGCGCGATTTCCAGCTGCTGCTGCTGCTGCGGCCTGCGCCAGACGACAACGATGGTCAGAAGAGAGAGAAAGAGAGAGATCGAGATGGAGCGGAACACGCAGCTGAACGTTATTACGTACATGCACACGAGCGCTGCGGTCTGCAGCACCACGAGCGGACACAGGGCGAGGCAGTTCTCCTGCTCGCCCCACCCGTCGTCGGTGTCGGTGGCGTGCGAGTCCTTGCCCGCCAGGACGTCGTACACGCACGGGTAGCACAGCAGGATGCCGGCCAATGCGGTCGCGTTGAGACTTGATGGCCGCCTCCACTCTAGTACCAGCGCCTGGCCGGTGGTTGAGCGGAGCAGCTCTCTGCAGGCTGTGGCAGTCCATTCAGCGAACGCCAGCAGCCTTGAAGCTTCGGCCTCGGAGCTGTGTCTGTTGATGAGCTTGGGCTGCGCGAGACTGGCGCTCACGTCGACGTACAGCTGCTGCTGCAGCTCAGTCGCCAGCTCGACCATCTTCTCGGACACGAAGGCGTCGACGTTGACGAAGAAGACGTTCCCGTCCAGCAGCACGGCGCGCACTCGCTGCGCTGCAGTCCATCGGCACTGGGGCTCTTCTAGTAACCCGATCAGTAGGAGCTCCGCCAGCTCCTTGGTCAGCGCGCAGCAGTCCACCAGACACGACGCTCGCAGGCCGGACGCCACGAGCAGCAGGTCTCGAAGCAGCACGCGCACTTGAGCCACCGCCAGACGCAGCTTCGTCTTCTTCCTGCCACCACCACCACCAGCCCTCGCCAGTCGAGCGTGCAGGCGTTGCGCCAGAGCGCTGAGCTGCTCGTCCGTTGGCCACGAGGCGCTGCCAACGTCTTCAGCTGCTCCAGTAGCGGAGTGATAAAGCCACCACGAGGCCCTGGACAAGCTGCTCTGGTCCGCGGACGACACGAACGCGCGGATCTCGCGCTGGAAGCCCAGCAGCACGCCCAGCGCGCGCGAGTCCCCCGTCCAGCAGCTCATCGAGCGGAGACCACCGACAGGATAGTACCGTATACATCAAGGACGCGTGCGTGGCCGGCCCGTCTCTGTCTGAGGGATGTTGGTACATGTTGCAGTGGCACAATCATCAAAGGTCTCCACATCCTCCACGCCAGGCCCTGCGTTTCACTCGGCAATTCTCCTCGCCCCGAGCAGATACAGTGTGGATAAACACAGTGAAGATGGCGCCTCCGCCCGTGAGGACGGCGTCGAACGGCAACGTGCGCGTGCAGCTGCGCGGCTTTGAGCGCGTGTACACCGCGGTGGACAACTCGTCCACCAAGGTGGCCCACGTGATGGTGGTCAAGGGCCCAGTGGCCACGCTGGTGCAGCACCTCCCCACGGCGCTCGTGTACACGTACAACCTGCATCCGCGGATGCGCGCGCTGCAGGTGAAGGACGCGTTCCACGAGGCGGAGATCCAGCCGCCGATCACCGTGGACGACGTCGCTGCTCGCCGCCTGCTGCGAGTTCGGGCCACGAGCGCTGCCGAGGAGGAGACCGCGATGTGGAAGCGCCACGTGCAGGAAGAGTGCGAGCGGGTCGTGGACCGGTACGAGGACTTTGCGTCGTTCCTCGAGGTGTGGGTGGACGAGGACAACAGCCTGGCCAGACTCTTCCTCTTCTCGGACCACTACATGTGCGACGGCACTTCGGGCATGACGATATTCCATGACACGTTGAAGCACGCGGCGCTGCTGGCCAGCCAAGCGGAGATCGAGTCGACGCAGTACCCCGTTCGCGCGTCGCCCTACAATCTGTGGCTGGACAGCTACACGCTCTCGACGCCTCTCACCAAGATGACGGTCAAGCTGCTCGCTCCTGTGATCAAGAGCGTGCTCACGTCGCACACCAAGCCGCTGCTGCCTGCACGCGCGGACCAGGCGGATCTGGTCTACCCCTTCAAGAACAACCCGAGCTACGCGCTGTTCGAGTCGGGCTCCCCCGAGACTGTGAAGAAGGTGCTGGCACGCTGCAAGCAGGAAGGAGTCACGTACTCCGGAGCGGTCACTGCTGCGGTGATCTTGGCCTACTACCACGCCTCCCAGCCGCACCATCCCGTGGCGCTCACCGACAGCTTCAAGGTCACTCTCACTATGAGCACGAACCTGCGCACGCGGTTGCCGACTCCCGTGCCCGAGGACGTTGTCGGCAGCTTCGCGTCTCTAGTGCCTTTAGACAGCGCGAAAAGCCCCGGCACCGTCCTCTCCTCCGCGAAGTTCTGGGACGTTGCTCGCATCTGCAAGCAGGACATCAAGAACGGACTCAAATCTCCAGTGGCGGCCTTAACGGACATCTTCATGGACCAGAACTTCAACTCGGCGTCCGTGCCCACAGCGTTCTCCAAGCACGTGGTGAAGAGCTCGTGCACTGGAGACGTCAACATCTCCAACATCGGCCGCTACCCGTACCCGATGACGCACTCGCTGGGTGACGCCGGCGAACTCTCCGTCGAGTCGCTGTTCCTGTACGAATCTGTCCCCTTCTTCTCCATGGGTACGCTCATGTACGTCTCCACGGTCAAGAGCTTCAACTACGCCATGCTGCACAAGCACGAGGACAGCGACGCCGAGAGATTGTTCAAGGCGTATGTCGCCTTCGCTGAGCATATCGGGGAAGTAGACGCCGAGGCCACGATGGCCGATGTGCTGACCCAAGTGAAGCCAATTCTGCAGTAGCGACAGCGGCCAAACTACCGACAGAAAGCACCAGAACGAGTATTTTTTCACGTACAGATTGTTTGATAAATGCCTCAATACCATGGAGCAGCAATGATTCCAACGACAAAGCTACGTGTAGTCGTGCCCGGTGTAGCGCAGGCCAACGCGGTTTAAAACTTCCAGAAGTGTTTCGTCCTTGCCGATGTGGTCCATGCCTTCGCAGAGCTCGACGATTGCGACGAAAAGCGCCTCCCCCACTACATTCTCGCACTTGTGCGCCATGGAGTAATTGAACGAGTCGACGGCAGTGATGAAGAGCGTAGCAGACGACGCGAGGTGGGGAAGCGGGTGATACACGTGCAGACTTTCGACAGTGAGTACGCCGCAGTTGATGTCGTTGGCGTCTTGCGAAAGTCGGTGCTCCCGTCGATACGGATACCGCCCAACGTTTGAGATGTTGACATCTGAGGTGAGCGAATGCGGCACGGAGACGCCTTTGAGGAACGACTGCTTCATCCTCGAATGGATCTTCTTGTCCATGAGTACTACTGGTAACGCCATGGCCAACGTGTGCTTGGGCTTGTCATTGATCTCCTGCTTGGCTCGACGCGCGAGACCCCAGAACGTTGTGGTTTGCAGATTCACCCCTTCGTCAGCCAGCCAGTCGAGGCCTGTGACTGGTGTGTACATCCCCACTTGCTCCTCTTCGGCGGGGTTTGGTACGCGTTGGCGCATGTTGAATCCCATGTTTGCTGCCAGTTTGAAGCACTCTTGGGAAGGATTGCTCTTCCGCTCCTTCATGACGTGGTAGAACGCCAGCAGAATGACGCCAACCAGAGCTCCACCGACCGTGACGTTCTCCTCCCTGCATCTTGCCACGACTTTCTTCATACACTCCGGATCGCCCTCTGAGAACAACGCGGTGCTGCTGCTCGTCACCGGGGGAGCTCTGAAATGGTGCTGCCCCGCTCGCGCCGACAGCAGCGGCTTATAATCCCCCACACGATCCCGAAATGTCTGGCGACCAGAGACGCTCACCACGCTCTTCACGATCGGCTTGGCCCACGCGACTCTCGACAGCCACATCTTGTACAGCGAAGTGCGCAGTGGGAGCTCATGCACTTGATGCGGCGGTTGCTCCGGCTCAGGTTCGTTCTGAGGCGCCCCCGAGTGCTCGTTGGCAAACATTGCGACCTGCTCAAGGATGCAGTTCAGCACTACCATTCCAGAGTACCCGTCCGACATGTAGCTGTCCGAGAAGAGCATCAAGCGTGCGGCGCCCTCCCTCTCGTCCACCCACACAGTCAAGAAGAATGGTAGCTGATTGAACCGATCAAAGCCGATGCTGCACTCGTCGTCCGCGTAGTGCTGCCAGCCGCTCATCATGTCGTCGACGTCACTGGCAACGGAGGAGACCATACGAACGCGAACGAGCGCGAACGAAGTGACGTCGTGCCGAGTCAGCGGCGGGTGGATCTCGGCCATGAATTTGGCGCTCTTCAGCTGCAGCGCGCGCATCCGAGGGTGCATGTTGAAGGTGTTCATGACCGCCGTCGCCAAGTAGCGTAGCAAGACCGTCGTGGGGCCTCGAACTAGCATCGAGTGGACGATCTTCGTTGATACCCCGTCGACCATGGTGAGCGTGCGCTCGTAGCCGCGAAGCGAGACGCGTTCGCGGCCAGGTTTCATGCTGCCTTGCTGCGATGCCCGAGCAGCTTGGTGCCCTGCGACCGTATCGAAGAATGGGAGAACGGATGTGGCGACACGCACCAACACAAACTCGGTGGAGCAGCCTCCATACCAAGCAGGAGGAGTCCGACAATATCTAAATCGTTGGGTGTGCTTGGCGCATACGCTGGAAGAAATGCTGCGGCCGTCGTCGCGATCTGAATTCAACGCCAGAAGTACCGACATTGTTCGAAGGACAGGTGCTGCGCAGGAACATCAAGTGCAGGGTTGTCGATAAACTGTTCGACTCCCGACCTCCACACAGCACCCCGCGTGAGTAAACTACACCGAGTTGAGTGTCTACGACGACACACGGGGAGTGTTCACCAAAAAGCCGAGGAGTTTGTTTATTGATCGATCAAGGTTTGGACGTCTGACACTTTGTATGATACAAACGATAAATGGGATGTCACTCCAATTTGGCGTTCCTCCTGTGGAATCCCCAGCCATTGCGGTCGATATGTAAGCAATTCACTTCAAATTCCAATGTGAAACTGCGCATTCTGAAGACACCCCGATCAAAGAAACGGCGTCCAGCCTCACTATGGTCACCCTATAAAACCCTATAACTGCAAAAAGTATATAACTACCGCCCCCGCAAATGAATACAATTGTCTAACAAATGCAAACCGTATCCCCACGCCGAGACGCATCCAACGAGCCACTACACGCTGACTACCACCGCGTAGAAAGGCTCCACCCGATTCGCACCTCGGCACACCCACCAGCAGCCCACCACCACGCCCCCGCCGGCCGTAGCTACCGCAAATATGGCTTATTAGCCCCAAACTGTCAGTGGGTCAGCACGTACCTAGAGCAGCACAACCTAGTGTTGACGCCTCGGAGCCCGGCTTGCCATCGCCAGGGCCGGAAACCGCATTACGGGCGCTACGATCGCCAGCCGACAGGAGGGAGACATGGAGGCCTTTCCGAGGGTTTCCGCCGGTATGGTTCGTCTCGGTGGGTGTGTCAGGACGTAAGTAGAGCAGCTCAACCCGGCGTTGCCGCCTCCGAGCCCGTCTTGCTATCGCAAGGGCCGGAAACCGCATTACGGGCGCTACGGTCGCCAGCCGACAGGAGGGAGACATGGAGGCCTTTCCGAGGGTTTCCGCCGGTATGGTTCGTCTCGGTGGGTGTGTCAGGACGTAAGTAGAGCAGCGCAACCCGGCGTTGCCGCCTCCGAGCCCGTCTTGCTATCGCCAGGGCCGGAAACCGCGGTACGGGCGCTACGATCGCCAGCCGACAGGAGGGAGACATGGAGGCCTTTCCGAGGGTTTCCGCCGGTATGGCTCGTCTCGGTGGGTGTGTCAGGACGTAAGTAGAGCAGCGCAACCCGGCGTTGCCGCCTCCGAGCCCGTCTTGCTATCGCCAGGGCCGGAAACAGCCGTACGGGCGCTACGATCGCCAGCCGACAGGAGGGAGACATGGAGGCCTTTCCGAGGGTTTCCGCCGGTATGGCTCGTCTCGGTGGGTGTGTCAGGACGTAAGTAGAGCAGCGCAACCCGGCGTTGCCGCCTCCGAGCCCGTCTTGCTATCGTCAGGGCCGGAAACCGCGGTACGGGCGCTACGATCGCCAGCCGACAGGAGGGAGACATGGAGGCCTTTCCGAGGGTTTCCGCCGGTATGGTTCGTCTCGGTGGGTGTGTCAGGACGTAAGTAGAGCAGCGCAACCCGGCGTTGCCGCCTCCGAGCCCGTCTTGCTATCGCCAGGGCCGGAAACCGCGGTACGGGCGCTACGATCGCCAGCCGACAGGAGGGAGACATGGAGGCCTTTCCGAGGGTTTCCGCCGGTATGGCTCGTCTCGGTGGGTGTGTCAGGACGTAAGTAGAGCAGCGCAACCCGGCGTTGCCGCCTCCGAGCCCGTCTTGCTATCGTCAGGGCCGGAAACCGCGGTACGGGCGCTACGATCGCCAGCCGACAGGAGGGAGACATGGAGGCCTTTCCGAGGGTTTCCGCCGGTATGGTTCGTCTCGGTGGGTGTGTCAGGACGTAAGTAGAGCAGCGCAACCCGGCGTTGCCGCCTCCGAGCCCGTCTTGCTATCGCCAGGGCCGGAAACCGCGGTACGGGCGCTACGATCGCCAGCCGACAGGAGGGAGACATGGAGGCCTTTCCGAGGGTTTCCGCCGGTATGGCTCGTCTCGGTGGGTGTGTCAGGACGTAAGTAGAGCAGCGCAACCCGGCGTTGCCGCCTCCGAGCCCGTCTTGCTATCGCCAGGGCCGGAAACAGCCGTACGGGCGCTACGATCGCCAGCCGACAGGAGGGAGACATGGAGGCCTTTCCGAGGGTTTCCGCCGGTATGGTTCGTCTCGGTGGGTGTGTCAGGACGTAAGTAGAGCAGCGCAACCCGGCGTTGCCGCCTCCGAGCCCGTCTTGCTATCGCCAGGGCCGGAAACAGCCGTACGGGCGCTACGATCGCCAGCCGACAGGAGGGAGACATGGAGGCCTTTCCGAGGGTTTCCGCCGGTATGGCTCGTCTCGGTGGGTGTGTCAGGACGTAAGTAGAGCAGCGCAACCCGGCGTTGCCGCCTCCGAGCCCGTCTTGCTATCGCCAGGGCCGGAAACCGCGGTACGGGCGCTACGATCGCCAGCCGACAGGAGGGAGACATGGAGGCCTTTCCGAGGGTTTCCGCCGGTATGGCTCGTCTCGGTGGGTGTGTCAGGACGTAAGTAGAGCAGCGCAACCCGGCGTTGCCGCCTCCGAGCCCGTCTTGCTATCGCCAGGGCCGGAAACAGCCGTACGGGCGCTACGATCGCCAGCCGACAGGAGGGAGACATGGAGGCCTTTCCGAGGGTTTCCGCCGGTATGGCTCGTCTCGGTGGGTGTGTCAGGACGTAAGTAGAGCAGCGCAACCCGGCGTTGCCGCCTCCGAGCCCGTCTTGCTATCGCCAGGGCCGGAAACAGCCGTACGGGCGCTACGATCGCCAGCCGACAGGAGGGAGACATGGAGGCCTTTCCGAGGGTTTCCGCCGGTATGGCTCGTCTCGGTGGGTGTGTCAGGACGTAAGTAGAGCAGCGCAACCCGGCGTTGCCGCCTCCGAGCCCGTCTTGCTATCGCCAGGGCCGGAAACCGCGGTACGGGCGCTACGATCGCCAGCCGACAGGAGGGAGACATGGAGGCCTTTCCGAGGGTTTCCGCCGGTATGGCTCGTCTCGGTGGGTGTGTCAGGACGTAAGTAGAGCAGCGCAACCCGGCGTTGCCGCCTCCGAGCCCGTCTTGCTATCGCCAGGGCCGGAAACAGCCGTACGGGCGCTACGATCGCCAGCCGACAGGAGGGAGACATGGAGGCCTTTCCGAGGGTTTCCGCCGGTATGGCTCGTCTCGGTGGGTGTGTCAGGACGTAAGTAGAGCAGCGCAACCCGGCGTTGCCGCCTCCGAGCCCGTCTTGCTATCGCCAGGGCCGGAAACCGCGGTACGGGCGCTACGATCGCCAGTCGACAGGAGGGAGACATGGAGGCCTTTCGGAGGGTTTCCGCCGGTATGGCTCGTCTCGGTGGGTGTGTCAGGACGTAAGTAGAGCAGCGCAACCCGGCGTTGCCGCCTCCGAGCCCGTCTTGCTATCGCCAGGGCCGGAAACCGCGGTACGGGCGCTACGATCGCCAGCCGACAGGAGGGAGACATGGAGATCTTTCCGAGGGTTTCCGCCGGTATGGCTCGTCTCGGTGGGTGTGTCAGGACGTAAGTAGAGCAGCGCAAACCGGCGTTGCCGCCTCCGAGCCCGTCTTGCTATCGCCAGGGCCGGAAACCGCGGTACGGGCGCTACGATCGCCAGCCGACAGGAGGGAGACATGGAGGCCTTTCCGAGGGTTTCCGCCGGTATGGCTCGTCTCGGTGGGTGTGTCAGGACGTAAGTAGAGCAGCGCAAACCGGCGTTGCCGCCTCCGAGCCCGTCTTGCTATCGCCAGGGCCGGAAACAGCCGTACGGGCGCTACGATCGCCAGCCGACAGGAGGGAGACATGGAGGCCTTTCCGAGGGTTTCCGCCGGTATGGTTCGTCTCGGTGGGTGTGTCAGGACGTAAGTAGAGCAGCGCAACCCGGCGTTGCCGCCTCCGAGCCCGTCTTGCTATCGCCAGGGCCGGAAACCGCGGTACGGGCGCTACGATCGCCAGCCGACAGGAGGGAGACATGGAGATCTTTCCGAGGGTTTCCGCCGGTATGGCTCGTCTCGGTGGGTGTGTCAGGACGTAAGTAGAGCAGCGCAACCCGGCGTTGCCGCCTCCGAGCCCGTCTTGCTATCGCCAGGGCCGGAAACCGCGGTACGGGCGCTACGATCGCCAGCCGACAGGAGGGAGACATGGAGGCCTTTCCGAGGGTTTCCGCCGGTATGGCTCGTCTCGGTGGGTGTGTCAGGACGTAAGTAGAGCAGCGCAACCCGGCGTTGCCGCCTCCGAGCCCGTCTTGCTATCGCCAGGGCCGGAAACAGCCGTACGGGCGCTACGATCGCCAGCCGACAGGAGGGAGACATGGAGGCCTTTCCGAGGGTTTCCGCCGGTATGGCTCGTCTCGGTGGGTGTGTCAGGACGTAAGTAGAGCAGCGCAACCCGGCGTTGCCGCCTCCGAGCCCGTCTTGCTATCGCCAGGGCCGGAAACAGCCGTACGGGCGCTACGATCGCCAGCCGACAGGAGGGAGACATGGAGGCCTTTCCGAGGGTTTCCGCCGGTATGGTTCGTCTCGGTGGGTGTGTCAGGACGTAAGTAGAGCAGCGCAACCCGGCGTTGCCGCCTCCGAGCCCGTCTTGCTATCGTCAGGGCCGGAAACCGCGGTACGGGCGCTACGATCGCCAGCCGACAGGAGGGAGACATGGAGGCCTTTCCGAGGGTTTCCGCCGGTATGGCTCGTCTCGGTGGGTGTGTCAGGACGTAAGTAGAGCGGCGCAACCCGGCGTTGCCGCCTCCGAGCCCGTCTTGCTATCGTCAGGGCCGGAAACAGCCGTACGGGCGCTACGATCGCCAGCCGACAGGAGGGAGACATGGAGGCCTTTCCGAGGGTTTCCGCCGGTATGGCTCGTCTCGGTGGGTGTGTCAGGACGTAAGTAGAGCAGCGCAACCCGGCGTTGCCGCCTCCGAGCCCGTCTTGCTATCGCCAGGGCCGGAAACAGCCGTACGGGCGCTACGATCGCCAGCCGACAGGAGGGAGACATGGAGGCCTTTCCGAGGGTTTCCGCCGGTATGGCTCGTCTCGGTGGGTGTGTCAGGACGTAAGTAGAGCAGCGCAACCCGGCGTTGCCGCCTCCGAGCCCGTCTTGCTATCGCCAGGGCCGGAAACAGCCGTACGGGCGCTACGATCGCCAGCCGACAGGAGGGAGACATGGAGGCCTTTCCGAGGGTTTCCGCCGGTATGGCTCGTCTCGGTGGGTGTGTCAGGACGTAAGTAGAGCAGCGCAACCCGGCGTTGCCGCCTCCGAGCCCGTCTTGCTATCGTCAGGGCCGGAAACAGCGGTACGGGCGCTACGATCGCCAGCCGACAGGAGGGAGACATGGAGGCCTTTCCGAGGGTTTCCGCCGGTATGGCTCGTCTCGGTGGGTGTGTCAGGACGTAAGTAGAGCAGCGCAACCCGGCGTTGCCGCCTCCGAGCCCGTCTTGCTATCGCCAGGGCCGGAAACAGCCGTACGGGCGCTACGATCGCCAGCCGACAGGAGGGAGACATGGAGGCCTTTCCGAGGGTTTCCGCCGGTATGGCTCGTCTCGGTGGGTGTGTCAGGACGTAAGTAGAGCAGCGCAACCCGGCGTTGCCGCCTCCGAGCCCGTCTTGCTATCGCCAGGGCCGGAAACAGCCGTACGGGCGCTACGATCGCCAGCCGACAGGAGGGAGACATGGAGGCCTTTCCGAGGGTTTCCGCCGGTATGGCTCGTCTCGGTGGGTGTGTCAGGACGTAAGTAGAGCAGCGCAACCCGGCGTTGCCGCCTCCGAGCCCGTCTTGCTATCGCAAGGGCCGGAAACCGCATTACGGGCGCTACGGTCGCCAGCCGACAGGAGGGAGACATGGAGGCCTTTCCGAGGGTTTCCGCCGGTATGGCTCGTCTCGGTGGGTGTGTCAGGACGTAAGTAGAGCAGCGCAACCCGGCGTTGCCGCCTCCGAGCCCGTCTTGCTATCGCCAGGGCCGGAAACCGCGGTACGGGCGCTACGATCGCCAGCCGACATGAGGGAGACATGGAGGCCTTTCCGAGGGTTTCCGCCGGTATGGCTCGTCTCGGTGGGTGTGTCAGGACGTAAGTAGAGCAGCGCAACCCGGCGTTGCCGCCTCCGAGCCCGTCTTGCTATCGCCAGGGCCGGAAACCGCGGTACGGGCGCTACGATCGCCAGCCGACAGGAGGGAGACATGGAGGCCTTTCCGAGGGTTTCCGCCGGTATGGCTCGTCTCGGTGGGTGTGTCAGGACGTAAGTAGAGCAGCGCAACCCGGCGTTGCCGCCTCCGAGCCCGTCTTGCTATCGCCAGGGCCGGAAACCGCGGTACGGGCGCTACGATCGCCAGCCGACAGGAGGGAGACATGGAGGCCTTTCCGAGGGTTTCCGCCGGTATGGCTCGTCTCGGTGGGTGTGTCAGGACGTAAGTAGAGCAGCGCAACCCGGCGTTGCCGCCTCCGAGCCCGTCTTGCTATCGTCAGGGCCGGAAACCGCGGTACGGGCGCTACGATCGCCAGCCGACAGGAGGGAGACATGGAGGCCTTTCCGAGGGTTTCCGCCGGTATGGTTCGTCTCGGTGGGTGTGTCAGGACGTAAGTAGAGCAGCGCAACCCGGCGTTGCCGCCTCCGAGCCCGTCTTGCTATCGCCAGGGCCGGAAACCGCGGTACGGGCGCTACGATCGCCAGCCGACAGGAGGGAGACATGGAGGCCTTTCCGAGGGTTTCCGCCGGTATGGCTCGTCTCGGTGGGTGTGTCAGGACGTAAGTAGAGCAGCGCAACCCGGCGTTGCCGCCTCCGAGCCCGTCTTGCTATCGCCAGGGCCGGAAACAGCCGTACGGGCGCTACGATCGCCAGCCGACAGGAGGGAGACATGGAGGCCTTTCCGAGGGTTTCCGCCGGTATGGCTCGTCTCGGTGGGTGTGTCAGGACGTAAGTAGAGCAGCGCAACCCGGCGTTGCCGCCTCCGAGCCCGTCTTGCTATCGCCAGGGCCGGAAACAGCCGTACGGGCGCTACGATCGCCAGCCGACAGGAGGGAGACATGGAGGCCTTTCCGAGGGTTTCCGCCGGTATGGTTCGTCTCGGTGGGTGTGTCAGGACGTAAGTAGAGCAGCGCAACCCGGCGTTGCCGCCTCCGAGCCCGTCTTGCTATCGCCAGGGCCGGAAACCGCGGTACGGGCGCTACGATCGCCAGCCGACAGGAGGGAGACATGGAGGCCTTTCCGAGGGTTTCCGCCGGTATGGCTCGTCTCGGTGGGTGTGTCAGGACGTAAGTAGAGCAGCGCAACCCGGCGTTGCCGCCTCCGAGCCCGTCTTGCTATCGCCAGGGCCGGAAACCGCGGTACGGGCGCTACGATCGCCAGCCGACAGGAGGGAGACATGGAGGCCTTTCCGAGGGTTTCCGCCGGTATGGCTCGTCTCGGTGGGTGTGTCAGGACGTAAGTAGAGCAGCGCAACCCGGCGTTGCCGCCTCCGAGCCCGTCTTGCTATCGTCAGGGCCGGAAACCGCGGTACGGGCGCTACGATCGCCAGCCGACAGGAGGGAGACATGGAGGCCTTTCCGAGGGTTTCCGCCGGTATGGTTCGTCTCGGTGGGTGTGTCAGGACGTAAGTAGAGCAGCGCAACCCGGCGTTGCCGCCTCCGAGCCCGTCTTGCTATCGCCAGGGCCGGAAACAGCCGTACGGGCGCTACGATCGCCAGCCGACAGGAGGGAGACATGGAGGCCTTTCCGAGGGTTTCCGCCGGTATGGCTCGTCTCGGTGGGTGTGTCAGGACGTAAGTAGAGCAGCGCAACCCGGCGTTGCCGCCTCCGAGCCCGTCTTGCTATCGCCAGGGCCGGAAACAGCCGTACGGGCGCTACGATCGCCAGCCGACAGGAGGGAGACATGGAGGCCTTTCCGAGGGTTTCCGCCGGTATGGTTCGTCTCGGTGGGTGTGTCAGGACGTAAGTAGAGCAGCGCAACCCGGCGTTGCCGCCTCCGAGCCCGTCTTGCTATCGCCAGGGCCGGAAACAGCTGTACGGGCGCTACGATCGCCAGCCGACAGGAGGGAGACATGGAGGCCTTTCCGAGGGTTTCCGCCGGTATGGTTCGTCTCGGTGGGTGTGTCAGGACGTAAGTAGAGCAGCGCAACCCGGCGTTGCCGCCTCCGAGCCCGTCTTGCTATCGCCAGGGCCGGAAACCGCGGTACGGGCGCTACGATCGCCAGCCGACAGGAGGGAGACATGGAGGCCTTTCCGAGGGTTTCCGCCGGTATGGCTCGTCTCGGTGGGTGTGTCAGGACGTAAGTAGAGCAGCGCAACCCGGCGTTGCCGCCTCCGAGCCCGTCTTGCTATCGCCAGGGCCGGAAACAGCCGTACGGGCGCTACGATCGCCAGCCGACAGGAGGGAGACATGGAGGCCTTTCCGAGGGTTTCCGCCGGTATGGCTCGTCTCGGTGGGTGTGTCAGGACGTAAGTAGAGCAGCGCAACCCGGCGTTGCCGCCTCCGAGCCCGTCTTGCTATCGCCAGGGCCGGAAACAGCCGTACGGGCGCTACGATCGCCAGCCGACAGGAGGGAGACATGGAGGCCTTTCCGAGGGTTTCCGCCGGTATGGTTCGTCTCGGTGGGTGTGTCAGGACGTAAGTAGAGCAGCGCAA